CAAGTTCCGCTGTAACGCGGCTGTTGCTCTGTAACGAGCACCAATGATGAGCGAAATGGCCTGAGGCTGCGCTCGGCGGCCAGATCGCGGCTCGATCGGCCGCCTCTTCATCGTGGATCGCCGATCGCTCGTTACCCCGAGAGGAACACCCTCGCTCATCAGACACTTTAACATCCGGAAGAATGAATTCAACGATACGCTTTTCGTTCACCACGCTATCGTGCTGAATGTGCTCGATGTGCTCATCGATCGATCGATACTTCCTATCGTCGAGATTTCAAACCCGCTTAGAACAGCGACTGATTTATTTATATCATTTATGCATTTATTATGTGTTTTATTATAATATATGACAATATATATACACGTGTATTATTGATTGTGTGTTATAGAGTCTTCTTATCGCTTCTTTGTTCCTCGGTATTTCGAAAACGACGATAAATTAAGATCGTCGCAGCTTCGTCGTCGATCTTCCGTCGAGTTCTCCTGATAGCGCGAGGCTCCGTGTCCTTGGTGCCTTGCGTCGCGCACAGCCGGGTTAACGAGTAATGCCTAATCTATGCATCCGCTTATCATAATGGCCCTCGTTATATCGCGAACGCAGCCCGGCAAGTCCGGAAGCCACCCCACTCTCGCCGTCGACCAACCCCTTAGTCTTAGCCGCTCCTCTCTCGGCGCGCGGCGCGCTTCCGCGAGGACGTAATAAAAATATTCCGAGTAACTGAACGATATTACGACATTACGGGCTCGCCGGGCGGAATTAAGCGGTTCTACGTTGTCCCCGCTCGGGGGCTCGAAGTACGTAATCGCGGTACAAAGGGTGCAACACCGACGTAAAAGCCACGTGACAAAGCCCGTTACGTCGACGTGCAACGCGCGCGGCCGGAGATTAAACGCCGCGTCGCGGAGAGACTTCGGCTGAAACGAGGCGTAAGTGGGTTAAAAATTGTCCCACCGAATGGCGTCTTAGGGTTTCAGCCAGAGGAGGGGAGGATTCGCCCGGGTCTGGAAAGCCACGCTTTCCCGATGCGATCGCTCGATCTAGAGGGTGACGTTCGGTCACCCCCTCCCTCTTCATGGACTTCCAGTCTCTCCCTTGAAGCGGGCGAGATGCGAATCCATTCGTTGGCCTCTTAGAAAATTCAATGAAGCGGTGATCCGTGCAACGAATGCGCTCTCGATGCTCAACTGAAACCTACCAGCCGAAAACCACCACTTTCGAGTGAAATTTCACTCGAAACAGAGCGGCTTATCATTCACACCGTGAATCCTTTATTCTGAATCGTCGAGCGAATAATTTTATTCAAAATTGTATAAATCAAGAACTCACCCCCAAACTTGACTTAAACATTCCGCTTTTCCGCGATTCCGCGATTTAGAAAGCCGCCTTGAGCGAGAAAATAGAAATTAGGGGATGACCCGAACGTCACCCTCCAAACAAAGCGGCGGCATCAGAGAACTGAGCGAGTCGCAAACGCGCAAACCGCATGAAAAATCATTCGAGGCGACACACGCCGTGAAAACGACGTGCTTGGTGTCGTCGGAATGATCGAATCAAATGTGTATTCCCGCGTCCGCTACAAATCGTCGTAATTTCGCCAACTCGACGGCGACGGCGTATCCGGGGCGCGAGGAGAATAATGACAATCTCGGCATAAACACGCGGATGCGGCATAACGCGACGCAACGCGACGCAGCCAGCCGGCCGGCCGGCCGGCCGGCCGAAGCGGGCGGCGGCGTTCTATTAAGCTAAAATCAGAGTCTGCGCTGCTCCCGCAGCGTCGCTCTAAATTATTATAACGCGAGGAGATCCGCGTACCTTCGCGGACAATGAAAGGTACACCGTAACGTCGCGACGTTTGTTTTGTCGGCCTCAGCGGCGGCGGCGGCCGCCGCCACCGCCTCTGCCTCTGCCTCTCGCGCGCGCACAACGATGTGCTCTCGCCTACATTTCGTATATTTTATTATTACTCTCGCACTTTCCGCGGCTGGACACGGTAACGTTGGCAGGGGGGTTGGTTGACGGCGGTGGTTAGCCCGTGGCCGTTATTAATGTCCGCGGCATGCCAGAAAAAGCGAGCAAAAGGCCCGCGCCCGGGGAGAAAAAGATAGCGGGCATCGGGTATCACCACCACGCTACGGTCTCCGGGATGCATCCCCTCGCTTCTCCACCCCCGCGACACCCTGTACATACGTCCCGCGCAGAACGACGAACACGGCCACCACCGGCACACAAGCGCCAGGAGTTCTTAATAATTGATAAAAATGTACGCACGCACCCCCGCCCCCTCCCTGGTAAAGAGGAAGGACGGCAGGCGAGAGGGTGAGCAGCCGGCAGAGGGACAGAGAGACAGTGAGAGGATGAGAGGGGCGGCAGGGTGTGGGTCGCTGAAGAGGTGTAGAGGCACACGAGGCGAGTGGGAAGGGGGAGGCACGGCAGGGACGAAAAAAAGGGCCAGACGCGCGGCGGCGGTGGGTCTCTCTCTCTCTCTCTCTCTCTCTCTCTCTCTCTCTCTCACTCTCACTCTCACCCCATCATCGCGGCTCCAACCCTCCTGCATCCGCCTGGCTCGCCGTTTCGTTGACAAAGGCATACGCAACGATTTATTCGCACTTTTCACCGCGACCTCTCCCGGGAATTTTTCTTCGTTCTGTCACAATTTCGGAATTATCAGAATTTATGCCTACCCCTTCGCTCTCGCTCCACGCGCGTGCACACGCGCGTGTTCTGATAGGTATTAAGCTGCCTTGATTACCTCGGCTTGCCCGCGGAGATGCTTTCGTTCGATGGCGCTGAATATTCCTAAATAAAATGAATGGCAACAGGACCAACGCATTTAAGGGCGCGCTCGCGCAACCCCCTCGGTCGCGTATTCGATATCCGTTGACACTGCCGCCGAAAAAAGGATACGAGGATAGCAGGTCGTAAATATCCATTTTTCGCTTCGGTTATATTAAATAGGATAGATATTGTTGTCTAGGATCTATATTCGGGCGATCATTCGATGAAAACGCATCGAACCAAATCTACCGAGACCTTAATCGTACTCTTGAAAATAAAGCGAGTGAATAAGGATTATTTGACGTTGTCCGGCTCTTGCTTTAGTCTTCGTCGTCCATTATGGTCATATCAGCAGGAGACGATTACCGAGAAAATATGCGTAAATGCGTAAAATGTCGAAGATCGTAAAAAGAGAAAACAAAAACATGGCTTGTAGTTCCGATGATGGCGACGACTCAGAATAGCCTGTAGGAACGAAGCTCGTCTCTCAAGTCGAGAGCCGATAAAAAATATCTAATAAAGCTTGAAGTTTTCTCTCTCTCTCTCTCTCTCTCTCTCTCTCTCTCTCTCTCTCTCTCTCTCGTCTCTTCGCAACGCGAGTGTGGCCTGGTCCAGGTACCGCCGTCGCGACTTACCGGAAATTTCTCGCCGAAAACAAAAGAATGAGAGGCCGCGCAGCTGCTCGAATCTAATTAAGAAATTCTTACACGGCAGTGCCGCGCATTCTGCCACACCCTCGTGTCTCGACCTCACCCCGCTCTCTCTCCCAGATCCTCTCTCTCTCTCTCTCTCTCTCTCTCTCTCTCTCTCTCTCTCTCTCTCTCTCTCTCTCTCTCTCTCTCTCTCTCTCTCTCTCTCTCTCTCTCTCTCTCTCTCTCTCTCTCTCTCTCTCTCTCTCTCTCTCTCTCTCTCTCTCTCTCTCTCTCTCTCTCTCTCTCTCTCTCTCTCTCTCTCTCTCTCTCTCTCTCTCTCGTCCGGGGCACGTCTAGAAAAATTAAAAATAATTTTCCTACGTAAACGTATTAACCCCGGTGGCGGTGGCCGGAGCTTTTTGCGCCACGCTTTTCTCGCAATTTGTACAAAGAACGGCACGGACCTGACTTCAAAGTAGATCTTACACGGTGTCGTATCATTTTATTCTAGGAACTTCCCTGCGTATTACTCGTTATTGCGTTTAAGTCACCGCCGCTTCCGCGTCATGGCCTCGTTCACCTTCTCATTTAAGATTCCGAGACGAATTTCGTCATTTTTTCCCCGTAAATGGGCGAACGAAATAATCGCGTCCACGTAGAGCGCGGAAGATTATGAACTCTACGCATTAGGACTAACCAAGCGCTGCTCCCACAAGAAATATCGGGAATTTGTGAGGTCCGGAGAATCATCTTCTAGAGCAGCGCTAAAGATCAACCACGACAAGAGTAGAATTTAGAGAAATGTAAATGTTGTTCCTGTGAAAAACACATATCACTCAAAAGCGTGCGTTGGAGCGTCTGATGTCTGATATTAAAAAAAGAAAGTGTAGATTTCTCGAGGAGGGAATGCTTTGAGGCAGGGGAAGAAATCATAAAACAAAAACAGAAAATGAGTGGAATAAATTGACTGGAGAACGCCGTGCGATCCGATTGTGCCCTGCGGTCTCATATATAATTATTATTGTCGCGGTGGAAAATAAATTTCGAGATGATTCGCTGGTTACACCCATCGGTCGAAAGGCACAGACAAGCGAGAGATAAGCGGCGAACGCGCTCCCCGTGCCCTCGTCTTTTCTTTCTCGGCAATAAATCCTGGGGAAAAACCTATCTGGATTTTCTGCTCATCCTTCCCGACGCTTAACCTAAAAATTCATTAGATTATAAAGCCATTAATGCTCATCCGCGCGGCCGAACGCGGCTCTCCTCTCTTGCTTAGGCGCGAATCCAACTTGGATCGATGTCTCACACTCCTGCGGTCCCTCTCGTTGTAATCACGCGTGTGACGAACCGCAGCCCCGACGTCTGCCTCTTAACAATTTGTTATTTTTATTAATCGTGTAGAAAAAAACGTGCGCACTCGTTGCATTCAGATGTGGAGGGGTTTACTTCTACACAGATTTTTCATCACGATGACGTTCCATTCGATCCAACGAGCTACTTTTATTCAGTTTAGTCGATGAGATCGAACAGGAGCGATCAATATACACGATGCGAATCGCGTCACCTGATACGTCTTCTGATTTCAGAAATCACAACTTCGGCGACTTTGGGGCGACCACGGAAATTCAGCGCGTGCGATGGCACCCGGGCTCGACGAGTGACTCGCATTTGCTGGTTTTGACATCCGAGAACTCCTTCCGGTAATTATAAAGCAATCACGCGACTCGATCAATTAATCGCGGAATATCTGTATTTCCTGTATCCGTCTCGCTCAGGTTTGTCACTCCAGTTCTATCGCTTGCGACCGAATCTTCGGAATCGCGCGCCACACACCATCGGTCGAGCAGACGCGCGTTCGCTCGCGTGTCTGCGCTCTCGGGACAAAGGCATTTGGTCCTTTCAGCCGCGAGAGAGCCGGCATCCCTCGTCGTTATAATTACGGAAAACTTGCGAAACCCTCGCGAAGGACCGCGACATAACTTAAGCTCGCGCGCTTAAACTCCTCGCGTTAGACGGGGCTTAAAAGTGCGGAAAAATGCTTCCGCGAACTAAACTAAACTTCCGGCGGGCTTTGCGCGCCGAAGCGTCTTTGAAAAACGTCGCCGGGCCTCTACTGATCTTAAGTTGCATTTAACTTCGCCACAGTTTGTACGAATGCGAGCTGGGCGGTGCACCCAGGCTCGTAAAATGCTGGAAAGTCGGCCGCGCACCCTCGAGCTCGCCCCCGAGGAAGATCCCGGACTTCACGTCCCTCGGCGAGATCGCGGTGGACTTTGATTTCGTCACGCCCACGTTGAAGAAACCGGAAATGTTCGTCAACAGGAGCATCGATGAGGTACGAAAACCGACGAAGTGCCGCGTCCACCGAGCCGGCGGCGGGAGAACGTGAGAGCTGCGAGGATTTGCCGAAAGGATCTTTTCTCCATTCAGAATGTTGAGTTATCAACTTCGAGTTGATATTTTGACATACTGATTAGCCGATTGGAATGCACGATACGAGGCATCCTAAATTTTCAGGTGAAAAAAGTTATCGATTGGAATCACATCGAGTGGCCGATCCTGATCCTTCGAGGGAACGGCGAAGTGCTGATCGTCCGCGGGAACATCCTTTTGGAGAAGTATGAACAAAGTGTTTCTTTTTTTCTTTGATGAAAATCATGTCAAATAATTTGAACAATCGTTTGTGATGAAAAAACGCCAAATACAAATTGATGCGCTTGAAAGAAGAAATTTATATTATTGCAATGTGATGGCGAAAGAATAATGCAATGTCCTCTTTCCCGTTCTCTCGACTATGGCGCTTATTGTGTTGTCAGCTACGAGGATCCGGTGGTGTTGGGCTCACTGTCTATATATCCACCGAGTGACGATAATTACGGGATAGATTCATGCTCTATCATGTGCCTGCAAACTACCCCACCGATAGTGGTCATCGCCATGTGCACCGGAAAGATTTATCACGCGATATTACTGCGCGAAGTACTGGATGACGACGACGACGACAGAAAAGTATGATGCACATACGATAAATATCGATGTAACGACACCCTGGCATATTTCATCTTTAAATTACAAAAAGATGTTCGCGTGAAGTATGATGAAACATGCTGATTTTTCCTTACGTTTTTGCTTGCCAATCTATGGCAGTACGGAGTACCGCTCGTAACAGCGTGTTGACTTTCATATTTCAAGAGAAGAATCAACCATAATCTCACTGCGAACATAAATTCTGCAACTAGTATCTCTTCATTTTATCACATGATCAATCCTTCTCCTCAGACTTGGTCGCAGTATGGCTCAACCTATAGTCTTCATACACCGGACGATGCACTCTACGTCTATGAATGTGTCGAATTAGAACTGGGTCTTCTCTTCACGGACGATGACAAAAAATATAACTGTCCCGTCTATCTTCATGGCGATAAGGGCAACAAATCGAGGTGTAAATTAGAAAGAAATGTGTTCGAGATGTACAAAGATGTCGCGCGGAATTATCACAATTTCTTATAGAAATAGCTTATTGAAAAAGAAAAAGTTTATTTTTCTCTTTGGCAAGACTAGCGATAATTCCGCCTTGTGTATTTGTATCAATTGTTAATCAATTATTGATTACTCGTACAAGCTACTATCTACAACCGCTTACTTACAGATATTTTTGTTCTCATAACGCCGGAATTCACATAGTGAGTTTGCCGATGGTTTCTCAACTGGAGGAATTCATAGGTGTACCGAATGGCAAGTAAATTTATATGACGAAGTAAGTGATGTAGAAGCTGAACTTATGTTCTTCATCTCGCAACGTTTAAGTTATAAACTTGTGTAAAAGCTCTTCAGGCGCGCAATTTAGATAGATTTTTGTATTCGTTTCTCCCTTGCGACACTCATAAAAATCATTTATTGGCTTGATTCTTGTTAAAAGAAGAAATAAAGATGAAAAAACATAAAAAGAAAGATAAAATTAAAGAATTCTGCTGCTACATCTTTCAAAAATAAAAGATTTTCTATCCTTCTCGAAAAAAATAGAGAAACTCTTCTTTCTATTCGATGAAATTTTTTCTCTCTTCTAGATAAAAACGATAATCACTTGCCTGCCTTATCGAATCAGTCGACTTTGCAGTACTTATTTTCCACAAGAACGAAGCACACGAACATAGACGAGGCTACGCCGATATTTGGTTTCGGTCTCCTTCAAGAACCATGCGTTTTGGTCGCATTGCTGCACACGGGCATTGTCGTTGATCTTTCAGTCATAGATTTGCATTATCTTCCAGTAGCGAAACAACTCGAACCTATCGTTAACACCATGAAAAAAGTACTTATCACTGTATTACATTATTATATTATTCCGATCAAGAATTAATACTTTTATTCTAAAATATCTGAGAAAATAGGAGAGTCCATTTTTGTTTGTATATTTCAAAAATATTTCTAAAGAATTGATTGAAGAATCTCAATGAATAAATTTTCTTTTGGGATAAAAACAATAACCTCGAAAATATCAATTACTGTATTTTTTTTATGGAATATACTTTTTCTTCTTTTCAAGATGGACAAGGAACCATTCGATGCGTACATAAAAAAATTGCTAAAACGTGACATATCGCAACCCATAACTAAAATAGGAACTCGCTCGATGTCCTTGAGCGAGTGTTTAGAGGTATAATGTGAATGCAGGATATTATCCCACTCGACAAGCAAAATATTTCAGCAACGTCGAAACATTGCTGATACGTTGCTGAAATATTGTTTGCCGAGTGAGATATGAATTGAGCAATAATTTCAAATTTTTATTGTTTATAAGAATTATGAAGAAAAAATAAACAATCTATGATTATATTCTATCTAATTTCTTTAACGTTTCAGCTTCTGTATCACGCCACAAATATATTTCGTACCCAACACTTTGTTCGACACGACAAAGTCCGGGAAGAAATCAACAAGAAAGTACATGCTTTGAAGGTCTTGAAAACCCATTTGTTAAAAGAACTCGACGTTTTAATGGAAACAAAGAAAGAATTGCGACATAACGCAGAGCGTTTAGCCGAACGATACGAAGATATCAATGATAAGCAGAAGGAATTGGCATGTCGGTGAGTGGATACTATTGGTCATTTATTGAAGCAATATTTAAAGAGCTTCAAAAAATCGTAATATTATTGATATTAAAAAATGAAAATAAAGCGTATGTTTGATGAAGCTATTGCAAAAAATACTTAAAAATTGTTATGCTTTTAGGGCAAAGGAAGTTCTACGGTCGATAAATCACAAAAAACCTTTCCTAACAGCTGCCGAACGAGCAGAAGCAGAAGAATTGAAAAAGATGAACATGAAAATACACAACATAGAAACTCGACTTAAACAACTCAAGAAAAAATTTGATCAACAAACTGTACACGTAGACATCACTGATTCCAATGAGAAAAGGAAAGAAATTGTTTTCACGCGTAATCAAGAGGAAGCGATAAAGGAAAATCTTAGTCAAATGTATGTACAATCATTTAATATAATTACTCATAAGATTAAAGACTTCTAATTGTTTCAAAAGACTTCAGAAAGATTTCAAAAAAGACTTCAAATTATTTCTTTTATTTACAGGGCAAAAAATATAAAAAATTTAATATCCCAGGTGAAACATATAAAAACAGAAGTTAGTTTGTCATATATTAACAAACAGTAATACAATAAATATTATTTAATTAAACAGTGTGTAAATAATTTCATTGTCTCATAGAAAATATTTTATGAATTTTATTTTAGAAGAAACTCGCGTATACAACGAAAGATTATTTGTATTTCTTTTCTTAATAATCTCTCGAAATCGCATATCTTACGTTATTTCCTCAATCTACGATTCAAAATTATTGATCTATATGTTATTATCAATTAATTTATAATAAAAATATCTTTTATTAATAAATGATTTATACAAAGAGAGTTACACTATAGAAACTTGTCAGGAATATAACATACATTAGGAAATACGCATTATAGATACATGTGACGAATTAAAAAATCGACTTATTTCACACTAATCGATCAGTCGCTGTCAACTTCATCGATGTCGTCAATCGGAACGGGAGGCGGCTCATTTTCAAAGACAGGCATGATCTAGGTTGAAGAATAATAATTTAAAAGAATAGTAAAAACAATCATGAGAATATGCATGTACTATAAGTTTCTTTTTTTGATTACTTGCGTTACTTTAAAAGTCGAAATGGTTACCGTAGTAGATCTTGAAGTTTCCGTGAGTTTTGTCGAGGTATTGTCATTGATCTCTGCGTTGAATACTGCTTTTGGAATATGTTCAACAGTTTTGGAAACCGTGAGATTTGCAACCTTACTTGCTTCAGATTCTATATCATCTTTGTCAAGTCCTTCATTCAGCACTTGCAAAGTGATATGCTAAATGCAAAATTTCGATTAGAATGTTAGCATAATGTCATATACATCACATACACATGTTTCTCACCTTTATTGTATTTGCAATAACGGACTTCACATAATCAAATGACAGATTGGAATGTGACCCATCCGCGAGTTTTTCTAATAATACGTGATACGTTTTGTTCATTATTTGTTTGATTTCTTTGTTCTTGTTCTCAATCTGTAGAATAAACATAATATATCTATGTGTTAGTAATTATGATATATAAATAAAATAGTAATAATATTGAAAAATATAATCATTACATCTTTTTGTCTGGAAGATATTACATCAGTTTGAAAATTGTTTTCTTTACTACACTTGGAAAGTTTATCTTCTAAGTGAATATTTTCTTCTCTATACTGTTTAATAATATTTTGAGCTTTTTCTAAATCTTCTTGAGTTTTCTTCAGATCAGTATTTGTATCAGTTAATCTTGTTTCTAATTCTTGAACTTTTGTATTCAAATTTTCATTAGCTTGTAACAATGATTCCTTTTCCTCTGTAATGTGACAAAGTTTAACAAATTGTTAAATTTATATATCAATTACAAAATATAACACACTATTGCTATTTGAATATTTTTTCAAGTTCCAGAAATATTACCACCTTTCGACTGTTTTAAATCATTTTCTAAAGCACTTATTCTATTCTGTATCTCTCGAATTTTTTCATCAGTCATGTATTTATTAGTATTCTTCGATAATTCATTGTCATTTGCTTCTGCTCGAGATGCATTAAGAGCTAAAAGCATTTTCCAAGAAGCATCCAATGTTGCTTTATCGCTCGTAGGTGTTGTTGCATTTTGAAGCTCGAGTGCATGAAACTACATACGTAATATTTTTACAACAAATACATTATCGATATTTTTATTTACATGCATACCTTATCTAGCAGTTTTTGAACGTTATCAGATATTTTGGACATTCCTATGCGTATTTCAGCATTTGTTAATCTATTTTCTGATAGCAACATATTGATTCCAGGATCTAAAGCAGCTGATATTGTACGATTTACAGTCTGTGTCACAGGATACATTTGGTTGTCCATTGCAACATAATGTCCCTATAATTTTAATCGTTAATTGTTTTTTAGAACTATTATATTGTCGAAACATTTATTGAGTATTCAACTGCTGTAACATACGGGAAAATATGATGGTGCCCATTGCGGAGTCAGTTGGGGTGTACTAACTAATGGATTATAAGTATTAGAATCTATCAAAGGCACTTCTGTTCTCGATTCTGTAATTTTCTTTTCTCTTTCTTTTCCTTCCGCTGGTTCGTGCGACAGATGCTTTTTCTGTGAGATTATTTCCACTTGATCGATCTAACAAAATATGTATTATTTTAACAAAATGAAAAATTGTCTCATAAACAGTTTGCAAACTATAACTAACCTTTTTATGACGAGGAGACTTGTGAGGTACATCATCCTACAAAATGAAATATAACATACTTCAAATTAAGACAATGATATATTTAGAGTTTTAATAATAAACATAGTACCTCGGTATCTTCTGAATCAGTGGTAGAAGGTAGAGGCATTTTTGGTAGAATAGATTGACCCATTTTTGCCATTCTCGAAATTATAGATGCTTTTCCGCTAGTTGAAACTTTAGGTACAGACAAATCATCTTCTGGTACTTGTATATCGATTATTTCTATTATCAGCATAATATCTCTTTCTTTAGGAAATCCAGGACCTAAACTAATCTATGTAAAACTATTTAATGAACAACTTTGTTGCTGCATGTTGTATTTGACAGAATTTTGTTGGAATACCTGTTTGTTAGGAGGTAAAAATAAAATTCTCTTCAGTCCCTTGCCACTTCCCAAAAGACTTCTCTCCCAATTATTGTCTGTTGATATTTCTACTGTCATTGTTTGTGACATTACAAAATTTGTTTTAAAGGGTTGTACTATCTCAGTTCCCACGAAATATTTGATGCATATATTGTCTCCTTCTTTTGCAATTATATCTTTGTCACTTAATATTAAATCTTGATAAATCACATCCTCTCCTTTCTCTTGCAGTGCAAAATAACATGACAGTCCTATCTCTATCGCAAATTCTATATAACTTTCGCTATTCTCAAATAAAATTGACCAATTCTCTTTATTGTTATCATAATAACTGGCATAATTATTTGCTTGTACAGTATACACAAAGTCACGTGTCACTGTAGCAACAGATATATATTCTTGTTTGTTTTTGTATAAAATTATCTGATATATTCTTGTTGTTATGTTACCTGTTAATGCCATACCAAGTTTTCCCATAGAAACATATTGACCTTTTTGCCTGAAATGATATCAGATTTATTTATGTATATGTAATAGTATTAATATTAAATTTACTATTAAATGCTTTGATATATAAAACATGGTAAATATTGTAAGATTATAATTATACTATATGTTACTATATCACACATACATGCATATATACACACTTAGATAAAAACAAATATTCCTAATAGTTTAAAATGATTACAATTTGAAGGCATGTATAGCTTTAGCTATCAGAACTTCTGTTTTAGAAGGTGATGCTACAGTTTGTTGTATATTATATCGAGTGTTACTCTTCTTAGAGGCTGTTTGCTTAATAGTATGTTCTCCAAGCTTTGGTTGTAGCCCAAAAATAGCAGCCAAATTAGACCTAAAAATATAACAAAATATAAATATTATCATGCAAAACTGGAATAACTCAAAATAAGTGAAGAATTCAATTTTATTTTGCTAAAAGTAGTAGTCTAAATAATATTTACAAAATAATTAAATTAAAAAGATAACATACGCATATATATTTGTTTTAAATACATCTTATAAATTTAAGACAAACAGGTATATACTTAGGCTTGTAAAAGAACACTTCAGATGTAGAATAGAAATAGAAAATACAATTACAATAAATAAACATGTTAGTATTTAAGTGATAAACATATGCTCTGTAGAGTTACATTCTGTAATATAAATTAATACACACCCTCCTGAAGGTATAAAATCAGGTTCATCCTCATCTCGAAAGATTTTATCAAGATTGGGTAACTGATTTTGAGCACTCATGATTAAAAAAAATTGAACACAGCGAATAATCTAATCACTTGTCTATGTAGAGTAACAATGAGGATGACATTTGTTAATCACTTGTTGGAAAATGTCTCCGACACCGCTAATGTGTCAATTTGATAAGCACATAAAATCAATAGATTTACTTAGACAGATCGTCGTATTTCGTCTTGTCATACAATTAATTAAACCATCACATTTTTTATATATGATAAATTTGCCAACAGGAAAATGTCTGAAGACTTTCCTTGCGTTTGCTTACAAATATATAAATATTTCAGCGTTGACTAAGTCAAGTTAATATCTCTCTTAATCCCTGGTTGAATCGTACTACTGCAAAAATAAAACGTTCGGCTGATCTATTCTTGAGACCAACTACCACCTCGAGATTAGCCAATAGAAACAGTGGCGGCTCGTAGTGGAGACTTTAGAACTATATTTCAGGATAACCAATTCCTGCTTGTTTATACTATCCGTAATCAAGAACGTAATGTAACTCAACGAACGAAGTGAGGCTTTTCAAGTAGTACGATTCAATAACATTAGATGAATATTATTTAAAATATCGGAAACAAAATTTTTTCAGTTATTTGAAAATTGAAAATTATTATTTGACATATCGAGATAACACAATCGATCTTTCTAATTCAAAAAGAAGAAAAAGATATCGAGCATCGATTCATCGATTGAAACGCACATCACTAGTCACTTATCAGCATTTGTGCAAAATGTAAAACGTCTTATGATGTACACGTAGACGTGATATAACCTCTGCTGACGACCTTATCGTTACAATATTTTCTATATTTAATGATGTAAAGTATTTCTAGGATTTTGCATACGACGTGACATTTGACGAATATCGTGCAACGAAAACTATCGCACAATGAATCTAAGTAAAACAGAGAAACTGTTAGCTGCTAAGAAAAAGGTAATGTGACGTTTTCATATCATTGACAGTTTGCAAAACAGTCATGCAGCTGAATACAATTAGTGTTATGGATTACCTAATAACTGATACGTGGCAGTAAAAATGTGCTTAAATGTTGTGTTTTTTGATAGTAATATTTGTATTATTCACAAAATTTTATTTTTTTTTCTTTCCAAATAATTTTATTTATAAAAGTGATATTATAAAAAATAGTATCAATTAATGCACTAATAATTTTTACACGTAAGTATCATAAATTATTAAAATGTAATATATATCTGATTTATTCCCTTTTAGTTCAGCTTGATAAGATCTTGTTAATTAAACAACTTTAATCAAAATACAAGTTTTTGCAATTCTTATTATAGCTAAAAGAATTTCAACTTCAGAAGAAATTACAAGCACGAGAAGCCTCAGATAAGCCACAAAATGCAAATATATCAGATGAATCTATGTCACAGGTAATTATTTGATAATATAAATTTTTAAATTGATTTTATATATATCATAATATAAATATGAATGAATCTAATTTAGAATTATTATAGTGTTAGTTTATATCTGCTACAACAATATAATCTATATAATTAAGATTTAGATATATATATATATATATATATATATATATCAATATCAATAATAATCTAAAATAATTTTCCTAATAGTGCCAAACAAGTCACCAAGGTATAGAAATGGATAAATCCTGTAATCAACATAATCAAAATAAAACAAAACATTCGGAAAACTTTTTATATTCTGAAAGGCACATAGATGATGTGAATGCTACACATAAGGAAGAAAGTTTATTTAGTGCTTTTAGTGATACTAATAACTTGACAAATACAACTGAAGTTAAAACAGTTACAAATAATATTCAAGCAACAGAAAAAAACTCAACTTTGGAATATTTTTCAGAAGAGAATATATCATGTGAAAGTGATGATAAAAGTACCACACATCCACATCTTCAGACTAACATAGCTAACACTTTACAGTTTATTGAAAACAATGATAAATATAACTTAAATATTACACCATCTAATGGACCATCAATGGTGCAGAAAGAACATTTGTTAGAAATGGCCTCAGAGGTTGCTAATGCCCTAACTGATGATATAGATAATAGTGAGTCAACTCTAGGTAATCTGGATGCAAAATGTCACTATCAGTTTGTAAATACTTATGTGGAAGAACAGAAACAGCTTGTAAATGACTTACACATTCAAGTCAGCCGTTATGTAAGTATAATAAAATTATCTATTTTATATATTATATATTGTGTACTAATGTCACTATTGTTGCATATAAAAATAAAACAGCATAGCAGAATGGCTGAATTAGAAGAAATCTTAGCTACAAAAGATTCTGAATTTGAAGCCAGACTCATTCGCGAGATAAATCCTTTGAAGGAGCAATTGCAGGTTCATGCACAGACTACTGGTATCTTAATAGCAGAGAAAGCAGAACTTACAGCAGCTCTGGCACAAAGTCAGAAAGCTGCAAAACAAAATTCAGGTTAATATATATGCGTATAAGAGAAATACATAAATGTATAAAATTTACCATGTATTTCAATATACTTTTAACATTATTATAATTAAATCCTATAATATTTAGAAGAATTAGAAGAAATGAATGGGAAACTAAAACATAGCCAACTTCGTATCAACGAACTCGAAAAGGAATTGGTTCAAATGAAAGATGATTCTAATGAAATTAAAAAAAATGCCCAGTCGTTGCAGGAAGTCTATGACGATCTTGAGAAAAAGTATTTCGATTTTAGGTACTATATATAAGTATTAAATTATAGTAGTGTAATTGATATCAATAAAAGTATGGATGATTAACATTACAAAATGATCGATCTATTTACAGAAAAGAGAAAGAAGACCTGGAACTAGAAACGTCAGAATTAAAGCAGAAGCTGAATTTAAAAAATACAGAATTCATCAGTTTGCAGCAGGGATATCAAGAGAAGGCAGCTTTACTTTCGTTAAATGAATTAAGAATACAACAGGTAATCCTGTACAACTATAACTAAAAATCACATTATTATATCTCTAGCGATTGATATAAATAATTTAATTATAGTTAACTGATACATCACAAACATTAGAATCTCAGCATCAAGCTGTAACAGTATTAGAACAACAGTTGACTCAAATGAGAGAAACTTTGAAGCTGGTGAATAATGAAAAAGATGAAGCCAACAGACAATACCAGAATTATGTGCGACAATTGGATGCACAGCAAGCAAAACTGCTTAATGAAGTACATAAATATTTATTATATTTTATCCATAGGAAATTATATTTTAAAAAATTCAATTGTAAAATTTTATATTAAATAATTACAGCTTGAAAATGGAAAAAAAATAACCAGTGATTTAGAAAACAGAGAGAAAAGCTATATACAACGTTTGTCAGATTTGGAACAACAATTGCAACATGAAAAAGAGAAAAATGAAGCTTTAGTACCGTTGCGAGAGCATAATGATGATGTAAATAATTTAAAGAAAAATATTGAGGAGTTAACTTCGCAACAAGAAAGGCTTCATGCCACATTATCTGAAAAGGTGAACTTGTTAATTGCAAGTGCCTATAGAGAAAAATATTTTTCGATAACATAATGTTTTTAGGATACGCAAATCGAAATGTTAACGAATGAAGTGCAAGAACTACGAAATACAAAAGGCAATGAAGTGGATGCAGCAAAATTGGTACAAGCTTTAGAAAGTGAGAAACTTGGTGCGTCTAGGGCTGTTTCACAAAACCAACAATTAAAGCAACAATTGACTGAGATGGAAAATGCTTTTGTTACACTTGTAAGTCATTATCATTATTATATCATTATTATATCATATTGATAGATATAATACTACTAATATTATCTTTCATTATATTATTAAAACAATTTATTTCTGTCTAAATATATATAATAAATATATTTCTTCTTTCACAGAGTAACACTAAGTTAGATTTGACAGAACAACTTCAAGCTGAACGAAATATTGGCAGAAAATTAAATGCAAGATTGAATATTGTTGAGACAGAAATGGACAATTTGAAAGAGAAATTAAAAGAGAAGGAAACGTGTTTAATAGAATTAGAGAAAGAAAAGTTGCAAAATGCTCAAATTACAGATCAGATGCAACACTACCAAGCTCAATCTCATCATGCTCATACATTACAACAAGAATTACAAAACGCTTTGGTAATTTGTGAAACTTTTTAAATAAATTGATAATTTTAATATATTTATAATTTTTCAGCCTAGTTACGGTATAATTCACGCATTACTCTAATTACTATTAACTATGGTAATCTTGTTACCATAATAATTTAATTACTGTAATTTATGTTAAAAAAATGTATAGGTTTATATAGAAGAGTTAAAAAAGGAAAATAAAGAACTCACAAAGAAATTAGAAATGCAAACACAGGAAGAAATAGCTTTGCCAGAAGCAACTATAAATGTTAATGGAGACCAACATGTAATAAGATTGGAAAATAATGATGATATTACAACAACACAAAGTTTGTCATTGTCAAAAGGTAAAAATACGTTGGATGATTCTAGACCTATTACAAAATTAGAAAAAAAATTTAAAGATGCAATGGAAAAAGTTGCCGAATTAACTGATGAAAAACAAAAATTGGAACATTTAGTTCTCCAACTCCAAGGTGAAACTGAAACTATTGGTAAGCTGTACTATTTTTATAATACAGACTTGTTTAAAGTAATCAAACTTTTCTTAAGTATTATGATAAGATATAATTACCTAATAAAGTTAATTAATTGTACATTGACATAATTGTTTAATCACTTTGCATGGGTTAGGAAATTTACACACACACACACACACACACACACACACACACACACACACACACACACACACACACACACATATATATATATTTAAATTCTTTTACAAATAATTCTCTTCTAAGCAAAAATGATTACAAATTAAATATTAGTGATCTATGAAATTCTGGAATATTTAATTATCTAAATATATTTATATAGGAGAATATATTACTTTATATCAAAAACAACGAGAGGTTTTGACAAACAAATGGAAGGAGAGAGAGGAAACCTTTCGTCAATTAGTAGATCAATGTAATCAACAACAAAAACAATTACACAAGCTAAAAATACTAGTTACTGAAATGCTTAAAAAACATCCTACAGAATCTTGCGTTCAGTTATATAAGGGTAAGTTGTGTAAGGGTATATCTATATCTAATATATATGAGTAACTTTCCCATGTATAATTTCGAAATAATCAATTTCCTCTCCATTATGCATAGAATTAAGGAACAAATATAAAATATGTACTGATATATTATTTTTTTATAGACATACATGTTATTAATCCTGTGGTTCCTAATGATGATGGGCAAGAGAATGCAGAACTACAATTGATTGAAGATAAAACAACATCGCAGATCCTTGATCTTCTAACAGAAATCAAAGATTGTAAAGACATATACATTACAGGACCAGACTTCCATCCATGTCCATGGTGTTCAGGAAAGCTCATCACTGTGTAATCGTGAATAGATTCATTCGTTTTAACATTTGTTATAATAAAGTACCATATTTATGTAACACTACAGATATATTAGCTTATACTATAGACCATATAATGCTTGTACATAAAAAACTACTAAATTTTTTTTAAACTTGTGTATCAATTTCTTAAAAATGGGTGCGTACAAAAAGTATGTCCAAGGAATTACTTTATAAATATACAGTGCCTTGAATAGTTTTGCGGATTGAATTTTTCATCATACCTAGATGCTTAAAACTTTCCTAAGATTGCAAGTATCATGCTTTTTTTTTTAATAATTTATCATACAACTTTTTTATGAAATATTTATTTTGCGTATTAAGTAAAGATGTACACGTTATACTTTCAAAGCATACTTCCTCTGTGGGAATGCAGAATGCTTTCGTATCTCCTTCAATGTCTTTCTGCTGGCCTGGTAAGGAGTAAGAACACGACGCAGAGCCCTAGTTTTCTTGGGCCTCAAGTCAAGGGGCTTATACTTCTTATTTTTATAAAATAAACGAAGATTTTCCTTCTGCTTCTGGTGCATAATAATATAGACACGTGCAATAGCCTTTCTTACAACACGGCTGTAAGAAAAATAAAACAATTATGATATATCGAATTATACATTTACTACTTTCGTATAAACATATTGCAAGTTATTTATAATTAGTTTAAAGATACTGAATATAAAATTAAAAAAATAAAGCTGGATTAATAGATAACTCAGGAATATTTTGTTTCAAACTTAAGTATTAATATCTTACATCAAACTTACATCTTAGATAATTTAGAAGCTGCTCCTCCAGTTACTTTAGCCACCCTCAAAGTGGTCAATTCTGTTTTTAGCAGCTCGAGTTGCTTGAGCAACTCCTTCTTATCTTTTGTCCTCAATTCAGAACACTTTACCTTTGCCTAAAACAATAAACACATGTTAAATATATTTATATATATTGCAATTCATCAAAAATTATTGCTATTATACTAAATTATATTGGTGAACTTAATTGTGTATATATACTAATTGCTTAAATTTAGCCGATAAATAATCGGTATGAAAACTACATTTCTTATTTTATTATCCACCCAATTTGTTATTTAATAATCACGCTATCAGTGTTTCATGATGTAAGTTGGATAATAGGTTATGCTATTTAATTTTCATTGTTAAAAAGATTGGACCAAAAAGCTATAGTCCACTCATTAAACAATAACAATCATAGAGTTCTTATCAAATAACTATAGTACTTTAACTATTGATGATTTAAATAAATTCGGATTATTATTTCACATATCTACTAACCATCTTGGATCGCGTTTCTTACACTGCCAAAGGACAATCAAAAGGTAGAAAGGAAGCTGCAAACTGTAAAGTTGGTGAAGAACGGAATAGCCAACACAAAACAAGCACATCCCAATAGGGATATTTGATTTCAATGTCGGCAGAGAGAAACCTGAAAGCGGCCACCCCGAGCCGGTTACGCCGGGACAATTTTTCCGACGCGCCCCCTGCGAAAATGTGTGCACACTACGCCCGTCCTGACGATAACGGCAAAGCATGTACGGTTCTTGTTCACTCTATATCCTTAAGGAAGATAGTAAGATAGAAAAGCATAGACGATCAATCGCTCTCCGTCTTTGTTGCACCATCGATGCGTACGCGCGGCAGAAGAGGCACGAGGCGAGTCAGCGGCAATCTTAAGCCAGCGGTACACGGTGCTTGTTTTCGTGCTGGATTGCTTGCTGGATGAAAATATTGCGTTGTGATTGGTACATTTCCGAAGGATAGAAGTACCGTGTGCCGCTGGCTTTATCGCCTTAAGCCAAAATCTCTCCCGTCTTGCCCCTTCGTCTTCTCATCTTTCATGCAACGCACTACCCGCAATTCGGGAAGAAATATTTCAAGATCACGCAGACAACTTCTAGCAATGATACAAAATGACACTAATGGGGGTGGCCATTTTTATAATTTTTATTCAATTTTATAATTTTCATATTCAGTTATGAACATACACATGTATATGCGTTGTAAACTTAGCCCTGATTGGATAAATTTCAATCCAAAAAAAGTGTCCCGGCGTAATATCGAGGGAAACACCCAATTCGACACAGCACGATTGCACACAACCAACCGATGCAAAGTATTATCTGGTGAATTACTAAATCCAACCAATCATTTACTTTGTGTTCAATCGTGTAGTGTCGAATAGATACGCACCCGCCAATAGTCGTATCTAACAATTTTGTCATACGACAATTAAAATTATAATCTGATTCGCTTCTTGTCACTGTTTATGATTAAATTTGTGACAGTTGGTGACAGCTAGTAGTTAGTGCCGTTTTACGTGATATTATATAGATATGTTATAAATTTCTTAAAAATGCTAACAGTAAAATAATGTATTTCTCTCAAGAATATTAATGAAAAAACACCAGCATATCAGTTCTATACGCATAATTTGTGTGTATAATATGTACGGTGAACGAGAAGACCAACATAAAAATAAAGATGATTTTCAGTCATTTGACACGATTATGACAGACGAGGAATTTCAGTATTGTTAAAACAATAAGAATCTCATTAATCAATATAAGCAATGGCACCCGCAAAAGACAAGTGGATTAGACGTTTTATAATTCCTGAGACAGCAAGACATAAGAAAGGCTTTACAATTTACAAAGTCACTTCTATGGTATGATGTATGCTTTAAGAAATTATTGTGCTTTATTCTCTGAATTTTGATTATTTATACTAATTATAACTAATATCGGATGATATTAGTTCAATATTATTTATCTTTTTATATTTTATATAGGTGTTCCTGAATTCTTCTCATGAAGAAATATCTAAAGTTTCTGTGTGGAAGCGTTACAATGATTTCAAGAAGCTTCACTCAGAACTTAGTAATTTACACAAACATTTAGGAATAAAAGAAAGCTTCCCTACTTTCCCTAAATCAAGATATTTTGGCAGATTTGAAGCTGAAGTTGTAGAAGAAAGGAGGAAATATGCCCTTAAATTTTTGGAATTTATAGGACAATACTCGTACTTATATTCCAGTGATATTTTTATAACATTTTTTGAAACTAGTCACGTGGATAATTGCAACAGTGATTGTGCACATTCCATAAGCTCTGATACATCAGAAGATGATCGTATTGTTGCTTTGAATAATTCTGTGCTGACAGATGATACTATAGCACAAAGTACTTTTCAAGTGCCATATCTTTCTAAAACATCTAATAATGTTCTAACAAACACATATTCTACACTGTCAAATATTTGTACAAATGAGAATGAATGTGCAGTATCTCACAGAAAAAGTGAATCTCACAGCACCACTAATTTACAAAAAGCAAGTATTACACGAGATGAAGAAAATAATAAAATGACAAAGCAGTATATACAAGATACCACTAATCAAGACTGTGATGTGCATATTAGAAACACAAATCTTGACAGAAATCACAAAGTAACACTACATGATGAGTCAGGGTTTGACTGTCTAAATAATAATATTAGTAAAAATCTTTCAAATTGTAACACTGCTCATTCTACGTATTCCATGACACAGGCAGACTCTGCACAATATATTTTAATAGCTGCTGGCCATATGAGTGCAGCTTTCAAGCATGAATCTATAGCAGAATATAAAGAAGCTTTTACACAGTACAAATTGGGAATATCATCTCTTATAACTGGTGTACAGCTTGATCCAGACAGTACAAGAGTAGCGAATATAAAAGAAAAAATATCAAAATATTTAGCACAGGCTGAGCAATTATATAATAAGCATTTAAATTGCAATATTTCATTAATAAGTAAACCTGTGTCAGAACTCCAATATTATAAAATACTTAAAATAATGAAATCAGTAATGCTTGCAACAGACATGCGTATAAATTGTAGCAGAATCATAAAGGTAAAATATTTTAACTATGTGTATATTTTTATATAAACTCTAAATTTATTATAAATTAAAACAAAAAATTGAGCTATTTTCTGATATTTAGTTTTAGAATAAAATATTTGATTATATTCTAGTCTATAGAAAAATCTTCTGTTCATGAGGATAACATAAATAATTATGTATTACGTGAACGAGTGCCATACATGGTAGAGTTGTATTCATGTGTAGAAACTGAGACTGCTGTATTTCTGATCCTGCAATATGCTAAGTACGAATTGATAATTATATTTATAATTTTCTATGCAATATCGTTTATTTACATAATTTAAATCTCATTGTAGTTGTGGAAGATTATGGGATTTCATTAAATTACGTTATAAACCACCCAATAATTTGATCCTAAATCACATATGTACAAATAATTATGTCAACAAACTTGATAGTAACGAAAATACTCACGAACTCAAGAAAACTGATAAAGTTATAGAAAGTGATATATCACAGGGTAAAGATCATATATGCTCGATAGATGAACAAAATGAGATCTATAGCATGGAGGTACCAACCGTACAATTGTTAGAAAAATCACAAAAATTGTTACAATCCGTTAATGCGACATTAAGAAGAAGCAATTCCATTGCTAGTCGATTAAACAAATCTAAGGAATTGAGATACTCGGGAAATGCATCATCACTGAATGCAAAAATTATTGCTCAGATATCGCGGGATTCAGATCTTAAAAGAAATAACGATATCGGAAGTACTTCTGTTGATACAAATGCTTTAAATATCAATTGTACCATTAATGTAAATAATCATTTAACATCAAATAACGACCGCAACATTTATGAGACACAATATCCGCATCTATACAAAGAAAATAATGCTGATGACGACCAAGAACTTTGGCAAGTACCTGAGACTGTGGTCCGATCATGGGCAGCTGAAATTCTTTTAGCCCTGGAAGTGCTTCACCAACAAGGTGTCTTTATTTTCGATTTCAAACCTGATAATATTCTTATCGACGATATGGGACATGTGCAGCTCACTTATATCATACCACAACACAATGTGGAATTATCAAAACTGACATACCCATATTCGTCTCCAGAGTCGGCAACATTTTCCCCGACCATTTTTGTTACGTCTGCCACAGATATTTGGAGCTTTGGAGTTATTTTATACGAGTTACTTACCGGCATTGTATGTATAATTATAAGAATCATATGTCTATAATTATTAATATAAGAATAACGTCCAATTTTCCCATTTCGTAGACGTTTGCTGTTAAACATCCTGGATTATTTCACTCACATTCCGCAATTAGTATTCCTAGCAAGCTATCAGAAAATGCGAGAACTTTGTTATATGGCGTAAGTGTAATCATATAAATTATAAAATACGACTTAAATTCCGAAATTATTTGCGAAATTATTGTTACAGATTCTAAAGTATCATCCGGACGAACGATTAACGATAAGCGAAATAAAGCGTCATCCATTTTTTGCAGTAATTGATTGGTCCAGTATGGTCAATTCTTAAATCTAATATTTATACTGTTAGACAAATAACAAATTCGGCTTAACTGTTAATAATTGCGTAAGTGTTTATTATTGTACAGTCAGAATCATATTAATTTATATAATACAAACTGAAAATATATCTTAATATTATAAAAATAATATAAACTGAAATAACTGAATAAACTTTATAATATAAACTGAAAATGTATCTTAATATTATAAAAATAGTTACGTTGATAAAAAAAATAAAGAATTCCTGCGTGAAAATATATAAATTTTATATGCATGATATTTATATGTATGATGAATTATCTAGGTTGGATTTTTTCAGTTCTACATATCGTTGACATACCATCAATAAATCTAGTTGTGAATAAGACATTAGCATTGTTGAACATACCATCCTTTAAAGATACAACTATAAATTGCGAACACTTGAAGTGCCGTTTTAACATTGTACCGATATTTTCCGTATGTGAAAGGTCTAAAGCGGCATCTACTTCGTCCAGAATGTACAACGGAGCCGGTTTATAAAGAAGCATAGCCAAAACTAATGACAGGGCAACTAATGATCTTTGACCACCGGATAATTCTCCTAATGATTCTTTCCAAATACCCGAAAATCCAACTTTCACCTCCAAACCATCCATTATCGTTTGATTCATCGGTGGTTCTAGTTTAGCATTGGCTCCTGGTAGTAATGTACTAAATATTGAGCCAAAGTCTTTATTTACCTGAAAAAAAGGAGAGAGTTAGTAAATTTTAGAAACTATAGATTTATATCGATATAAGATTTAAAACATCTCAAGAATCATTTGTTTCATGTGTGAACATATGAACAATTTTATATGAACTAAATTTTTGCAATGAAAAATTATACCTGTTCCCAAGCTTTAACTAAAATTTGTTTCTTCTTTTCGTCTAAGTGTTTAATGGTTTCAAGAATTTTTATCTTATCATTTTCAACTATTTTCTTCTTTTTCATCGTGTCGTTATATTGTTCCTCTTCTTTGTCAAGAAGACTGATGGCCCGTACATTTATATTGCGGCTTAATTTGTCATGTGTTCCTTCTAAATGCTGTATTTTTTGCGACATTTCATCTGGTTTATTAACTTCAAAATCATATATTCCTCCTAAAAAATATACAAATACATACATATATATATATATATATATATATATATATATGTAAGTTTCTTTATATAATCTAATCAAAAATTTCATATTACTGTTTATATTACATTTTTATAAAAAAAATTAATTAAACAAAATTAACATCTTCCTTCCTAAATACCTTTCTTTCCAAAATAAGCTTTCTCTTCCTTAATCCATTCATATCTTTGTGTGAATTCTGAAACTTTGTGCTTACAATCTGTCGCGCATTTTTTGATGGCATTAATTTCATGATTTAATTTTTTAATGTCCAATTCAAATTCCTTATTTTGTTTAATAATGTCTTCTTTTTTTGTTGTCAACTTTCGCATATCTTTGTTTTGCTTTATAATGATATCTTTTTGTTCTTTAACCATACTCTGCAGTTCTGCAACTTTAATTTTCACTTCTTTCAATTCTTCCTCAAGAGTTTCCCCTTTTTCCTTATACATATTGCTTTCTTTCTCTGTCTGAAATAATTGTTCATTACCGCTTTCGATCGTCTGTTTCAACTCTTTAATTTCTAATTCAAGCGTCTCCGATTCCTGTTCCCTATTTTGCCATTCTTTATGACTCTTTTCGGCCTTTTTCTTTAAAATATTTAATTGATTTTCAGCCTCCTTTAATTGTTCTTCTCGAATATTTACAGCATCCTTCAACTTCAATTCTATATCTCTTGCACGTTTTGTGCTTTCTATTTCTAAATTCTTTGCTGTGGTTATCCGTTGCATAAGATCCTCAATAGCTGTGTTCAAAGAATTCACCTGAAAATAAATGTATAAGTATGAACGAATGTGCGTGTGTATAGGCAGAGATTCTTTGACATTATGATTATGTTACATCTAATGCAAAATTATTTGTGTATGTATATATATATACCTCTTCTTTGATCTTATGATAAGTAGTTTGTTGTATTCTTTGTCGTATGATACCAATCTCATAACTCAATAAATCATACTTTTGTTTTAAAGTCGCATATTTCTCTGCAATTACTTCAACATTCGATAAAGTAGTCTCCACATCTTTCAAAAGACGTTCTTTGTTATTCAATTCATTCTGAGTTTCCTTCAATTCTTCCAATTTTAATAAAATCGAGCCAGATTTCGCTCGAGCACCACCGGATAAAGTACCAGCTGGATCAAAGAGATCGCCTTCCAAAGTAACACACTTCTTCATAATTCTTTCATGAAATGCTATTTTCTTGGCACTTTCCATGTCTTTGCATACAAATATTTGACCAAACACCCAGGTCATCGCTGGTCTAATCTCATCAGAAAAATCTATAAGAGACAAAGCAGACTGAACATTCTCTTTGCCAACCAGTTGTTCTGCCAAATCGATCATTTGTCGATCCATCGATCTACCAACCACTCGATTCAGTGGGATAAACGTAACTCGCTGTTGTAATTGTCCATGTTGGAGAATCTTCTTACTTACAGTTTCTGTATCCACTATTACATTGTAAAGCTAAAACATAATTATATCCATGAAATAAAAAAGAAATTTCATAAACATAGATAAAGTAATATTACCTTTCCTCCTGCAGCAATCTCCAAGGCATATGCAGTTTTCTTGTCTTTTATATTAAGTAACTTGCACACGATGCCTTTTACAGACTGTGAATTAAAATTAGGTTCGGGCTTCCGATAGTCAAATTTCGTTTGAGGATATCTTGATTCAAATTGATCAATTTTTTCATGCAATGATCTTATTTCAGTAATTAAGGTATGCTTTTGCTTCATCAGATCTTCCACATAATTATCTTCATAATTCAATCTATCCAATTCATTCCTTAAATTTTCCAACTCTTTTTCTTTCACTTCTAGATCTTTATTATATTTCTTATATTCATTCTCAGTATTGTGCATATCTTCTTGTTTCTTAGTCAACTGTTGCCTATTGTGATTCAGTGTCATTTCGCATTGCTTAAGCTCAGTTTGTGCTTGCACCATATTCTGCTTTGCATTTATTAGTTGCTGCTCCAACGTTGCATTTTCACCATCATCACTCTCTAACAAACCTGAACTTATTTTCTGGTATTTCTCTTGTGCCTTTAATACTGCTTCAGCATCCTTTTGATCCATCTCTTTCAATTTCTGAAAAAGATCACCTACTTTCCCAAACTCTTTTTCCTTTAACATAAGTACTTTTTTATCGTCTTCTATGTTATTCTTTGTTTGTTGAATTGCTTTAATTACTGCTTTGATATTTTCTTTATTACCATTTATTTCAGCTGATAATTTAAACTGCTTCTTTTCATATTCCTTCAGTTCATGCTCTGCTGACTCCAACTTATCGCCCTCTTCCTGTTAGAAATTTATACAATATTAATATTTTTACATACTATGTCTAATAAAATATTATTCAAATTGATTTTAATATTATTATTGGAAAGATAATATAATTATCGTTATTAAACTATTAGATTTGCGAGAAATACAAAGAAATAAAATATCATACAGCTTCCTTAATCTCCAATAATTCAGCATATTTTTTTTCTATGCTTTCGATTTCTTCTACACCATCAGCTATAGCCTCCAACTTTGAATCTATTTTATCTTGCACAATCATGACATTTTCTTCTGCTTCTTCACTATTATGTAAGGCAACAACATATTTCCATGCTAAATAAACTCTCATACTATGTTCAAGTTCTCTCTCTATGCGTTGGAATTCCACATATTGCATTCTCTCTTCCTTCAATTTTTCTAATTTTGGACCTATTTCCTCTCTCAAGATCTAAAAAGTACATAACAATTAAATATAAAGTATACAAGTAAAAAAATAAATGCAAAAGTATGTCGTTGATAACATACATCATTTATTTCTTTCAATTTTTTATCCTTTTTTACTATAGTGAGCAATGCAGATTGTTTCTTCTTTTCATACATTTTTGTACCTGCTGCTTCTTCCAACATGGATAAAATTTCAATTGGCTTCATATTCAGTACTTTTGTTATTCTACCTTGCATGATCAAAAAGTGTGGATTATTTACATTCAACTGAACAGAGCAAAATAAATCTTGCACACGTTTGTTCTGTACATTTGTTCCATTAATCATATACTTATTTTTGCCACCAATTACTACTTGTCTTGTAATTACAATTTCTTCATGATGTTCATAACCCATAGGAGATGATTCTCTATCATGATTATCAAATGTTATTGTAACACTAGCTTTTTTAATTCCTGCTTGGCCAGATTTATAAACTAAATCTTGTAAAGAAGTAGCACGAACCTGTCAAATAAATCAAAATAAATCATATTAGTTACATGGTACAATAGATTAATAATTTGAACTTTAATATAAATTAAAGTTACGTATAAATGTCAGACTAATAATTTTATATGATAATTTTTGTATATCAGCATAATGTAACAAAATTGAAGAAAAAACTATTGTCTGTATGAGATAGTTATACTGGAAAAGTAAGGCTGTGTTAGAATGTTCAATAAGATTAGAAAATCAACATTCTACTAAGAGAATATTTATAGATATGTAAAATGTATGAATAGATATGTAAAAAATACCTGGCCGAGATTTGTAATACCCAAAACAAAGCATATTGCATCTAAAATATTCGACTTCCCGCTACCATTAAATCCTGTAATCGCATTAAATTCTTTATCGAAACCGTTTATTTCGATCCTTTTACCATACGACTTGAATCCTTCCAATACCATCGATTTGATATACATATTGAAAAGTAAAAGAGAGCCACACGTGTGAAATATAACAATATATTTATTATTGGCAACGTCTACGCGTTATGTCGGTAAGATTTAAACATCTCAGCACATACAATTATTCATAAACACTGACGCCGGCACCCGCGCCGGTTGAACTGCGTTCACAGAACGCAACGGTTAAATGATTGACTGTTGGAAATTGAATGTTATTGGTTGATCTAAAAATATATACACCAATCGTAAGTCATTTTTTATCTTGTCCTAAAGGTACCAATACATGGGAGCGTCGAGCGTCAAAGCGTCCAACCAATCAAAGTTCCTTGTTTTTATCCCTGAAATAAGAAATGAAAAACTGATTGGTTGGACGCTTTGACGTTCGACGCTCGACGCTCCCATGTAAAGGCGCCTTTAGGGCCAGAGCACAGCTTCTGCATAACGCATAATATACAACGCATAAGAGAATCAACCAATCAGAGTTCTTCATTTCTGTCCTCAGGAGAGAAATGAAGAAAACTAATTGGTTTATTGGCCGCGGTCAGCAGACACAACTGTTGTAAAACTGTTGTACAACTCTTGGGTGGATGTCTGCTGAACGCACTTTGATCAGTTACTGCTCCTCAACATGTTTAGGGAGCGGACGCCATTTTTTCCACCAAAGATTTTCTTCGCTACCTAAGCTCAACATGTTGGAAAACAATATGGCGGCGCCCATGTGTTTGGATGTATTAGCTGAACTTATAAAACTTATTAAACGTAAAAGAAAAAATAATGAATTGTCGCATTAGTAATAATGATATGTATAGTGTTAACTATACATTTAATGGTGCCGAATATAGTATAACAGATACAAACGAGGTACACTCAAGACTACGATCAGGTAAATACTTAATATATATTACATATTGTTTGTTTCTTAAAGTGTACTTGCAAGTAACTTTTTCTTCTTTTTTCATTTAATAATATTTTTACATGTGTTAAGCTTTGTTTAACTACTTTGATATTATTATAGAATAAATATTATAGAAAACCATCATCCACTGCAAATAACGCTATAATATCCAAATCGTCCATTTTTTCCAATTATTAAACACACTAATGCTTAATTTCTTTCGGCTCTTTCTTCACCTGATGGTTAAATTTAATCAGTTATTTCAATCGAATTGACAAATCGTATAAAAGGTTTGAAAAATAATGCAAGATCACGTGACACGAATTGACTAATCGTATAAAAGGTTAGAAAAATAATGCAAGATCACGTCACACGCTGTATTCTGAGGCTAAAATCCCCGTTCAGCAGACACGATCCGTATCACTAAGCTCTCACTGATTATTCGCTCACCGATTTGCAATTGTTGTAATCTGCTGAACGCGCCCATTCTCTTATGTGTTATGTATCACATCACTAAATAAGTTCATAGGATGACATATAGATGGCGCTACTATTGACAAATCCATATGATTTTTAGTAAGTACTAACCTTCAAATGATACGTATCAAAATTTCATGACAATCGGACGTTTAGTTCACAAGTTACAGTGGTTTTAGTGACGCTACTGTTTTAATTTTAAAAACAATGGAAAAATCTGAGTTTCGTGTGTTAATAAAACATTGCTTTTTAATGGGAAAAAATACCGTTCAAGCAAAGCAGTGGCTTGACAAGTGTTATTCGGACTCTACTCCATCGAGACAAATGGTAGAGAAGTGGTTTGCTAATTTTAAAAGCGGCCGTACAAATACCGATGACGCTGAACGCTCTGGTCGCCCAAATTCGGCAGTTATTCCAGAAAACATAAAAAAAGTTCACAAAATAGTTTTAGCCGGTCGTAAATTAAAATTACGTGAGATAGCTGACACCTTAAAGATATCAGAAGGCAGTGTATTCACCATTTTGCATGAACATTTGTCCATGAGGAAGCTTTGTTCGAAGTGGGTACCGCGTTTGCTCACAGTCGATGAAAAACAGCAACGCGTCGACGATTCAGCGAGCTGTTTGGAGCTGTTTCAGCGCAATAAAAAGGATTTTTTGATACGGTATGTGACAATGGGTGAAACATGGATCCATCACTACACTCCAGAGTCAAATCGGCAGTCAGCTGAGTGGACAGCAACCGGCGAAACCCGCCCAAAGCGACGAAAAACGCAAATGTCAGCTGGTAAGGTTTTGGCCTCCATATTTTGGGATGCGCAAGGTATTTTATTCATTGATTACCTTGAGAAAGGAAGAACCATCAATAGCGAATATTATATGGCGTTATTGGTGCGTTTGAAGGAAGAAATTGCGAAGAAACGACCCCAAATGAAGAAAAAAAAAGTGCTCTTTCACCAGGATAATGCATCGTGTCACAAGTCGCTCGCAACAATGGCAAAATTGCACGAATTGCACTTTGAATTGCTTCCCCATCTACCGTATTCTCCGGATCTGGCTCCCAGCGACTACTACCTGTTTGCAGACCTAAAAAGAATGCTCCAGGGAAAGAGATTTGACTCCAATGAAGTGATTGCCGAAACTGAAGCCTATTTTGAGGCCAAAGATAAATCGTTCTACAAAAAAGGCATCGAAATGTTAGAGAAGCGTTGGAAGCAATGTATCACTCTTGAAGGAGACTATGTAGATGAATAAAGTCAAATTTTGCCTAAAAGTTGTTTTATTAGTCATCCTACGAACTTATTGAATGATGTGATATAAAGCGTGGTCTACAATGGCCGTAAGCAGTAAGAAGAAAGCGTGAAGAATAAGAAATGGACCAATCACAGTCGATTATGACAAAAATAATCAACTGTGGTTGGTCCATTTCTTACTGTTCACGCTTACTTCTTAGGGCCAGAGCACAGGTTCTTGCATAACACATAATACATAACACATAAGAGAATAAACCAATTAGTTTTCTTCATTTCTCTCCTCAGGACAGAAATGAAGAACTCTGATTAGTTGATTCTCTTATGCGTTGTGTATTATGCGTTATGCAGAAGTCTGTGCTCTGGCCCTTAAGGCCTATCCAGACAAACTTGCATAAGCGCGTAACGCATATGCATAAGGAAATTGATCAATTATGATCCGTGTACAAAAAAATATTTTTTGTATGAAACATACGATTAGTCAATTTCCTTATGCATATGCGTTACGCGCTTATGCAAGTTTGTCTGGATAGGCCTTTACTGCTTACTGCCATTGTAGACGACGCTTAAGCCTACTCTACTCTACTCGATTTATCGGACAGCATTGAGTTGTCATAAATCATGAAGATAGTAGATGGTCGTGTCTATCATACCTTTCAGTCCTAGTAGAACCAACTTGAACTCGATTTATTGTAAACACCCATTATCTTGTGGGTGCTAAGGTCCACAGACTTCTCATCACTTCTCATGGAGATTTAAAAGATAAGCATAGCCTTTTTCGTTTTTTTTGACTAAAATATAGGGAGAATCATCTTATAACTATATTTGCAATTTGTAAGGAAAATTGTTCGTACAGATCATTTTTCTTTCTTTAAAGACTTGAGATAAAAACCGCTCAATTCACTAAACTAAATTTCTATGGCAAAGCATAATTCACAATGCGTTTGATGTTCGACGTTTCTTTTAGGAACAGAAAAGATATCAAACTAAAACTCATAAACGCAACATTCCTTCTCAGTTTTGGAACTGACAAAATAGCGAGATCTTCACAAAACACAGAATAAAAAATTTTTATTAAATCACCAACATACACACACGCGCGCACACACACATATGTATATATATATATATATATATATGTATACATACCAAAAAAATATATATATATATATACACACACACACAAACAATATGTTCTAACGAGTTCAAACGGATATTTGTAAGACAACGTTATTTTGGTACAATTTTACCAATGTAAAAATCAAATTTCCAAAACTGATCTGGCACATTGGCACAGGCAGTCGCAAATACATCTTCTTCATTCTGTACCTGAGAACCATCAAGACAGAGACCAGTTTCTACATGTACAATTTTGCTATCCTACAATCAAATAACATATTTTAATTGCTGGTAATATAATAGCACTTATTTGTAGGTTTTTCGAGTTAATATGATACCTTTGTTAATACCCATTCCTTTCCACCTTTTTCATTATTACAATCCGACATTTCAACTTGAGTGTGCACTCTTGAGTCATCAGCATTCACTCTCGCACAATTATCATCCCTTCGTAACTCGCCAGAATTACTCAATGAAAAAAACTAAGTTGCACAAGCATATGTGTGACCTTTAGTGAAATCGTTCTCATAGTACTTAAATTAAAGTAATCTACATTGATATACAGACCTGACTTGGATATAACTTGGAATGACAACTGTATAAACCTAAATTGTATGGTTTATCCTCGTCACGTTGTAGATTGTCTAAACACAGCAGTCTATTGCGTAATCTGACGCGGCCATATGCTATGGCGTGCTCATCAGGAATGAATTTCTCTGGATAAATATTATCAAGATACCATTTAAAGCTTTTACATTTGAGCTTTCGGCGTAATTTTAAACGCTCGCTTATATCCCCAAACAAACTTGATTTATTCTGAGAATTTTATTTATTTATATAAGAGATGCAGTTAAATATAATAATTAATAATTATATATTTCTAATCTTTTACCTTAAACTCACTGCGATGGAGCAAAAATAATCTCTTATATTCATCCATCCATACAAATGCTAAACGAGCAGTATTTATTCCATGAGTATCTTTATCGTTCGGAAATTTATATGGATGAAAATTTCGAAATATATGGCCAACTCGAGAACAAGGAATAATCTCTAATGTACCACCACATTGCCAAATCTATTGAAGAATAACAATTTATTAAAAACGTAAAATTTTATCGAACCACTAAAAAATACCTGTATGTATCTTCATGACTATATGTTTAATGAGTTAAATTTAATACTTGGGAGTGAATCTAACTTACTCTGAAAGACATTTCCAAATTTTCACCTCCCCAGCCGTCCATTTTATCATCGTAACTACCAACTTCCCAAAAATATTTTCTGTCGATAGCAAATAAACCTCCCGCCATAGTAGGAGATCTAGTCGGTGATATAAGAGAAAGACGCGACTTAAGCTCGTGCTTTTGAATATTTATCCACGTAAAGTGACCTGACCATGTGAAACCACCAACTTGAAAAAAGGATGCTTCATTATCATGAAAGTATTCTAACGTCTCTTCAGAAATATTATCAATTATTGGCATTAATACAGCATTTCTTTTTTCCTTTATTCGCTGAAGCAAAGGCTGTAACCTGTAACATACATACATATATGCCAATGAAGCTTTCTCCATATATAAGTGTGTATAAAATTAGTTTAACATTCAAGATATATAGCAAATCCAATATAGAAAATGTAGAAAAAGGTATACTTTCTATCTAAATTGATACCAGTTTGAAATACCAGTCTTTGATAACTTCGCAATGTGCATCCAAGAAGACAAGAACGTCGCCTGTAGCATTTTTAGCTCCATGAAGACGAGCACGTATCAGTCCTTGTCTATATGGCAACCTCAACAATTTGACTTTTGTAGGTAAACGCGTCGACAAATAATAATCAAGTTGTCCTTGAAGTTCCTCTATATAAATTAACAGAATATAGATATAAAATATATACTTTAGAAAAAAATAATTATTTAATATGTATGCTCCCTTACAATTTACATATTCATATATTGTGATTTCAATACCTTCCTCACTATGATCATCAACCAAAATAATTTCTTTTAATAAATGTGGCAGAGAACCTTTCAAAACGCTATGTACTGTACGTAATAAAACACTCCATGGTTCGTTATAAAAAATAATTATCACACTAACACTTGGTAGTAATGTGTCATATGTAAGATTTGCACACCTATAATATATAAAGTTCATATGTATATATAAGCACAAATATAAATATAAAAAAAATATTCTAATCAGTATAACATTTTTACATGCATGAAAATGTTCTTTTTTGTGAAGTACCTTACAATATATAATAAATTCTTACAGTGGGTTGCGTACATCTGGTAATTTTCTAGTTAATGATATCTTATTTGAAAGGACAACATTCAGTGCTTTTTTTGCAAGTACTGTTTCACCTTCAACCTTCTCTTTTCCATGTAGATAAGCTGGTTCTCCATTTTCTCCAAGTCCAACTACAACATCATACTCCAATTTTAATATTTGCTGCTCATACCTGAAATGTTATTTTTGTCTTAAGAAAATGCAAAATATAACTAAACTATAAAATATAAATAAGAGAATTTGAACTACACATAAAGCTAATGAAAATAGGAGCAAAGTTTACCTTTCCTTTTTTAGCCTCTGCAAAGCAATATCCACATCCTTTTGTCTCTGAGAGTTATTGCCATCTCTTGGAAACGGAAACTGATCTTTATACGCGTTGGAATTGTCATTAGCACGAAATATTTGCTTGGCAATAAGCAAAATGCAGATTATATATAACGTACAAAATGATAATTTCAACAGACATTTGCGACGGGCAAGCATCATTTTTCAAGAATATAGCATTGCTATTAAATGGCGAGAATCGTCAGATAATCAAAATGATTGTTACTGTGGTTATTATCGTTATCATACAATTAGGTTATGGCAGAGCAATATTTGTCAGATGGACCAGAGGCAAGATACCGATGGCTATGTTTCCTTCAAATCACGTGCACATCTGCAACAAGAATTAAAATTTATCATGAAAATGGATTACTGATACACATTTGTATATTTGAAAGCATCATTTTAACGCGGTAAAGACGATACATACGTCGCGATATTTACAATATGCTAGGAGCCAATACACTTGTCCGTTATTAAGATTAAAAAAACTATAGGTAAAAGGTTAAAAATCAAGTATATAATGCCTACGTTAATGCTGCTGTCGAACTGGTTATACATTTTTACAGAAACATGCATGTATTTTTTTTTTTCTTCATATATATGGAGCTTGCAGGTAAGTATGAATAACATTAATCCACAGCAATAAAATAGCCTCTTATAAAGAAAGTGAAAGGTCTGCACAACCTAATTATAAAACTAGCATTTTTCATACTCTATAGAGAACAAGTGTTTTTAAAAGATATTATTCTAACATTTGTAAACTGCATTTATATTATAAGAATTATATAAGTAGGATATATAAGTTAAAGAACAATACAATACAAGTACAAATACAATAATCTAAACATACATTTGGTGTGCCAATTATATAACAGAAAATTTTTATATTTTTATTTTATTTAAGATTTGATACTTAAGACATTAAAATATTTTATGCACCGATACAAGCCCAAGCTATAAAAATTCAAACAAAAATTTCATTTTATATTAATATTAGCATATTGTTAAATAAAATATAGAAACCTTAGTAAAAATTAACAATTTAAAGAATTAACATCATTCTGTTTTTCTTTTTTACTAGGAATAAACATTTTTTCTATATCAGAAAAGGATTTATGTAATGTTTCTGGTAAAAAGAAATATACATAAGCTGTACTTATTAAAGATACGGAACCAAATGAAAAAAATATATTCTTCATGCTCATAACTTTCAAAATATATGGGTAACTCTTAAGGACAGCAAACATCATTATATAAGCAAAAGAGACCATGAAACTTCCACCAATACCACGTATGGACACAGGAATCAATTCTCCTATTAGTGTCCATGGTATATTAATAATTCCAAATGTACTAAAACAAATATAAGATAATACAAAGAAAAGTAATAGCCATTTATAATCTGTCATGGTTTCTTCTGTACCTCCATTTTTTTCATGTGACATTGTAAAATGCATATATATTCCAGAAAGAAACATGGAAATAGTCATTCCAATTCCACTCAAGATGCAGAGAATTCTTCTACCATATCTTCTACTAGAAAAAACTGTTAATATACTTATAACAAATCTAACAATACCTAACATAACGAGTGCATTGTTTTCGTTAAAACTCTTGCTGAGTGTTTCACTCATTTCGTCAAAAACAGACATAGCATAAAATATGATGATATATGAACCAGAAAGTTGTTGCAACGTAAAAAGGATGAAAAGTATCACCATGGGTTTATATCCGCTAGGAGACGTAAATTTATGATAGTAATTTTTTATATATGTAATTAGAGTATCCGATGTTTCATCATTTGCAACGCGATTTCTGGTTACCTCCATGATTCGCGAGTACTCCTGTTCATAAATCTAAAAAACGTTTATCCATTGATACCTTGAAACATATAGATATTTCAAAACACTGTATTGTACTCACTGTTTGTCTTTTGTTAAGTCGCTTCAAATTGCGTCTCATTTCATGAACCCGTTTCTCATCTAACATGCCATTTTGAAAATATGCAAGCCAATAGGGGCTTTCAGGTACAAAAAACAGTGCAAATAAGATGCAACACTCTAATATACAAACAACTATAGCCATTTTATGCCAGTCTAGCAGTATAGCTAGACAACAAGTTATTAATATACCCAACGAAACAAACACGGAATTAAGACACAAAAGCATTGGCCTGATTTGTGGATGAGATAGTTCTGATATATAAATTAAACCAGTGGTTGTTAAACCTGCTGCAATTCCAGCTATAAATCGAGCTGCATAAATAATAACTATAGATTTGTTAAATATGAGCAAAATCCATGATATTATTGCAGGAACACACGATAACAAGCAAACCACTTTGCGTCCAAATTTATCCATTAAAGGGCCCGCAATAAGAGATCCTATTGGCAAAGTTATTGTAACTAGACTTGCTATAGAACAAAAAGTGCAAAATAATAAGTAATATTACTAATAACTAAAATCCTAATTTTGTTGCAGCTGGTAATGAAGCATATACAAGGTGTTCTAAAAAGATATGTCAAAAATTTAAGGAGATATTCCTCACACCTGAAGGATGAAAAAATGTTATATGGACGTAGGTGCGGAAATGCTTATTTCAGGAGTTATGTTGAAAGTACTGTTAGTTGTTAACTGTAGGATTAATTATTGTAGATGGCAATCGTTTAATTAGGCTTATTTACATTTGGTTTTAATGTAACCTTGAGTTAGTCACAATAAATGTTGAAAATGTTCGTCATTTGCCTGAATACAAGCAGTGACACGTCGACGCATTGATTCACAGACACGTTCAAAAATGTCTGGCGTACAGTGGATTGTCTCGCAACCTGCAGTGATACTCAAGGTCACATTAAAACCAAATGTAAATAAGCCTAATTAAACGATTGTCGTCTACAATAATTAATCCTAAATTTTTCCTTGTGTAAGTAATACACATTGTGTAAGTGTACAGCTAACAGTATTTTCAACATAACTCCTGAAATAAGCATTTTCGCACCTATGTCCATATAACATTTTTTCATCCTTCAGGTGTGAGGAATATCTCCTTAAATTTTTGATATATCTTTTTAGAACACCCTGTATGTGCACATATGTACACTAATACAAAGCTCTGCAAAATTTGCATGTAATTGAATGACAGATTTGAATAGAACATTCATAAGTTTTTAATACAAATTCAGGTATATTGCCTGATTAAGATCAAATATCATATAATTTGCATGTCAAAATAATACATCAGAAGTTTGTATTGGTGCTTATATGAGAATACTTGCAAGCTGCAATAAAATTCTGTTCTATCAAATATTAAATAGTATATTTACTGTACTCAAAACAAACTGAAAAATATCCAAAATTTGTTACAAGACTGACCTATCCAAGACTCTTCATTTTCTGTTATTGCCATTCCAGTATTGTCCAACTTTAGTTCATTTATCAAAACTGTACTGTAAGCCATGTTTACACCAACCTTTATGACTATACAATGGATTATGCAGCTTGCAATAACCTAAAATATATTATTTATAAAATATCACTATTTATAATCAGCCATTTATTTCATGCTTATCATAATTAACGTTTCAAAATACATATGTCCATGACATAAAGAATACAATAATTATAATGCAATTTACCTGTGGTATTATATCTGAGTTTGTTATTTCTTTCTTTGAATTTGATCTTGCAATGGTATATGGAAGACTGTAAAAAATAAAATATTTTAAAATTAAATGCATTAATACTTATATATGTTAAAATTAGATTATAAAAAGATATATATATGTATAAAATTTATAAATGCAAAATATTTTTCATCTATTACCTATCTTCACTGTAAAGTTTATTGTTTTTTTCATTCATCATATATGATACCTCATTAATAGCTTCTTGCATCTTATCCATTTTATATTATATTATATTGTTGTAAAAACTTGTTCAATATTTCTAGAATAAATAGATATATAATATATAATAAATATAACAATTTATAACTTGTATAAAATTACAAAACAATAAAAATACAAATATAAATTATAATGCTTGTATGGATGAATTCTTTATTTCCATAATAAAATTTGCAAAGGTATTCTGTATCTCAAAACTAATAGAATAGTTTCAATATCTCAGAATATATCTCAGAGTGATCATATTGAAAAATAAAATAAAAATGAAGATATCTATAAACTTTATTTAACCTTCTTCTGAATTTGCACTTTCATAACCAATGTTATATATTTGCATAGTCAATATTTCAGTTTATTCAGATTTCTAAATAAGTTGATTTTATACTTTCATATCTCTATAGATTTTTTTGTTGGTTTTAAAGTATACATGTTTCTCTGCAAACTTTGTGAAAACTAACAGGAACATAAACTCACTCTGTATTTCTTGGACAATTAAAAATGTTGCATACATAGAAACCGTAAAGATGTATTAAATAAATCAATCATTTAACGTAAATTTTTAACGTAAATTAAAGAAAAGATAGAAAATTCAAAAAGAATTTTGTTTACCACTGGTATAAAAGTTACATTAAAATTTATATATGTAATTTATGTACAAATTTATGTAAAATATTTTCTATCGTAGAAAAATACGCTTATGAAATAATTATCTTTAGTACGTTTTTATATTATCCTATACATGCATATATTTAAGAAGACTTACTCTTACGTCAACGTCATGTAAAATAAATCATCATTTTAAAATGGAGAAGTACAAAAATCGAATTCGCAATTCTTTTCATGAACATAATGACAGATTTACACTGCACGACGTTCTATGTACGACTTTTCACTATCCAATAAAAGAAATTTGCTTTCTAGGAAGTAGCTAAGAACTAGACAAGGATATATTTGTCCCTAAAAAGTAAATATTCCTATTGGGTGGCAAATATCATATCATTAGACATGTTGCATAACATAAGATACGTTAACAATAAATTATTATTAAATATTCCATAATTTATAAAGTGGTCATATATAAAATATATGCATGTGATTTAGTTAACGTTACATCGATGAAACTTGCCATATCGGCTGCGTTCCGATATTCACTGCCAGCACTGAAATTCTATAGTATACGTCACACAAACTATGTATTTTCAGTACTGGCAGTGAATTTCGGAACGCAGCCGTTGTGTGTGGTGCCGGCTTTAGTAGAATTTAGTGGGATATGCGCAATGTTTTTAGAAATGTCGCACGCATGATTGTTTATCCGCCATTTTGTTTTACTGCCGTACGCGCAGTTTTCAGTGATACGGTGCATAATTTTAACATGAATTTAAGTCATTGAGACGAATTAAATCAGGCGGTATTACCGCTTTATTAAACTTTTGTCTATTTACGGAAATAGCGTCGCTCGAGGAATGTGAAAATCGACTTATCAGAGTAGTACCGTGATGGCAATCCGTGACAAGTTACATCTGACCCAACTTTCCTGACTTTTGAGGCCAAATGGCGATTACCAAATAAAACGGACGATTTTCGCTTGGTTCGTCACGTAAGTCTATCCGAAGCGTTTGCCGCACGTACGTATAAAACAGCGCCGAATAATTAACATTACCACTTAACGCCATTGAACGCTGAAAATATTTTAGACCGACGTATTATACGTAGTCCTACTAATGTTCCCTCAATTTTCATCTGCACCGTTATCCGATATCCTTCCCCTCCCTTAAAAACTTGGCGGTAGAAAAATTATGTCAATTAAATCTGTTAATCTTATTAACTTACATATGCATACACATGCATATATGTATACACATGTGACATATACATATATTATAGTTGCTACAAGTTTGCTTTGATCAATTGTTGTATTTGTACTTAGCAGCTGTCACGTTGTCCTTTAATTTGCTCACATTAAAAGCATGAGTTGAATATTGATTATATATTATTATATTTTCCATGAGACAATTATAATGTACAAAGTCATCTATTCTGTCCAATTTAATAATAAAACAATTAATTATAATTTTATATGTAATGAATTAGATTTATATCTGAATGTTACTACTTATAATAATAATTGATATAGATTGTTAGCGCTGTGTACTTCTATAGTTGTACTTTAACAAATATTTCAAAATTAAACTGAATTATATTTACAACAGATTATAATAAAGAATATAGTTATAATTATATTATATTATTTTGTAAGTTTACATATGAATTTATATGTATGTATATCTATCCTGTTGTAGGATGTCAGGACAGAGCGGTGGACATCGAGTGTGTTTATCCAAGCTTAATGAACAATTGACATGTAGACTGTGCGGTGGTTATTTTATCGATGCCACTACTATTATAGAATGTTTACACTCATGTACGGTATTTTTTTTACAACGTATATGTTGGAACATAAATCAATATTTTAACATAATATCATTATAAAATTCTGCATGTGTTTTCTTATAGTTTGTAGAAGCTGCATTGTCAAATATTTGGAGAACAACAAGTATTGTCCAATCTGCGAGGTACAGGTTCATAAAAGCAAGCCATTATTAAATATACGTCCTGATCATACTTTACAAGATATTGTATATAAACTTGTACCTGGATGTTACCAAAGTATGTATTCTCCATTCGAGATTAACAAGAGAAAAGTCTACCTTTCTTAAGCTAACAATTGCACCCTTTTTCAGACGAAATGCGATGTCGGAGAGAATTTTATGCGAAGCATCCAGATATACGTAATCAAGTAACGTCTCCGGAAGCACGTGGAGAACCAATAGAATCACATATATATTCTCCGGATGAATCTCTCAGTCTGTCCTTGGAATATTTTAACCCTCATACAGAGGATTTAAGTGAAACAAACACTACCAAGGATACAACTGAAAAGCCGCTTTTGAAACGATATTTGCGATGTCCCGCAGCAGTGACAGTATTTCATTTACAAAAATTAATAAGAGCCAAGTATGGCCTTAGTGATGCACATCGAGTTGATATAATGTATAAAGAAGAGCCCTTGTGTAGTAGTTATACTTTAATGGACGTAATGTACATTTATCATTGGAGGCGGGTATGTGTCTAATTTAGTAATCTTTCACGTATAATAAATTAAATAGACATTTTTTTTTTCTAATTTTGTTTATGCGAATATATGGTAAAATACTGTAGACAAGAGACTTGATGTATATACATTTACTTATATTAATGGTAAATCTTGGTGTTTTAGAAAGTTCCACTACACTTAAGCTACAGAATATTCGAATCATCTTCAAAACGCATGAAATTGTCGGAAGACAATGTCAACTATAAGAAGTCTCTAACAAACGCTGGCATTCATTCCGACGAAACGAAAGACGAGAAGTCATTGAAACGAGAATGGAAAGAAGTGCAGTTAAAGATATCGGAAACGGGCGTGATGAGTATAACCGATATATCGAATACGGTACTCAAAAGAGAATCAGGGATGGAGAATGTACAGGATCAGAAAATCACAGACGAAAGCGTCACTACTATTGCAACGGTGAGCAAAGCAGATACATTGGTGGAGAATTGCGGTGTGCCCAAGTCTTGTATAGATGCGATGCAACCTGTCGTGGTTATTGACGCGCAAATAACGAAAAACACGATTCTTCCTGATTCGAGCGATACGCCGCCTATGGTCACGAGTGATGTCAAGCCTACAGACGAAAATTCGTCGATCAAGAACTGTACATCGCCACCTATTCAGCACAATGGTAGCACGACAACGAGGCAGACTAATGAAGCGGGCAGTCGTGCTGCCCCAGCGAACTCGCAACAAGACACGCGAGAGGTAAAAGTTCATAATCAAACTAACAGCGCCGAGGACAAACCAATTTCGCAAGGACAGGAAGTTACCGGTCAAGTGGTAACGCAATGCATAGAAGAGAGTGCGCCCGCGCCTGTAGTCGAGAATACGACGGGAATGGATACGCGAGCGAAAAAGTTGGCGATAAATAATAACAACAACAGCACAGACCTAAGGGCTGAGGTTCAAAAGGAGTGCGTGAAAAGTGAAGTGAAAATAGGAAACGTTGGGTCCAAGATCGACGCGCTAAGCGCAAAATTGCTGTTCCAGCCGAAGATCGGTCAAGTGAACAACACTTATTCTAAGAAATCACCAAAGGAAAAACGAGCGATTTTGCAGAACGCAAAGAAGTCGGAGTTGAAGTCGCCGACGGAAAGTGTGAAAGTCGCCGACGTGAAAACGCGAACGAATTGTGGGAGTGCAGCGGCCAAAGTGACGATTTCGTGTTCCACGGCAGCTTCCTCCCCGCAGAAACCGATCGTGTCGACCGCGACAGCATCTCCGAACACTTCGACGGTAGACTCGACGGCCGAATCTATTAAAGCAGAAGTCTCTTACGAAAAGGACAATCAAAGCGCGGGTATCGACGTGCAGCAAGCCTTGAATCTGCTGGAGCAAAAGAGGAACTCGCCTACACAAACACAAGCGGAATTAGTCTCGAAAGCGAGTCACGTGAGTGCTGCGGCTGGTCAGAGATTACAACAATGTGTGCGAAATAGCAGTACTCTCGCGCCCATTGAAAGTGCATCCACCGCAGCAAACACTTCCACATCCACATCTATGAGCCAGGTGACATCGACGTTTCCATACACGGTCCACGACTTAGTGACCAACGCCAACCTGAAATCGACCCTGAAAAATTCCAACAGCAGCAGTGTACCCCAAAATTCGCTGACGGCACCGTCCGTCGCCTGTCCAACGTCCAACAATCAAATGTCTTCTATGCCTCAGTTCACCATGCAAACACCGTCGATGAGCATATATTCTATACCCACGTCCTTGAAGAACAACTGCAGTAGCGCGAGTCAAGCTGCAGCTGCGGTAACGATCACGCCGACAGCACCGATCGTGTCGACGGCGACGGCAAAGTCGACGTCGGCACCGACGCCGACCTCGACTCCGTGTCCGGACGCGATCCCGATATCTCTGATGAAGCCGTCGATGCGCAAGCAGGAAGCGACCGCCAAGGGTAGCAATCTCAACGAAATCTGCGCGAAAATCGGCTCGAACACGACGGGCTCGAAGATTAACGACATCTGCGCGAAGATAGGGGAGAACTCGAAGGAGAAGAACAGGGTGGAGGCGCGCAATAAGTCGGATATACCGGACCTGCTAAAAATAGCGAAGAAGACTCCTTCGTTGTCGAACTCTGACACGGCCATAAAACATATACCGAATATTCCTAATGTACCGGTATACACACCAAGCAGCAATACGACGACGGTGGAAAGCAAGGGCGCGAAAATCGCCTCGTCGACGTCCGTCGCGTTGGCGGTGCCCACGTCGTCGGCGCCGACGCCGACGCCTCACGTGAGCCAGAGGACGTCATCCTTAAAGAAGCAGAATCAAGCGGTCGGCTACAAAACGCTGCGCGACCCGCCCAAGTGTTGGAACCCCACATTGTCGAAGAACAACTACGTGGCGGTGAAAAATCAAAATCAAGCGTCCGCGTCCGAGGGCACGAGCAAGCAGATCCCGTCGAAACCGGCCAAGATCTTCAAGATGAGGAACATGCCGCGCTACTTGGGCAATCCCGCGTCAGGCGTGAAGCCGATGTACGGGATGACGAATGACACGAAGGAGAAGGAGCAGTCGACGACGAACACGAAAAGCACTACCCTCAACATGATGAAGATCGACCCGAAAACCTTGTCGCCTATTGTCTCCACGGTAAATTCGCCAATCGTCTCGCCGCCGCCTTATTCGCCGAATGCCCGGAGCTACCAGAACACTCCGTTCGCGCGGGACATGTGCCGCAGCTCCGGCTCGCCGATCTCGCCGAGGAATTCGCCGGTAAACATGTTGTCGACCAATCCGTTCATACCGTCTCCTACGCCCAACACGAATCCCCGGATCATATACTCTCATTTCCCCCCGCCTTTTCCAGACGCCAGTCGGTTCCCGAATCCTTTGATACGGTCGCCTATCGGTATCCCGCCTCCCAGTGCCTTCCACAGTAGTCTACCGCCTTCGATCAACAAGCTGTATCAGCGATCGAGTTACATACCGCAAACCACCGGTTACTCACCGGTGGCTGGTCAGCCGCCAGCGGTGCAGAGAATACCGCCGAGCACGCACTCGTCGTCGCCGAAGACTTCGTCGCCGAACTCGATCTCCTCCACGTCGTTCAACATGGGAAAGACTGAGCCGATCACGTCGACGGTCAACAGCGTCGCATTGCTCTTGTCGAAGAGCGTGCCTGTGCCAGTTCCCGTGCCGGTACCGATGTCCGTGGCTATGCCCGTATCCGTGCCATCTCAACGAGAACTCAACGCGTTCAACCTGTCGAAGACCGGCAGTTTGACCGTCACTTCCAACACCGTGAAGACGAATACGGATGATCCTCACGAGACGCGGAGTGCTAAGCAGAACTCGTCCTCGGCGTCTATAGCGCCCAATCCTGCGGTCACGAACGTCGAAGTATCCGAGAATTCCAGTCCGCCGAGTGGTAGCGAAAGAAAACAATGTAAGGACACGGACATACAAACGCAGGAGAGCGCACGAAGTAGAGAAGAGGTCGGCCAAGCTTCCAAGCCGAAGGTCGCTGAAAACATGAGCCCAACCGACAAGAAAGAGAAGAACCAAACGACTAAAGTCAACGGCGACGTTACAACAGAACACTTCGGAAGTAAAAAATCCAAGGAGTATAATAACGATGAGACGACGGTGACGACGACGACGACGACCACAACGGCCACGACGACGACGACGATGGTGGCGACGGCGGCGACGACAACGGTAGCGACGACGCCGATACAGGAGACAACCGAACGAGAGAATCAAGCGGAACGCTCCTCACCCCGGGAACGAAATAATATTCATAAGAGCAACTCTCAAGCTGCCGTCAACGACTCGTCAACGAACGACTCCAAAACTGAAGATCTCGGCAAGACCAGCGAGCAGATACAAGGCAAAAAGTCGGAAGCGCAGAGAAACAAGGCGGAGACGTAATCGCGAATCGTCCTTAGATAAAAATGAAAGTCGTGCGATTTTATTACTGTCACTCAATCACACATACATATACACACACATTCTCTCTCTCTTTTTCTCTCCCCCTCTCTTTCCTCTTTCTTCCGCGTATTAGACAGGAGCTGCATTTAACCTGACACACACGCGATGACGGCTTTTTTGAGAAAAAATCGGCAGTTAGGCTGAACACACGCTCCGCGTTCTGACATTTACTGCCAATAATTGTAATGTCGTTTCTCCAACAACCGAGACGGTCGTCGACACGCATATTATTCTGCATGCATACACATTTGTATCGTACATCTGAGAAGCGCGCCTATATGCCATCCGCGTGTAACAGAGAATGTCAGAAAAGGAATGCGTAAGAGGATCGCTAAAAGATGGGCAACGGATTCTCGTTGCACTGGCACTGTGTCAAAGAGAACAAGAGTAAGCAATTAATGACCATTGTTGAGGATGTTCCGCGGCGTGTTAGCAATCTGTATATTTCTGTAAATACATAGCAATCGCGAAAGATCTAATTATTTTCTATTATAAATGAGTTATTATATCATTGTGTTGAGCACATTATTTTATGAGCGTACGCGTTGACGATAATTATGAAACCGTCAGAATTTCCGCGTGCATATCTATCATTGATATTACCGTTAAACGAGTCTCCCCTCCCCTCCCCCCGTTGTTATTACACGTGCATATATGCATTATATGCATATGTAGGAATGGTATACACGGCGGTGCCGAGCGAAAGTGCATTCGCGAATGATGAGTAATAATCTCAACGACGACGAGATATAAGCTGACAGATTTATAAATACGTTATATACAAATTCTCGATATCGTTGCTCGTCTGTCCGGGAATACATCCGCCTCGGCACCGATCCCCTGGCATATTCCACTTTTATCATATGCCCTCTCGGTCATGTATTCTATGAGAAATTTCAAATTGATCTCTGCGATTTTAGCGACGATGCAGTAGTCGCCGTAATCTTCAGAAGCGACACATAAATATTAAACAGCGTGAATATGGCAGTGCCGCCAAGTTTATAAAAGAGGACACGACTAGATATCATGGTGGTTAAATTACAGAGTGAATATCTGCTTTTATCGAGATACACATGCATTTACATAAGACAAAAGAAAACAGGTTTTTCGTATTTTAGTTATATCTAAATGGAAAACTGCTTCCGAATTCAATGGAGAATATGTGACAGAAAATTAGTAATACGTTTCAATTAGAGCTGCCTCTCTCTCTCTCTCTCTCTCTCTCTCTATATATATATATATATATATATATATATGTGTGTATGTATATATATATAATTATATATATATATATGTATATAATTTTATATATATATATATATATAACATTTATCTCATTTCGTTACACGTATACATGTGTATCATGCATTGTAATACCGAAGCAAAAACTTTTTCTTTTTCGTGAAAGACGTTGAACGTATTCCTTTTTTCGTCAGATGTAAATTTCGCAGAATTCATCTCCGTAAATGGATTCACCGCTTAAACAAGCGAAAGATGGGTTTATAAATAGTCGTGTATATTCATTAACTGTATGATTTTTTTTCTCAGTGCATACGCTTGCTGTTGATTTGTTAATATCATAGCGTATAACATGTTATATCATCTTGATAACGTACAATATGCGCTCTCGCATATTAAATGAACGCAAATTATTCGTTAGATATTAAGCAATTAAAAAGTATCACAGTCACCGACATTTTTTGATGAATAACATAATTATGGAGAGACACAGTTATGAAATACGCGCGCACACACACGCAGTTACATGTGACAGATGAAGACACTCGCGATAATGAGCACATACATATGTGTGGAAAAAGGTGTTAGATGTAATGAATTAATTGAATTATTAGAGGCTTGTGAAAGTTTGTCGGATCGCTATTGAACACATTGATCTAAAGATAAGTCATTTTACAAATGCAGAAGAAAAACAATTATCTGAAAGATGGTAGATAATCACATGGCAAACACGTTGAAAGTAACGAACATGGTATATATATATGCTATACGTTCGTCACTTATTAGTAAAATATTAACAAAAAGAAACCCAATGAATCTTTGCAAGCCCCTAACAACATAATGTTATCTAAAACCTACACTATATACATTTTTATATCATATAAGGTTGATATGAAATTTATATAGTCTGCAGCATTGAATATTTTTGAATAACCCGTTATATTGAAAAGAATATTGTGAAATTTGTCTTTTATATGGTGCATCGATGTAACCGAGAAACCCAAATTACTTCACAGCATTTAATATTTTTACACTTCAAATTAATATTTCTTTGAAACAAAAGAAAAAAATATATACGTATACTTTTTCTTATTTGCATAATATAAATTTAGAGGGTAACACTATCGGTACTGGAATATACAGAAAAGGAAATTAAATTTGAATGTCAATTTGTGCATCAATCAGTATAAGGTATTACCTTTTAAAAGTATTATGAAGAAATTAAAGGGAATTTCATTTCTGATAATCAACGCCATGTAAAACACGAAGTATAAGAAAAATATTGTTGTTATCAGAATGATACGTACAATTATAAAATTACATGTTATCTGATGAAAATGCGAAGATTATCGATTACTATAACTCGTAATCGTTATTTGATCACTTCGTTTTTTTATGATTAAGCCCTAGCTTTCTTATTTTTAGAACAGATAAAGATCAGTACGAAAATTCACAATTCTGAGGGTGATTTTGAAAATATTCGAAGACTGCTAATGGTAGTGAAATGTCCGAGGCCTTATCGTATCGTATATCGAGTAATTGATATGGAACAATAAAAAATAACAAAAGATATGCTAATTACGTCAAAAATAATATTAGTTAACGATTAAATACTGTGATCGTTACGTTATTTCGTCTTACGTGGAACAAATATTTTAACGAAGCAAAATTGTACTCATAAATTGTTAGTCGTAAATTATAACATCTCTCCCTCTTCTGCCTTTCCTATTCTTTCTTTTCTTCTTCCTCCTCTCTTCTATTTTTGTGCTCTGCTTTACAAAACATCCTGCCGTTTTCTTCCTCAATCCTCTCTATTTATATACCAAGTACCTTTATTTCTAATAACGCATATGTTGCATTTTGTTGTGCGTTTACACAAATGTGGATATTGATAAAAGAAAAAGATGATGATTGAGAAAAGTACGAACACAGGGAAATGAAAAGTTTTGCTAAGAAATTTTAACATTCAGAGATAAGTTTTTCTTAGTAAAAGATATGCTCCCCCACTTTATTTGTACATAGTGTATTATGGTTAAAAAAAAAATATATATATCTATTACATAGAAATAGAAAAAATGATTAATTACTAATATAATTCTATATTTAATTAGTAAGGGCATAATGATATAGTATTTTTTTCGTCTAACAAAAATAGAAATTTTTAGACAAATATTGGGCTGCAGAACGGAAGATACATTGTATTTTTAATCAGTTTTTATATATGTGTATGTGTGCATACACATATACATGTATAAACACATATAAAAGTAATACGATAATAATTCTAAATGGATTAGGAGATATTCTTTTCATTAATGATGCAAAAATATAATTGACTGCACCTGTATAAAATTGTGTATTATTGATATAAAACACACACACTACCCTTCATATATATGTATATATTAATATATAACAAAGCAACAACAAAAATATTAGCTGTTTGTATATTGTGAATTATAATTACCCACTTAACATTTACACATTAGACATTTTTTCAATGTGTCTTACAATATCCTTCAGTTTATACACCAGTTCTTGCAGTTGTTGTACAGTACATGTAAATGTTACATGTTTTACTTCATTACATTTTTTTGTAGTCATTTGCATATTATAAATTGGCACACTGGTGGAGCGACAAGTACTAAACTGTACTCGAGAGAATTTTATTTATAATATAATATATGCAACATTTTTATATTACGACTACTTTAGAATTGTCCTACATAACAGCTTTGTCCAAAAGATAAAGGTCTTACCTTTACACAATGATGTAGACGCCAATCTATGTCCACTATATGTGGTATACTATCTCCTGTCAATTCCAGTTGGCTCTGAATATCTTGCTTATTATTTATATAAATATTACATAATTTTTCAATTCGTTGCCCACTGATATGTTCATTATGCAAAAACGTTTTTAAGCTTTCTTCATCATAATCGTGTCTAGCAGCTTCTATAAATAGACACGAGATATTCGCAAAAGCAGCCTTTACCAGATCTGACTTGGATGGATATATTGTAGCAATACCTAGTATGGAAGACACAATTATAGACAATCGATATTTCGAATTATTTTTGCGTATTCGGCAAAGATTAATTAACATCATTTACTTTTTGTGTCATTAATATTCTTACAAATGTAAGATACTATAATTTCTAATAATTGTAAAAACGTTTCTTCGGGTAAGCTGTTGCTGTTTTGGATATTTGCCAAACCATTAATGATTTCCTTTGCCAATTCCATCTTCACATAATACAGTATCAATTACTTCTGATACAAATGATGAATAAAGGTAATTATCCTACAAATAATTATTGCACCAAGTATTATTAACAGGAAACCACAAGTTGACTTTTACACATGAACTTGCTGCAACGACTCGATCGATTTGAATGAAGTATTCGTCTTCGATTACTGCAAAACCAACGATTTGACACTGCTCCAACGTAGATAAATAGGCCTGCCTACAATATACGTTTCTTTTATTTCACAATATTATGCTGTATAATTTCGAATGTTATAAGAATCTTAAGAGATGTCCTACCTTCGATCAACTTCCGAAATATATAACCAATTTGAGTCAAATTATTAAAATTATTGGCCAACCTGCCATTCATATCCTTGAAGTTACACCGTAAGCAGATTGAAAAGACACCTACTTTAACCTAACATTCGGTCTGTTTGTTGAGTTGTAATATTAGCTGTATTTAGCATTGCGAATGCAAAAGACATACTAAAAGGAAAAATTGCTTATGAAATATAATAAATATATATATGTGTATTCTATTGTAATCGTATGCAACACATTTATACCAAACGTCACAGATGTAGCTGATACTTGAAATTGCACCATTCTACAACTAGTGCAACTTCAGTGTGTGCATACCCGCGAAATACGAATATATTAACATAAGGGTGTATCTGTCTTTGTATTCGTTTGATTTATACTTTCTTTTTTCTTTCCTTATTTTATTCTCTTTTTCTTATAATTAAAATAGTCAGTCGATCGAAAATCAAGATAAAGAAATCAAGAACAACTGAAATTTAGAAAAATTAATCCGAGATTAAATCGCAAACAAGAGTATAAACAGATGCATCGAATTATGCCACTAACCATATTGAAATTATGACTCGTCACGTTTCCTTCTAAAACACAAATTTTACGTGACAAAACGGATGAATCGAGTGTTGCAGATGAATTTCACAATGTTGCGTTTGTTTATAAATAGCACAAGTATTGTGCAAGCGCGATAAATTGTATATGTAAAACTTCACGTTTTGTTCGTTCCTTATCGAATGGAACGGTGATGAACGTGCGATAAAAGCTATTCTGTCTCGATACAGAAGCCGATATGTTCCTATAATGCTGACTTTAAACATATCTTTTCATAAAAGTCGTGTTCTCGTTCGCGAGCGCATTGAATTGAATTTTCAACGAATTTAGTCCAATTCGAAAACTTTTGGTAAGAACACATCGTCCAGTTATATTCCTCCCTCTGAAAATTTTCTACGTCTTAAAACAGTTTCTTTTGTGTGCTGATGCATATACTTCCCAGACAGCACCGGACATCCAATGGATGTACGTTTCACGTCCAATTTATGTCCATATGTCCGATTTACATCTGTGGACATAAATTGAACGTAACAAGGATATCCTTATTGGATGTCGGACCTGTAGGACGTCCGATGTACGTCCATCGGACGTCCTATGTCCGAAGTTGTGACAAACGTACGTCCTATGGATGTCTTTTGTAAAAAAAATGTACATATAACGGAGTCCAATGGACATCTGTGTGCTGTCTGGGTTTGTTTTAAAAAACTTATTTTGATTATTACTTTTGCTTTGACGCGCTGCGTTATATATACAGGGTGTCCCATTTTAAAGGACCCACTCAAATATCTCAGAAACACTGCGTTAAATCGAAAAATGCTTAAGACAAAAGTTGTTTAGCTTGAAGGAGGACATAGGACAGCGATAGCATTTTATTTATAGATGGCGCCACTTTCGAAATATTCACTGATTATCAATTTTCTTAAATGGAAATCCCAGTTTTTTATTATACCATATTTTTCTACCAATTAATTTAAACAACTTTTGTCTGAAACATTTTTTTATTTGCTTAATATATTTTGAGATATTTAAGGAAAACTTGGTAATTTTTCCAACATTTACCTTACGATATCTCACAAACTATTCGTCGAAAGAAAAAATAGTATTAGACTTTTTTAGTTTATTTACTATCAAGAATATATTACTATAATAGTGCCTTAACTTTTACTGACTTATCGACCTTTGGAAATTTCAAAATTATTAAATTAATAAAAGTTAAGGCACTATTATAGTAATATATTCTTGATAGTAAATAAAGTAAAAAAGTCTAATACTATTTTTTCTTTCGACGAATAGTTTGTGAGATATCGTAAGGTAAATGTTGGAAAAATTACCAAGTTTTCCTTAAATATCTCAAAATATATTAAGCAAATAAAAAAATGTTTCAGACAAAAGTTGTTCAAATTAATTGGTAGAAAAAGATGATATAATAAAAAATTTGGATTTCCATTTAAGAAAATTGATAATCAGTGAATATCTCAAAAGTGGCACAATTTATAAACAATTTATAACAATTTATAAACAAAATGCTATCGCTGTTCTATGTCCCACTTCAAGCTAAACAACTTTTGTCTTAAGCATTTTTCGATTTAATGCAGTGTTTCTGAGATATTTGAATGGATCCTTTAAAATGGGACACCCTGTATATATATATATATTTATTTATTTATTTATATATAATATATATTAATGTTTATGTAGGTAAACATTACTACAAAAGATCGTGTAAGAATGAAGCTTGCACTTGTATTATTCAGTTTCGTGTTCTGCAATCCCGTCACTGGAATTGAATATTACACGGCCACGTATGATAATATAGATGTGGATGCAATTCTTAATAACGAACGTCTTTTTACTCAATATATGGGTTGTCTTCTCGAGAATGGACCTTGCACCGCTGATGGGCGCACTCTTAGGCGTAAATATATTTTAATAAATTTGATTAAATACAATTTGTATTTTATTTAGATACATTCGTTATAATATTTCTTTGTGATCATTGTAATTCATTGTAATCTTAAATGAAAAAAAAATGTGGCATTTGTACAAAAAAAGACAAAAAGGATAAGATCGGTTATAAAGCGGATGTGGCACGTTTGCCGCGCGATGAAAGTTGACTAGAAAATATTGTGATAGCCATTCAGCATCTTGCTTACCCGGAATATTTACGAAAATGCAACATGTTGGACGTTAATTGGTTCAATATTCCTTCCGCCGCGCGGCAAGCGTTACCACATCCTATGTGCAATTGGTTTTAGTATAAAAAAGAAAAAAGGAAAATGTGTGGAAATCAATATTTGTATTAAAATAGAGAACAATGTTTACTCTTCGTGAAATATTTTTTATATAAAACGTCTAATATTTACTTTTGCATAGGTATATTACCAGAAGCAATAACTACAAGATGCGAGAAGTGCAACCCAAGACAGAAACAAATAGCGAAAAAGATATCCAATCATTTGAAAGAGAAGAAACCGGACATTTGGATAATGTTGATCGAGAAAATAGATCCTCAGGAAGAAGACATTGCAGCTTTCGAAGAATTTCTAGCGCAAAAGGAGGAAGAATATTTGCTTCGTTAGCTTTTTTAATATATCTTGTGTGCATGTAAATGGAATATATAGATACGATCGTATTTGAATAGAAAACAATTAATGTTAGTAGTAAAAAAAATAATAACTTATATAGTAAGTACATAATAAAAAAAATAACTTTAATAAGCTTTAACATGCATTGTAATGTTCTGACTGAATTTTACCTATCCATATAAACTGACATTCTATCTAAATTATTTTAAAGTATATATATAAGATGTAATTTTGATGTTACAATTTTTTATTACTATTTTGAGTCCATAGAATATATAAAAAATTACTTCATTAGCATCTCTTTATAATCAGTATTTTATATAAACATTACCAGATATCTGTATATACAAGGGAAAATATGGATAGCAATCAACTAGTTCACATCATGAAAAATGAAGTACAACAATCAGGTACAAATTTTAAACTTAAACTATAGAAGACGTTCTATCTCCCGATGTATGATACCAATCTGTGACGTCAATTGCGAGTTTCCATTATTTGTTATGGAGCAAGCCACTACTGCCCTAGAGACTCCACAGGCTCGGCCTAGAGCCTCTTTGCTCCGTACAAACACATAAGGAACATTCTTGTCTTCGCATAAAAGCGGCAGATGCAATAAAATCTCTAATGGCTCTGCATCTGCAGCCATAATTATAAATTCTGACAAACCACGATTCAAAGTTTTCGTCGATTCGTTAGCCCCTTTTCGTAGTTGCTGGTACAATACAGCTTGTTGCACCAGATTTAATATTTTCACAGTGAGAGTAGTGTCGGCGAGAGGATAAGCTCTCGGATTCATTTCATCTGCCTAGAAAAAAATTAAATACCAGACGATTTGATTGAGTGGCAAACTAATGACCGTATTCTTAGAATATTTTGGAAATAATGATGTAAATAATGGTGATAAATAATATTTTAGAAATTTACATCGAGATTACTATTTTAAATGAATCACGTGTGATGGAACACGTGAGAGTTAACCTCAAACAACATGTAACATCGCGATTCAAACGAGGAATATCATAATGTGTGATTACTCACCATAATTCGAATGAATAAATTATTCAAAATGTATGTGTCTTTAAATAATTAATAAGAGAATTTGAACTTCTCAGCGATTATTTTGTAAAAACCGCTTCACTGAAGTACTTGCGACTCTTGATTTTTTTATAACTGTTTCTAATAATTTCCAATGTAAACTAGCAACCGCCAATATCGATATTTTAAAATATCGATACTTTTGGATCTAAATATTGATATTTTGTATCGATATTTTTCTTTTCAATATTATTGTGCATCGATATTTCAAAAGCAATATCGGACTTCCGATACAGGGTACGTACGGTCGCGGACATAGGCTGCGTTCTGATATTCACTGCCAGCACTGAAATTCTATAGTATACGTGACACAAACTATGTATTTTCATTATTGGCAGTGAATTATTGGAACGCAGCTATAATAGTATGTGCCCGTTTTTTTGTAACTTTCGGAACGCATCCCGACTCGAGAAGAACAAGAAGCAGTAAGAATAAAAATAGACCAATCATAATCGACTATTACAAGAATGATCTATTGCGATTGGTCTATTTTTATTCTTATTGCCTGTTGCCTGGCACTGTACAAGGGGCTAAAGCCAGTAGCACACGATGCTTGTTTTCGTGCTGGACATGTACGTTTCCGAAGATGGATGGAAATGCACCAATCAGAACGCAGTATTTTCATCCAGCAAGCAATCCAGCACGAAAACAAGCACCGTGTGCCGCTGGCTTTAGATACAGAAGCAGCTGTTATATAACAGCTGCTTATTATTTGGTCTGTTCTTTTCAGCTGCATTACGGAACTAGTGCAATAAGTTAGAATGAGACAACTATATTTTTTCTCACTTTAACTTATTGCACCAGTTCAGTAGTGCAGCTAAAAAGAACAGACCAATTATAATATGTCCCACCGCATATATTTCATTTCTTGCCTTTCGTTGTGAGTCACTGCGTAGGCGTGCTCCGCAGGCGGAGCAGTGACTCTCATTCTTCTTGAGTCGGGATGCGTTCCGAATGTTGCAAAAAAACGAGCACATACTATTATGTCCGCGACCATACGTACCTTTATGGAACTCGTTGGAATTGATTCCGATCGAGTTTATTCCGTTATTTCCTAGATTTCTATTGTCTTTTCTATTGTCTTGAATGGCAGCGGAAACCAGACCGTCCGCCACGCAGCAGCGGATCAACGACTCCAACAGCATGCAGGCCACGGCAACGCGACTGAACGTCGCTGCCCACACATTACCGAACACTATCGAACAAAAGTATGATCTTGTCTTAGCAAAACAGCTACATCAATTCTCATAGTAATGTAGTCGTACAAATTATGTTTCTATAGAAGTTTTGATGATGTATAACGATATTAAAAAATTAATAACAGTATTTAAAAGCAATATTATGTATCTTGAATTTACTTTTTATAAGTTTAAAGCTATTACAAGCTATTCTTTTTCATATTTTTTGTAAAGTGATATCAAACAATGTTTTCAACAGTATATAAATTGTATTAAAATTATAGTTTTAATGAAAAACAGAATATACAGCTAAAGCTTATTGCTGACATATGTGACATTATTATGAAATGTGTAATATCAACTATTTTAAATATATTTCATATGTGTTTGTTGCAGAATAATTTCACTAGCAAAAACAAGACCCAAAGGTATTTCTGACAAAGACTTAGCTACTGAGTTGCCTGATTTACAACCATTTCAAAGAGCTCAAATTATAAACAAGCTTTTGACACAAGGATGTTTTGAACTTTTGAAACAGGGAGAATCACTTTTTTATCGTTTGAAAGATCTTTCCAAGACAAAAGCTGTCAAAGGTGCTGATAACGAAGAAAAAATAGTATACACAATCATTGAAGAAGCAGGGAATAAAGGAATATGGATTCGAGATATAAGATTTAAATCTAATTTGGCACCAACTCAATTGAATAAGATTTTGAAGAGTTTAGAGACAAAGAAGTGCATTAAAGCTGTTAAATCTGTAGCAGCTAGTAAGAAAAAAGTATACATGTTATATAGCTTAGAACCAGATAGATCTGTAACAGGTGGTGCATGGTATCAAGATCAAGACTTTGAGACAGAATTTGTTGATATATTAACCCAGTCCTGTTACACCTATTTGAATGCAAAGGCAACAGAAGCAAAGAATTGTAAACATGGACCTATTGTTACAAGAAATATGTCATTTGTTTCATCTAAGGATGTGCATAAATATATTACACATTCTGGAGTAAGCAAGGTAAGAGCATATTACCACATATTCTTTTCTTCTTTCTTCCTTTTTTAGTAGGACTATGTCCTATTTATATTTTTAGTTCCGAAGTCAGTTACTAAAAACTGAGCATTTTTAAGTTTTTTAAGTCGGTTGCTAGCTGAGTTCAGGTTAGCTGGTTCAGATCGGCATGAATGTAGGCAATTTGACATAAGTCAGTACGTACTGAGGTCATGGCGGTTTTGATACCATGCACCATCTGTTATAGATCTCTATTCTAAGCTATATAACATATATTTATATAATTTTTTTCTTACTAGCTGCTATAAATTTAACACAATTGAATAAGATTTTGAAGAGTTTAGAGAAATGCATTAAAGCATCTTTAATGTACTTCTTGGTCTCTAAATTCTTCAAAATCTTATTCAAATCTTCATAGCAGATACCGACTATGAAGTGGACTCACTATTTAACATATCTTCCGAAAGACGGAGGAGACGTGAAACAGTGAGTCCATTTCATGGGCAGCATTTGCCAAGAAATAAAACCTGCCGCTATAAAGTAAAATTTAAATCTAACTTGGCACTGACTCAATAATCTTATCCAATTGAGTTGGTACAAAGTTAGATTTAAGTCTGCCAGCCATGAAATGGACCCATTGTTTAACGTCTCTTCCGAAAGACGGAGCTCAGACGGTTTTTATCATTTAGAGTTACCTCTTACTACTAGATGGAGAGCGCAGTTTCTTTTTTAGTGGCCTAGCGAGAGATTCGAGCCCGGTGTTTTTCGGATTACAAATCTGCCGCTCTACCTGCTAGCCATTCTGCTACTCATAGGGCTGGTTGTTCCAACTTGGTAAGTTAATAGATAGTTAAATCATATGTTTATCTATGTTTTTCCTTCAATTTAAACGAAGATAGAATATGATTTAACTATTCGTTAACTTTCCAAGAAGTTGGAACAACCAGCCTATATTAAAGTATATTTTTCACCATCTAAAGTCCTTTTCTTTAAAAAAAAATCTATATGTTTACACAGGTGGTGTTATCAGTGGAAGATATAGAAATGCTTTTAAATGCTCTAGTTTATGATGGTAAAATTGAAAAGACAGCCACAGAAGAAGGAAATTTCATGTATAGAGCTATTCAACCTTTATTAAGTTCACCAGGGTTGATCAAAGCTCCCTGCGGCATATGTCCAGTAAGAACATTTATTATACTATATATTATTGAAATGATTTGAAATAAATTTTATTTTTTTATTTTAGGTAAGAAAAAATTGTTCCAATGTTGGGGAAGTTACACCTATTAAATGCGAGTACATTACAAAATGGTTAGAATTTGGAAGTGAAAGTATTTAATGTTTAAAATTTATTTATAATATTGTTAAGACTGTATTTAAATACCTTCATCAAAGATATAAATAAATAAGAGTTTCTTTAAGATATACTATATTATAATACTGTTATGTTCTGTTATGTTATACGTTCTTCCTTATATATAAATAGTTAAAATGCAAACATTTTACTACATAAAAATAAATATTTTTTGTTTTGGCAGTATATCAATGTGCCTAGTTGCTTTATCATTGAGTCATACTGCTTGAAAATGAACATTAGAATACTTAACCATTAAGTTATACGAATTTGATTTGCCAATAAAAATAATAATAGCTCGTAGAAACTTTAGAACTACATTTTTTACTTTATATTTTTACAATTCAGTGATGAGTCGGATGAACCTAATCAGTTTTTATATAAACGACAGTGAAAAATATTCCTATCGAATAAGCGATAAACTGATCTATTTACTACCAAGAAAAAATTTCTTTAATTAAAAAATTAACATAATGATTAATCGAATTGAAAAATATCGAGAAAATAATCGATCATCGAAGGAATTGAACATCGATTAATCGATTGATTACGATTCATCTCGAAGTAGCATTTTTCTGATGCAATCCACTTGAGTCAGCGTGCGGCAGCGAAAGCTATAAATTATCTCATTAAATTTCTGTTGCATGCTTTATGTTCTTTTAGTACGCCATAAATAAGGGATTCTTTTCACCTGAGACGGAAACTGACAGAATGACGGAAGAAGATTCGGTACGTAAAGTATCGTCGACGGATATTTCGGAGCACGAGTGTGTGATCAAATTGACATATCTTGCATTGACATTTCTTCGGAATTTATCTTGCTGTAGGTTTTCCTATTCTGTTCTATCATTTTTCTTGTTATTTATAACAGATTCCCTATAAATAAGTGCATTTGGGAGATTAAGGAAAAAAGTTTTCAGTTCTAACCTCAAATGCCTTGCTGGTTATGCCGGAGTATCATCTGCTTACGTATTTATTCGTTTGAAGTACAGAAAGTGGAACTCTTATAGTACACCTAAAAATAATGAATCATTTATACTAATATTGTTGTGAATATTTAAAAGTTTACAAAGTGTACTTAAAACAAAGCAATGTTTAAAATATTTGATTTATATACATATATGTTTTGTTACATGTTTATTATTTTTTATTGATCTTATATTTTTACAATATATAAAAATCCATTCGTAAACAACTATGAAATTACAAAAGGAAGAAATTGTGTTGTATCTTTTATTTATTTCTGCTTCTAAAAAATATATAGATATTTGATCCAACCTTGAAAAAGAAAAAGAAGAAAAAGAAGACTACTTTCGATCTGGATGCAGCTTTCAATGAAGGAGGTAGTAGTGGAGAAGCGACAGAGAATGTCGCTGAAAAAGAGAATCAGGAGCTCGAACCTCCAGTTGTTGAAGATGATGAAGCATTGGACTTGGAAAGTTTTGGCAAAAAGAAAAAGAAGAAGAAAAAGGCATTCAACTTAGATGAATTAGAAGCAGCTTTGCCTGATACAAAGAAGGAAGTAAGAAAAAATGAAATAAGTTTTCTGAAATAACAAGCAAAACTTGTAGACTTGGGCCATATTTAAAAATCTGCAAAATCTCTTGTTTGTTAAACAGGAACCTGTAGAGCAACAAATCGAGGAAGTTGTGGTAGATGATGACTTTGATTTAGATATGGACTTTTCCAAAACAAAGAAAAAGAAAAAGAAGAAGAAGGATCTTGATGAATTAGTAGCTGAAGAAGAACGTAAGGAAATTGAAGACAAAGATAATGGTATGTATTATAAAAAATGACTTATTCATATTTTTTTGTATCTAGTTGTTTATGTTACTCAATATTTGTTAACATGCTGCACTGAATCTGAGCGAAGTGCAGAGTATGGTAAGATATATATGGTGTATTTAAATTACATCGACCCTGCACTTGATCATCCTCCAATTACTTTGGTGCACTCGCATACTTCATAATAAAATCAATATGTAGATATTTCTAATCATTATCAGATAGTTTTATACAGCTCAAATTTAATTTTATTAAATTTTTATTTAATTTTATTTAAAAAGAGCTATACATTATTATTCTAGTATTTGTAATAATTAGTTTTGACAAAAATACTTAAAAAGTTTTTAAACTAGGAGGAAATATTCTAATTTTTCACATACAAATACATTCTTTCTATATATATCTTATAAATATATAAATATTCCTAATGATATAAAAAAATAATTGATAAATATTCAAAAAATAAAAAGTAAAGTTCATAAAACAACATGAGCTTGGCATATTTATAAATATAATTACTCTTATGATAATTATGATTAAATTCAAGATTTTGCAACATTTTTATCTAATAAATAAGCATTACACAACAAAGGGATGCAAAAAATTATACAAATAGGAGATTTACAATATAATGAAATATTGCTACACAGTTGAAGAATATTTTACATTAATTTGTATCTTGAAGAAAAAAGATGATTTAATTTTTATACCAGCATAAGAGTTATTTGTTGTTATTTATTGTTATATCACACATGCACACATGTAAGTAACATCTAAAATTTAAAAATCCATTTTTTATTCTTTTCTTAGTGGAGGAACCCAATTCGTGGGTCGGATCGGACAGGGATTACACATATGATGAATTACTCATTAGAGTGTTTAACATCTTACGAGAAAAAAATCCCGACATGGTAGCTGGTAAGAAACAAAAATTCGTCATGCGTCCGCCACAGGTAGTGCGCATTGGAACGAAGAAAACGTCATTCGCCAATTTCACTGAAGTACGTATTATAATAAGAATTAGTAGCATAAGAATTAGTAGCATAAGAAGAATTAATAAATCAGATTAATGAATTTCTATAAAATGTGTGTGAGCTACAATACTAGGCAGAAAGCGAACATCAATTTACAGGTGTTCCCACTTTACAGATTTGTAAAACGTTACACAGACAACCAAAACATCTACTGGACTTCTTGCTCGCCGAGTTGGGAACAAGCGGCTCGGTGGACGGAAATAGTCAGTTAATCATTAAAGGTCGCTTCCAACAGAAGCAAATAGAGAATGTTCTTAGGAGATACATCAAGGAGTATGTTACATGTCATACATGCCGCTCACCAGACACGATTCTTCAAAAGGACACTCGACTCTTCTTTTTACAGTGCGAAACTTGTGGATCAAGATGTTCGGTCGCTAGTATAAAATCTGGATTCCAGGTGAGTTAATCTTCTTCTGCCTAAACTAAAGATAATGTCTTATTGCAATTATTATATCTGTTATATTAATTAGTAATTAGTAAAACGTAAAATATTTTAATATTTAATGTGTAGTGATAACGGAATAATTTATATTTTTTACATAAAAATGGAATAATATTCTAAATTATATGTCTATGTGTATTTTTCAGGCTGTCACAGGAAAGCGTGCTGCCATTCGTGCAAAAACTGCCTAAAAATTTTTCTACATTTTTCTCTTTTCTAATTCGGTGGTGTTTCCTTCTGTTCCATTTGTTGTAAATTTTACATCGCAGAGAAAATGTTGGTTGTATTTTATTTAAATACGCTCAGAATATAATTGTACTCAAAGAAAAGTTTAAAGTTTCCTTACGCATCGGAAACGTTAAGCAGTTAAAAGTCGAAGATGCTAGTGCGAATTGATCATTGTGGAATAAGAAACAATACAAGCAATTGCATCTTTACATTGATTTGAATGCAAGAATGTAGATAGTGTAGATAGTATTAGCTCGAACTGTCGTAAATTTGTTATCAATTCAAATGTAAAGAAACGATGGCTTGGCAAGTTGATCCATAGCTTTCTGAATTATCTTAAGCGTCTTTAAATTTTCATATTTCCATAAATTCATTCCATAAATTTACACGATCGAATTATATGGATTTTTGATTATTCAATAATTCGATCTTAAAGTATTTAAATGTTTCAGGGCATTTTTTGGATATTTGGATATCCTTAAATATTTAACTAGAACAGTTTTAGGTTTTCTTAATTTTGAAATTTACAAATTTTTGTAAATTTCGTTTAAGACGAACTTAGAAATACTAGAACAAGAACACAAACATTTTCACATTCATATCGCATGAGATTTTCCAATTTTCATGCCTTATTGTAGTCTTTTAAGCATCACAAGATTAAACGTGCATATTTAAAAAAAGTGCGGATAAGCATTAAGTCATTTAATTTCCTGTTTCTAATTTTTGTCGTTAACAAGCAGCTAATGTGCATAAGAACCGGTTGAAATTTAAATTTGCAATGTTACTTGTCTTTAACCTTATATTGTATAAAGAACACTGCTTAGGTGTAAAGTGCTAAATAATATCTGATCATTGTTAACAATACATTATAGCAATAATTAAATATTATATTTCTATGTGTATACAGTAGTCCCAAATTTTGGGACTACGCTTTTGCAAATTCAGTAGTATATTCGCAAAATTGTGGTTAAACTAAAGTAAAACAGCTTTCTTTGACTTGTTCAATGATAAGACAATCTCTTAAAAAATACATTCAGTTGTATCTATCAAACAATACATTTACTTTTATATATTTTTTTATATATTTCTTCGATTTCCTTTGAAGGATTTGATTAAAAAATTATGTACAATTAATATGCAATAAACGACTAACAATGTTAATCACAGTATGAAGATATCTTTTATTCAAAGCATCAAACATCTTTTTATTCAGTTGTGTAAAATGTTACACATATTTACTAAAATAGTTACAGAAGGCATATAAAGTCGTATATTAATATCGAATACACACATATTTTGATTAAATGTCATTGTAACATTTGCAACATTTCCGTAACATCATAACCGATTAGTTTCAAAATATTTAAATAAATGTTAAGTAACCATTGTACAAAATTGTGTAACCTGAAAAGAATCGAAGACGCGTAAGTATATAATTATGAAACTTGCGAATATGTATTTTTCTTTCCTCGATTCAGTAAAGTTTCTGTTAATTAAATAACTTACCAAAGTCGGCATTCAAATTTTACGGCGCTGTAAATACTTGCTATAGTTTTGTAAACAGACTGTTTCGCAACTCGATATTTACCACGTGTTGCGATTCTTGCCATCATTCTATATCGATTGATAATGTCCCCGTGATCTCTGATAATAGCACGTATCGTGTTCAAGTTCCTATGAAAGTAACAAATTTGAAGCCACATTTAATTAAAGTCAGTTTAAATAATTCAAAAGGGAGCGTAATTTACATCTCTATTTTCGTCTAATTTTCTATCTGTTAATAAAAAGAAAGAATTTAATATCAATATTATCTACTGCTTTACCTTATTACCAACAATATATGTTTAGGCATCAATTTTAACGTTTCTGTTATTTTATCAAAATGTTCCTGCGCTTGGTTCTTCATATACTCGTCCATTGTTGTATTATTCAAGCGTAACGTTAAAGAAATTCTGTATGGCGCTTGTGTTAATATTTCTGCCAGCATTATATGGTCTAAAATGTCACATAGTTAAAAATTTTGGGACATAGATTCAGAGGAATTTAAGAAAACATGGATTTGGGAGTTCAATAATATTACAAGTCATGATGTGTGGAAATACGTGGACATGCACGATAGATAGAATCTGAAAGTGTAGGAGGCAATTGGACGAGACAGTTGTCACCATATAGTAAATAGAGTTCACTGACAGTTACGCACTTACCTTTCACATTCAAGTCGTTCGCATATATTTTCAATGAGCAGTCATTCTTCAAAACCATCGATTCCCAAAAGTTACACAAGATACATCTTATTTTCTCCGGCAGGTATTGATATAAACCGTGATCTAACAGCACTATCTGCGCTTTATTGTCCTTTCCCTTCCTCACAAATACTGCAAAAAAACAAATATGAACCAATACGTCATATTATATTTTGAATTGTTAATTTTCTTCTCAGGATGTTAATGAGAGTAAACTAACGCTTTATTTCTTGAAATATTTAATCGAAAATTAATACCATTTCCTGGGTGTGGATCAGCATGTACGAAACCTGTATGGAAAATTTGTTCTCCCATTAAAGTGATCAGTTTCTTATCAACATCAGAGAGATTTAATCCCATAGTTTTGATTCCTTCCACGTCGGTTACTTTTACACCGTCAATCCATTCCGTCGTAAGAACTCTCTAAAATAATTATATAAATTATGATTTAAAAAAGTAACAGGGTTATTCAAATTTTTGAGTATAGATTTAATTATATCATCGTCTGATATAATAAAATTTAATTAATATATTATTTTAGAATCGTAGTCAAACAATATCTTAAAAATCGCTATTCAAAAAACATTCGATGCTCATAATTTTGAATAAAACAACCTTACTACTAAGATCCCAATAAATTTTCGGCACATATGCATATTCATATTTTTTTAAATCTTTGGCACATTGTTCTCCATTCTTTCCTTCTCTCTCGAAATCCAACTCTTTCGCCAATGCTTCAAAAACATCCTGTAAATTTAAACAGTTTTTAACAGCACATAAAGTATTTTTTCTGCATCCTGAGAAAGTATTAGTTATAATAATAAATATATGAATTATATGCTTACATCAAATACCCAGTGCAAATTAAATTTTGGGTATATAACAGAAACAACTTTTAACAGAAAAATCGCCGCTTTTATGTCGGATATAAATCTCTCCTGAAGATCGATATATTGTACTTTAATAGCCACTTTCTCTCCATCTAAGGTTTCACCTTTGTACACCTATTCAGTGATAAAATTGATAAAGAATAAAATAGCAAAAAAGTAAATTTTCGCATCAATTCTATGATACAAGTAGCATATTAAAAAAAGGGCTAACAAATATATAAAATTAGTAAATATATGTAAATATATACATGTATATATTCTTTTTTTTGCTTTTAATACCTGAGCTAAACTGGCAGCTGCTACTGGCTCAGATTCAATTTTACGTAACATTTCCTCAGGTTTCTTGCCAAAATCTTGCAGGAATATTTCTTCAAGTTCGTCTTTTTCGCGCGTTAAGCATTTGTCCTTAATAAGCGCATCGACAATTTTAATTTAATGTAACTTTTTTAAGAAAAACTTTTCTGGCTTATAATGGAATATATATTCATACAGGGGCATACCTGCAATGTTGACAAACTTTCGATATATTCTTTTGGTAGAACGTGATTTACAGCCGCAAAACCTTGTCCGAGCTTTATGTAAATTCCGCCGTTTCTCAAACATCCCTGAACGATCCGATTGGCAGATCTCCGATGAATTTCTGTGTACGTATGCCCCATCAAAGGAGCGATTAAATAATCCATAGAAACCGTTGCACTAATCTTGAACGATCTTGCGAATCTAATCAAACTTCCTGCGACGCTCCTCACAACTTTCTTCTTATTCGAAGGGAGAAGGATGTAACTGACACTTAACAGCGCTACTCCTGTAACGACAAACAATAATTGATATGAATACATTTACCAGCTATTTGTTTATACTTTCATAATCGATCGAAGATTTTACATCCTAAATGAACAAAAATTTTACATCTTAATAAAAATAGATCTCTCGTAACGAATACACTTACCAGTACCAACATATTTGAGACGTTTGGCAGAAGCACTACGAAGTAATCCCGTTTGCAGCATTGTTAAAACTTCATTGCTCGTTTTTTCCGCAATTTTATAAATAATCAGTCGTACAAATTTATGGGATATTTTTGTTGCATTATTGCAGATATCTCTCTACCACTCTGCAACATGAAAAGGATAACGATACATCATACATACACACAGTAACGATAGTATGAAAATATTATATCTTTTTACCCACTGTGTATATCTGGTCGTAGAAAGGTCAGGTCCAATGTCAACATAAGTTCAATTTCAAGCTGTTATGTACAGGGTATCTCAAATCAAATGGGCTTTCTGTGTAAACAAATTAAATGTTAGCTTACGACATTGTAATACTAATTTGTTCTTTCGTCAAATCTAATGCTACTTTTGCTTCATACCAACATCCTACGTCTAGCTATTCATCGATATCGATTTTACGAAAAACACCCAAGCAAAATCGCTCAACGTACGCTCATGAGCGATGCATCTCCTTCTTCTTCCTTTCTAATGTTGAAAAAAAGAGGAATATGGAGTAAGATGGTCGCGAGTGCACATTAGACAATTCTGTTCCAATCACATAATGTGACATAAAAATAAAAAAATAAAAAAAGACTACAACTATATTACATGCGTACAATAAGCTCCACGACACTCTATAACTCTACTACCTGCGTACAATAAACGATCCTGGACTAATGCCCGATCCACATTACTCTATCGGTTTCGTAATTCTTTTCGGACGATTCACGCGACTATCACGCACGTTTAATAAATGTAGACTACTTGCTGCTTGCTGATGCTATTTATATTAATCTATTAACCTAAACCTAAAGCTATATATCCGTTTCTCTTTCTCTTATATTAATACAGCAAACATGAATGTACGCATGTTGGAGAACGCGATAAGAGAAAAGACAGTCTTCGAGTACGGAATCGCGAGGAGATAGGGAAGACATGTCGCGCGTCGCCAGCGGGCGTCAGTGGCCGGCATGTGATCAACCAGCTGGCTCTAAATTCGAGCACGTTGAATAGTGATCGTCGTCGTCGGCGTTTGCCTTCGGCGTGCGCCCTGTGTAGTGGTAACGTCGTCACAGTACTTTCCGCCGCTGAGATGTTGAAATTCCGGAGATTATTTCCACGACCTTGCTCGATCATCGGAATGATCCATGTAGAAGCGCTGCCTGGTACAATACTTTCATTATTCCAATGTGAACTCATACTTATCGCACGACATACTGATATCCGGAAATATAATCGGAGTTTCTTTGACGAGTCTTGCCGTGACCGGCAAACGCGTGTCATTTTATCTTGCGTGTAGTTTTTTATGCAACGCTACATGTCAAAGAGATAACACGGGTGATGCCTTTCAATACCGTATATCGCAAGGAAATCTATATGGAAGAACCGATATTATCCCATAGATCAATAATACATCGATAATATTGGCTTGTATAATTAAGATTAAATTTTTTACTGGGAAATTTATTGAAAGATCTGAGATAACTTTCCAGACAGTACAAAGTTCTACTAGACGTTTTAAAAATGTCTAGAAATGTGTAGAAAAAATATAAGACATCTTCTGGATGTCTTTTAGAGGCGTTATCTGAGTTATTACACAACCCAATAAAATATTTGTTATGTAGAGTGTGCAATGGAGAATATTATGAGAATTCAAACAAATGGCTTTATTCCATGCGCGCCTCTGCAGGAACGCCGAGGTACAAAGGACCCGTTGAGAAGATCATAGAAGATGCAGTGGAGGAGGCTTCGATATATGCCAAGTATGGCGCGGTAAAGTAATTTATTAATACTATCAAATTAACACACACATATACCCAGAAAATACGCTGCAATCACGTTGATAAACTCATCGCTGACCGGTGAGAGAACCAGATAATTCCGGGAGAGATATTTATATTACTTTTTCCTTAAGAAAATGGTCAAAAAAGAATATGTTGTCGTCGTGAATGGAATATTACGATAGTTACAGATAAGACTTTGTCCTCTGATAATTGTAAACTGAATTACGAGAAGAAGTAATCTAGCGCTATCCGTGCGAATATTACAAAATCTGCTCGAATGTCTCGTATGTGTTTCTTTCAGGATGGCATCCTGGTTGAGAACATGCACGACATCCCTTACGTTAAGAAGAAGGACCTGTCGCCGGAAATCGTGACTCTAATGACGAGAATTTGTACAGAAGTTAGGAAAGTGGTGCCAGGAAACACAGTGTGCGGCGTTCAGGTATAAAAATGTGGCGGTCGGCTATAAAAATGCGACTGTCCAGTATAGAAATTTGACCGAGTCAAACCTTCTTCGATCTTCTATTCCCACAGACTACAAGTTCGTCGAACAGTTTCGTTAGTGGGGTTTATCGCTATGAGATAATCTAATCGAGTCGGGTCATCTTGTTGTTTGATATAGATCTTAGCGGGATGCAACCGAGAGGCGATCGCGGTTGCTAAAGCTGCGGGATTTCAATTTATCAGGGCCGAGGGATTCGTCTTCTCTCACGTGGCAGACGAAGGCTTTATGGACGCAAGTGCCGGGACTCTGTTGAGATATAGAAGGCAAATCGACGCGGAAGACGTCCTCGTCTTTGCCGATGTCAAGAAGAAACACAGGTAAAATTAATTCGGCTTAACTGCTGAATTCACTTCTACGTGGAATACGTATGCGAATCTTGCAGAATTGAGTCTGACCTTACACGACGTTCTCCGCGTTCCCTCAGGAAGAGATCCGTAACTGTCCGACTGTGCGACACAGTTTCTCCCGCGTAAAAGAAAGCGAGATGTAACAGGTCGGCGTTGTTTCTCTCCGTAATCTTGCGTTGCACGAAAATTTAGTTCAGCGAGGCATTCTACTTTTCGTTCTACTCCTCTCTCTCTCTCTCTCTCTCTCTCTCTCTCTCTCTCTCTCTCTCTCTCTCTCTCTCTCTCTCTCTTTCTGCTAATTTTGTAGTTCGCACGCCATCACTTCCGACGTAACTCTGCTAGAGACGGTAAAAGCGGCGGAATTCTTTCTGGCCGATGGAATTATATTAACCGGTAGAGCGACTGGCGAGGAAGCGAACATGCAGGATCTCACAGGTACTTTTTCGAACATCCGTCAACTGACGAAAAATTCACCGTGTCGTTTGCTAGGGGTTTCTCCTCGGTCCTGAGGTGCAAACTGAGTGCACATCTCTGAACTTCGAATCATGCCAATTTTTTCGTACGCGAGTCACCGTTTAAAATATTTTACACCTTGCAGAAGTGCGGAAGTGCGTGGCGGAGCGGCTACCGGTGCTGATCGGTTCAGGAGTGACGTTGGACAACGTGGGCAATTACACGGCAGCCGCGGACGCGCTGATCGTAGGATCGTACTTGAAGACGGCCGGCCGGTGGGAAAACTCGCTTGACGCGCACAGAGTTCAGGCGCTGGTCGAGTACTTAAAAAGCCGACAGCAACAACAATCGTCGTAGAAGCGGCGACGACGTTTGGCGCGGCTGACCGACCAGCGAGAGAACCTGGAGAAAAAGAGAGAGAGAGCACAGTCAGTTAGTTACAAGTCCGAACGAACCGGCAGCTGTTCGACCAGCTGAGCGAACTCCCACCTTCGATCGACTCTGCTGTCACGTCCGCAGGGTCGCATGCGCGCGACTACGAAGAAGCTTCGGAGTTCGGAGTACCTTGAAGTGCCTTGAGGCCTCAGAGTTCGCGGCAAAGAGATGATATCGCTGCTTCTAATGCAGCACTGAAGAGATCATGAGTACTGTAAAAGAGGAAAAGAGAAAAAGTAATGTCTGTCCACATTCTGATTTTTGGACGTAACTTTCAATCGAAAAAAAAACAACGTAACGAGATATTCCTATTGGAAAATATTACTTTTATATATGAGAAAAATTGAATTTCAACACACACATATTTTGTAACAATTTTCTTTGTCTCTAATGTATAGAGATGAGATTTTAACAAAATTTCTGATCAACAAATTCTTAAATCATAATAATAAATAGCAGCGATTTGTTTTACGGATTCTATAACGTATTCTGTAACGGTAAGTTATAGAATACGTGGATTTACAATAAAACGTAACAACAACAACAATACGCTTTTGTTACGCATATTTATGTAATATACAATTAGAGCGTTCAGTACAAAGAATCGCAAGAAGTCCGTTTTAATGTAACTATACGATCCTGCATATTATGGATCTTATCTCATTCTCGCACTGAACCCTTCATTCAGTTGTCATTGAACTTTCCAAGATACTTCATTCCATATTTATGACGCTATACAACTCACCGAGGTATTACGCCGCAGTCGATGCTTTTTAAATATTCAATTGTTCCAAAATATCCTGCTAAAAGAAACAACCACGTGCTCCATGCTCCACCTCTTCTCGTTCTGTCGCAAACATAACATCATACAATATCATGCATTATTTATTAGATATAAAACACGATAATATAATAATGCTAACAATAATCGCGCCAGAAGGACAAGAAATCATTATTCTATTGTAACGTATCGACTGAACGCGGGGGATTCATAGCTAGAACCTTCGTCGGACTACATACACTCCTGATATCGCTACGAATTACCCCACTACGTCGACATTGTCTTTCCCCCTTTACGCCAACACATTCGCCTTCCCCTCGGTCGCTCCGCTCCCCAGGGGGTTCCCCTTCCGTCTCGTCGCCCGTTGTTCATCGTCAAGTCCCTTCCGCCTCGCTTCTACGAGGCCGCCCGCTACCACCTCACCCCCCCCGCTGCCGTCAAACTCCCTCGCTCCTCTCTCTACTCGCCGCAGGAAAGTCTCCCTCCTCGCTTTCCCAACGTCATATCCCCCTCGCGTCCCGTCGCCCGCAGCACGACGTTCCCTCCTTCCGTCTCACCATCCCCGTCCGCTCTTCACCCCCACACAGCCTCTCGTCATCGGGCTCTTCGGGTCGCCCAGCCAGCCAGCCAGCCAGCCAGCCAGCCAGCCTGCCAGCCAACCAGCCAGCCAACAGTCGAAATCAGCTGACTATTACGGTGAGCAGTTGCTACCACGGCTCCTCAAACGCGATACTGTTCAGGCGAGTGGATCTCTTTGTGAACTCTTCTTAGGTCATCCTCAGGATGGACCCTCATTTACCTGCTCTTCCTCCTGTTCTTCATCCTGAGTTTCCCTTTGTCGTCGTAGCGTTAAGCTATCCGCTTTTCTGCCACCTTCGTCGTGAATCTTCGCCGTCCGACGACGACGGGCGCGTTAGAGCGATCCGAAGCGAGACGCTTCAGCGTAGACAACAATGACGATGTGACGACGATGACGATGACGATGACAACGACGACGGCCACGAAGGCAACCTAGAATTGTTACTGTATTAATCGTTCGCTTGTCACAACGTCGACTTCAACTGGAAGCGAGAGAACAAAACACATCGGGACTTCTGTGTCTTCGCGTTAACGGTCTGTGTAGTAGTTGTTGGTGTGCGTGGTATGATGCGTTTGTCAATGTTGCGTCAGTCACAGTGACCTGAGTGTGCGGGAAAGTGCGCGAGCAAAATTCAAAGAATACCAGGCGCTTTTGCATGCGGCGAGAAGCACGGGGCCCTTCGCGGTGTTCCCGAAGGGGGACAATTTTGTCGTTGAAGGAGTCATTCATTGTAGAGGCAGACTCGACGCGGCGGAGAAGGTGGCTTGGAGAATCTGTCGATTTCTTTTTATCGCACAACGGTCCACTTTACGTCGATCATCGCGATCAGTGCGCGGAAAAATGAGGGAAATTGCATCGGATCGGAGCATCGTCTCGGATGCACGAGAAGATCGCGCCAGGCGGCTTTCGCCGCGAAATCGTCGACTGCGCGCTTTATCGTTTGTTACTTGCGATCTGTCTGTTCGTTTAATTTCATGAATTCGCCCGATGAATATGTTCGCCGTGCGCGTCCCGACGCCGTGGACGATTTTCCGTGAAACGAGCGAAGGATTGATTTTGCTCGAATCCCTCGAATTCTAGCGTAGTCACTCGGGGCAATCGCTCGGACCTCGGGAATGATGTAAGTCATTCAGCCAATTGTGGAATAATCCACGGGATGATGTCATGGTAAAAATAAATTATACAATCTGTATAACTCTCGCCTCTGATAATCGCTTGTAAAACATGCTGTTATAAACTTGTATAATTATGAGCAATAAGGAAATATTATTCGCGGGATTCGATGTATCCTGGATTCCCGTTCGGTTCCCTCGGGATTCTCATTCGGTCGCGCGTTATTCCGGCGCGTTTATTAATCTCGCTTATTTTCGACGAAGTTGCCCCGTGCCGACGGGCTATTAAACTTCGAAATTGAACATTCTCATAATTGAATTTATCATCTCCCAGCGGAATTTATCTTTGTTTTGTCGCGTCCAAGCGAGATTCGCGTATTCGACGATATTTAAATTTAGAGCGTTACTACAACAATTAACTACGTAGTTGGTGCGACAGAGCGCGGAATTGTTTCTGCGTATTCGCCAATCTTTTTTCTCAGTCTGATGAAAGCGCGCGTTCGCGCTTTTGTTTCGCATAATAGTCATTAATTGATTGCTGGAATTGCTTGCACCATCACCGATCATCTGAGTAATTTACACTCCGTTGCCTCGCAATATCTTGTGTGTGTGTACATATATTATTCAACGATCAGTAGTTGCTTACTTAAACGACTTGCAATGGCTATTAATGATTAGTTAATTAAATAATTTGTACGAGGCCGAGTCTCAGTTAACTGATCCGTGACTAATTTTGCTTTGGACGCTTTGGACTTTAACGATTGTTAATTGATGTATGGTTTGGAAAATGTAGAGATTAAATAGAGAAGAATCACTGATTATTCCATAAATATAATATATGTAAAGCACTTCATTTATGGAAAGTATAGCATTGCCTCCCTATATCTCTCTATATGTCGACATATGTGATTACTCAAACGTTTCTTATCTAATAATAGATAAATCACAGATGAGAACAAAGAGAACAGTTTCTGTGATGCCTAATAATATTATGTAATACTTCGAATTGGAAAAGCCGTATTATTAGCTCTATTTGACACGTTGTGAGTAAGAGATGACGGTTCAAGGTCTATCCTCTATATTTTTACCCTCTACTCAAGATGAAACAAGCTGATATTCACGCTTTAAGCGTTTGAGGAAACGGAACGAGCGTGCAAAGTATAGTTTGAAATAAACATGCTCGCACGACAAACATGCACAGACTAATCTCGTAAATTTCGTAATAAAAATTGCACAGATTGGGTGAACCTAATTAAACGAATGGTATTTACAGGGTATACTTCTTATCGGCAGATAAATTACTATTTTGCGCGCTCGCTTGTATTCGTTTCGCCGCGAGCAGAATGTATGTTCTGGACTTAACGATACGTCTAAAGAAGGACTTACGTCACTTTGGTAGAAAGGACTAGGAATGAAAGAGAGGAGCGGGTTGCGCGAGTAGTGTGTGTATCTGTCAGATTACGGTCGTATTAGTTGGCGCGTGGTTATGCACCGAGGAAAACTACTCGCCGGGAGAGACTCGCTGCCCTTCTAGCCGAAGAGAAGCAAATTCGAGATCAAGGTCGCCGTGATCGCCTCGCTCGCTCACTCTCCCGCCCACGGAAACGCGTCGAGATTATACAACAGTATATGTGTGTATTTGAGGAGGGAGGAAAAGAGAGCTTAGAAGAGAGGGAAACAGGGATGAAGAGCAGAAGTTCCAAATGCAACGATCCAAGAATTCATTTTAGAATCCACAAATCCCAAAGAGCCTAAAAATATAATCCCAAAATACCGTCTAAATGGCGAATATTTCACATTTGTGAAATTTACATGCTAGAACGATTTCCTCGACTTACTCACTCTCGCGTACTCATTAACTCCGCACGTTACAGGCGTCAGACGGTAACGGGTCAAGATGTTGGGCAGCTTGGTGAACTACCTGTTCGGAGGGAACTTCTCCGGTACAGAGGATTCGCTCGAGGGTGATCCCTTAACGTCTCGCTCGATAATGCGAAGGTTTAGGCAGATGGAGGTCGAGGGCGATGACTGGATCCTCATTAACCGAGCTGGTGAGCAGTCTGTCGTTTTTTATAATTATGTAGTTGAAGGCAACTGTAGAGAAAGAATAAAAGATACAAATTAAAATTAGATAATTTGATTGTTACCCAATCATCTATTCGTAACAATTAATATAATTAATGTTACAATTAAATTTATACTTGAATTTCTATCGGCAATGCTTGTGTCGAATAACACATGTTTTTATTTTTCTCATACTTGTTTTTACATCTTTCATTATTTCCAGAATTATCTTTACGTTTATCCTCTTCTTCTTGCAGCTGAGGGCACGTCGGCGCTAGAGGAGTCGTGGTACGTAACACCACCCGCATGCTTCACACAAGTCGGGCCCGTGATCGTGGAGACATCGCCTATGGAGAACTTGCTGATAGAGCATCCTAGTATGTCCGTCTATCGTGCGACGACGTCTCATGTCGCTCCCGACACTCCACCCCCCACGCCGGACACGGCGGAGGAACTTGAGGAGCCGGTTGGCATCCTCTTAGTGCCGCTCGCTCTCATGTCCTCCACGTCCACGCTATCCACTTCGTCCACGTCTTTGGACTCCAGTCCAGACCGAAATCGCAATTCTGACCTCAACGAATTTGCGCACAGAACCACTATCCATGATGACAGACCGCTCATGTCTGAAAGGAACGATAATAGAGTTAGGATAACAAATCAATTCCGTTCCGCTCAAAAGGTATCAGTGATTTACCGTTATTGTTATGCCGATACCGTTGGTAAATAACTCCTTCGAGATTTCGGAAGAATCTCATTGAAAAGTTATTTTGACTTCCAACAGGTGCTGCAGAAACGCTCGACTCAGAAGCTGAAGAAAGGCCGTCTGGAGAGAAGCAACAAAGTGCGGCAAATCACAGGCAAACGTCTTCGTCGCCAGGACCGTTTGCGCATTCAAAACAGTGGCGCAAACAACAACCGGAAATGCTAGTCATCCGATCTCAGGCCAAGCTGTACTTAAACTTCTTCCTAAAAAAGTAAAAAAAGAAAAAAAAGAAACGCGACGACCAAGGCAACAAATAAGCAAAGTTTCGTTGCAACGATGATCGGAATATACGGAGTTAGCTACTGAAGTACAAGTCACTGCAAGAATCACATGAATACAAAGTAGATGTCATAACGTGACTTCGCTGTAATGAGCTCAGTATGAATAGATCCGATGGAATTCTCTGCAACGAGACTTTACTATAATCGTAAATGCGTTTGTGTTCGCCGAAGTGTGCGAGCGAATGGAAGTGTGTACATTTGGTGATTAGGATTAGTTGATATACATATATATATAAAAATTATATATGTATATGTATAGCATATATATAGTATATATAATATATACATATATATGTCGAGTGACATGTTTAACCCTTTCTAAACAAAGAAAAAGAAAGATTATATATTTTAATGAAAATATTTAGCTTCAGAAAGTTCTGATACTTCATTAAGTTACTGATCATAATACATCATGATATAATTTATGATTTAATGTAATTTTCGTTTAAGAATCATATATCTTAATCTTAGCTTATATACTTTTAGTAAAATAAATCGTTCCTCTCATAAGAGATAGAAATGGAGATGCAACAATTCTTGAAGCCATCTTCTGAATCAAAGTTGTTGGGAAATCAATTATCTGTTAGGATGAGCTTCGACCAACTGATTCTCTTTTGATCATTTTTTTCAACAAAGAATTGTCAGTCACATTTCATCTGATGGACGAAAAATATTGTCATGTAAAATGGTATTATTTGAAATTTGTGGCCTTGTATGTGGACCGAAGCAATACTTGAGAAACGTAATTCCGTCTCGAAAGGGTTAGCAGAGTCCTCGAGCGAACGAGTCACACAAGGACGAGATATATCGATATTAGCATTATCAAGATATATTTGCTTCGTCTAACTTTTCATTTAATTGTAAAACTAAAAAGATATATTAAGTGTAATTATTTATTTTGCAATAGCATGATGTGCGTAATGCGAATGTGTGCGCGAACCAAATCACAGACAGCACGCTCGAAAAGCCCCGAAAATTATTTTGTATCTCCCGCAGTCTGTCCTTTGGTTCTCTCAGAGCGAGAATATATTGTTACTTCAGATCTTCGAATATATGTAGATTGCACTTGGGTTTTGAAGTTCTTCGGAATGGATCTGTGGTGTTTATTTCCATAGATTTTTCTTTCCACGGGTCCTAATGTGATCCTTAAGCGTTATACAGAACTGGATCAAGAGATCCTCGGATTATTGAATCCTTAACGCACTATGACAAACGTATCGCAATGTACTATACCGTTTTATAGTCGCCTATTATTAACACTACAATAGTATAGTGAAAGATGAAAATAAAGGACTCCTTACGTCTCGATGAACAGATCTCTCTCAAATCTTTTATCTCTTTGGCATTTGTTTACATCGGATAACCTAAAAACTGCTAATTTTTTTTTCTTGTAATGATTCGCCATTTTTAAGCTTCCTATGATTATTTCTATTTTCTCGTTTCTTCCACAACTTACGTATTTAGGCGTCTTTCATGTTAAATACGGAAAATATTAGTAAGAGTATAAAAAATTCGTTTATACTAATGGTGGGCTAATGGTGGGCCAAAGAAAGAGATTGCAAATATCCTCTTCTTCCATAAAGACTTTCCAGCAAGAGTGCATAGTCGCATAATATGTAAGTACAAGAAAATCGACCAATCATGTATCTAATGTATAACGGTCTCTTGTATGATTGGTTAATTTTTCAATTTCTTAATTCGTAATCGCATTATGCGATTACGAAATTTTATCAAAATAGGCCTTAACACCGTCATAAGATCTGTTCGTTTTCGAACACTTCTGAACTAGTGCAATAAGTTAAAGTGAAAGAAAATATATTTATTTTATACTAACTTATTGCACCAGTTCAGAATTTCTTTGAAAACGAACAGATCTACAACGCAATACGCATTAGTCGCAGGAGTGCCATTTGCATTCGCGCCAAAAAATAAAATTTTTGAGAGCACCATAATGTGTGGAGAATTGCGATGTTTTTCAGTTCTGAAGTTCAACAGATACAAAGTGAACGAGATCGAACTGTACTTCTGAAAAGATAAAATAATGCGGATATCGCGATTGTTATAATTCCTGAGGTTAAGAAAACACAAAGCGCAATAAAAGTTTTACGATTTTCTTGCATAGTTAAAGGAAGAATATATCTTACCATATTCTTTTTGCAATTTCTATATACAAGTAGAATTTATCAGCAGAAGTCATATATTAATAATATCAAAATTTTCCTAGATTCCTTTGTGATCGATTGTTACGATGTAACTTTTCATACATTTCTCGTGCCGCAGTTGTCTTGACGGGGATCGAAGAAGTTATCAGAATTGGCAGAATAAAAATTACAACGCAATGCTGCGTTCCGATCTTCAGAGTCTCGTGGATCAGTACGAAGAAATGTGCAACGTGAGTAGAGAAATCATTTTCGTTTTCCTATTCCAAGTCTAAACCGAGATTAACGCAATCTCGATTTTAACTCGATTTCAAATGCCCAAGTTGCGATCAACGCACGAATGCAGCACGAAAGGTTCGTCGAGAGAAAGAAAATTGTTTCAACATTGTAATGTTGTCACTGCTCTATTTAATTCCAAGCAGTTTTGGCAAAGCAAAAACATGAAATATCTTACGTACGCAGGCAGTTTCTACATTGCGCGCTTTAAACGTGGAACAACAGCAATGCATAGAACTGGAGCGCGAGCAATCGAAAAAGACAGAAGTAAAACTGAAAAACATGATATGCTGGTTGACAAAGCGCGAAAATTGCTACAAAGCATCTTTAGACAATCTAGAGAAGGAGAATAAAAACTTGCGACGCAATTTAGCAGACATGAAACACGAATACGATCAAGTTGAGCTCGCGAACAACGTCAAAGGTGAGACAAAACAGATATATCGCAATTATTATAATTTCTGATATATATAAATGTAAACGTGACAGAATGCGTCACAAAATTTCTACAATTTCTATACATAAAGAGTTCTATACATAAATTTCTATACATAAAATTTCTATACATGAGATATATAAATAGGAGAGATAAAATTAATATACATTTTTGTTTTTGCACAAATTAGCATTTTACAAATTCTTCTAAAACATTTATATATAAAAAAATTATTATAAATGCAAATAATACGATTTTTTATGCAAAAATTCGAAAATAGATATGCATAAAAGATAGAAAATCAAATAAATGTCTGTGCAGTTTCCAAATTGCAGGATGAAATTGAATTTTTACGAGTACAAGTAACACAGCTCGGCGATGAGTACAGGCAACAGTTAATAGAGCGAGATAAACAGCATAAAGACGAAAGTTTTAAATACAAACACCTCTTAGAGGATACGACAGCGAGATCGCTTCAGGTGTATTATTTCTTTCTACGAATTAATTTAATTTTATGAAAATCCTCTATATAGTAAACTTTATTAATATAAATTACGCTAAAGATATATTTGTTGACTTAAATTATTCTCATCGTATTTTATTCTGAAAATTTATTTTCATTTGTTTGTCAAAGAAGGCACAAGATGTAACAAGAAAAAGTAAAATAGGAAAAAACAAAATAGAGAAGCATCCTGCCCTCATAGATGAAGAAGAGGAACAGAAAATACAAAAGTGAGAAAGCTATATATGATATGAACTTCTATATTTTTCAATTAATTTTAAATTTAGACAATTGCGCGTTCCTTTTTCCCTAAAGTGTTTCTAAAAAATAATTCTAATATTTTGAACACCATTTCATAATTCTGTAAATGTATGGCCCAACAATCTGGTAGCAAAAATAATTAATATGAAATAACAATTATCTAAGATTCCCTGAATTGGAAGTTAGTAAAATTACCAAGAAAAGAAGAAAATTATTTCAAGAGGACAATGATACTGCAATCGATATCATTCAAAGGCAATAATGCTTATCTTAAGTTACTCTATATTTAACTTAAGTCACTCTACAAGATCTTGATATTATGATTTAATTTGATGACATTTTCTCCTTGGTTTTGATATTAAGGTAATATAATCATGTGTGTATATTGCGTTTCTCTGTATAAATAATGCATTTTCATTTTGTAATGAATATTTCAGTTTGTACGTAATATTTCGTAGAAGATAATATGAAGTAGATGTGACTGACATATAATACATAATATACTAGTGAACATAAGGTTAATAGACAATAAATAAGTGAAATAAACATGAAAGAATAAGTAACATAGTTAACTGCAAATATTTTTCTTCCAAGTTTGAAGTAGCTGAAGTCTTAGTGAGAATATATAACAGAATTATTTGTATAACGTATTTCATCATAAATAATATCTTTTTCAGCAATATCGACATACGTTGAATTTACGAAAACATTGCGCACCAAAATTCGTCTCTGATTTATGAACCCGGTTTTCTATTTGCTAATTCGGCGATTGAGCGAGTTCCAGCTATTCGTGTAGTCAATCCTCAGGTGACCGTATGTGTTCAGATCAATATGCGGCGGTGGCATCGCCTCTATCACATATCTGTCGTCGTAGATCGCTTGCGACAAATTTCTTTCTTCTTGCGGCGGAAATCTAGAAATTTCTAAAGAGAAAGATTCATCGCATAAATCAATAATTACTCGTGCGATCGAACGAATGTTTTATTAATAAGATTATATGGATTCAATCTCATATCCAGCTGTCGTTTCACGGTTCGTTGCGTGACTGTTTGGAAGCACTTACGGAAAATTCGCGGCAAATCAAATGATAAGAAATCGCGAGTGCATTTTTACGGGCTCTTTGCGTGTCAAGCCGCGCAAGTAATTCACAGCTCCAATCATTGCGGTGCACGCGAGGTAAATTGTTGTACGCGTTAACGCCGAGTTTCGCGCATGATTTCATATCTGGGGGAGAAAGTCTCTGTGCGCGGGACGTCGCGCTCGAAATTACAATTACGCGGTGATGATCGATTCGTAGGATGCATCGTGCACGAACGCATCGCACGGATGCTCGCGACAGCGTGTCGACATAAAGACTGCATCACATCGTGCAACGACAGCACGTAAAAACTTTCTAACGCCGTGGACTAGAAATCGTTCGATTTCTCGAGGTGCATCGCGAATGCAAAAATGTGAGAAATGCGTCGTTCGACCATTACATCCCGTTTTTCTTCTTTGATTTGAAGAGCCAGTGAAGGAGACAGTGAAGTCGAAAACTTCAATAAGCATCGCGAGGAATCGTTCTAGTAAGCTAATGAACAATTCAAAAGTTTAGTTTACATACATCGATATTGGCACTGATCGTTAAGTGAATTGTCGAAACATTCTGACACTGGCAGATACTTCGTGTGATACAATTAATACCGCGTGGCTTTCATATTTCCGGAATTTTAGTCACGAGTTCACTTTAACGAATTTGTGAAATCCGCGTGTAGCGCAACACGTTTTCTCTGAACGAGATATTTTTAATCGCGAGAAAATAAGGCGCTAACGGCATTAAGCGCTTTCCCAAATGATTACGTGTTCCATGAGCATCTTGCAGAGATTGGCTCTTACCGAGCACGGGTGCGTAGACCGGAAGCGGTGCGGCGTAATCCATTCCCTCGTCCTCGTAGATAGCTTGCTGATAATAGCACCCATTGTTTGTTGGTCTAACTGGTCCGCGGTATAATTCCTGCGCGTACGGCGGGGAACCATCGTACTCAGGCTGTCTCAGCGAGGACGCGTACCTGGAACATTTCGACCGATTAGCTGAGGAAAGTTGCGAAAAAACGCACACAACCTTGGATCTCTCTGTCGTAAAACAAAAGGATTCAATCGGCGAGCCAATCTACTTTCTTTCCAGAACTTAAGGGAATCGATCGATCTGCCAGCAACTTGTTCTCAAAAGTTCTCCGATCTGTGAGCTAAACTTTCACTGAGTGAGAGTGTAATATTCTCTCAATATCAGAAGTCCGTCGTCGCGGTCGGTTTTACCGCCAAGATCTGGGTTTATGAAGTTGAGAGAGTTCCTGGGCGGAACGAGTTTCCTCCTTCGAAACTCTCGGCAATTTACCCGTGCTCGCGCACCAATTTTGCATACTATTGCCGGAATTTCTCATGTGTTATATTACCAATATTCCGAGCGCGCTCGCGGTGCATCGCGGAGGGAACGCTCATGCGTGGGAGGACGTCGCGTACGGCGTGGCACGTCGGCGACGCTGTGCCGACGTAGGTAAGCATAGTTCTCCAGGTCCCACGGGTCCACGTAATGCCGACCGCCACCGCTTCCGGAACTGCCGGAGGTCGATCTTCGGGAGTCGACCGAGCTCCAATAGATCGACGATTCCGCCGGCATTCTCCCGCTTTCTTTTACCTCTGGCAGGTGCAGCGATGCAGATCTTGGAGGAAATGTCATTGAACACTTGCCTTCATAATGTGTTCATTGATATTCTCTTATATAATACTTAATCACCTGACGCTGAAACCGTCTGTTGAAAGTTTCGCAGAAAGAATCGACATTACAAATAAATTAAATGAGACAAGCAATTAATTAATTAATTCGTACTTTCGAAAATATTATTCGTACTTACGGAAAAATTGTATGAACCATTTTGCAAATTATTTCTGAAGATTAACTATTGTTATGTTTATCACAAAAATCCTCCGATAAATTCAAAAGTGATCTCTTCCATATATATTTTTTTTTAATTATTTTCCTATTTTCGTGTTGAAGATATCTTACCTGCGATGTTCAGGAGATTCTCTTTCGACGGCTTCTTTTCCTTTTCCTTTACTCTTCGAGTGAAATCCTCCGAAGAGAAAACATCGCATGTATTTACATGTTCACCACGTATTTAATAAATTAAACTCACGTTTGGGATATACATTAATGAATTACTTACATACGTAACACTTTTCTTTATCTCGCTGTCCACTCTTTCTCAATCGTAAGAACATATTCTTCCACTTCCCGTGCGTTTTTTCAAATAATTACGCATCATCTGTCCGCTATTATATCTTCCGTTATTATTTATTACGTTTTTATAAATTAATCGTGTAGTTTGCGCGTCACGGCTTTAGCCATAGCCTCGACACCTTCGCTATCACACTTGCGATCGACCGGATTAATTCAGCAGGACGCTACGCGCCTCTTTCGCACCCTTCGTCTTTCGCAAGATAGAAGCGCGTTGCGTACGCTGCGATCGCTGTTTCGCTTCTGCGGCCGCCGAAACCTTTTTCCACGCTGCGCTCCTCTTCTCCCGGTGAAACCTCCAAGAGACTTTCACGTCTGCGCGCGAATCTATGTACTTTAATCATTACATTTTGAATCCCATGACGGATGATGCGTCGAGCGGAACCGAAGCGACCCGTTCAGGCACTGCTACCGCTGCCGCGGAGATGCGGCGCTCCACTTTCAAGACTAGCAGGTTCAGGAGACTTCGATTTGGACCAAGGACTCAGGTACCGTGAAATCAGGTGTTATCATTATGTTCCGCATGTTCTTTCAAGTGTGCACACAGATCAACAACTCCACTGGTTTTTTATTTATCAATATTATTTGTTCGTTCAAACAAGGCGCTCTAAAGACAAAAGAATGAGTATAAGTAGAGTGTAAGCTTAACTAAAAAATTATGCTAACAATTATATACACTCTCGTTCAGTTTACATAATAAAATAACTCTTTCTCTCTCCTCTCTCTTCCTCGTTTTTCAATATCTCTCGAGAAATATAGGAAGCGAAAACTATATATATGTCAAGATAATACAGTTGAAATCTCCTAATCCTTACCTGGACTTACGGTGACATCACACTTGTGTGGCCTTTTTTCTCACACATTGTTCGATATAGTTTCATTCATCATTAATGACAATAACTATTTAACTATTTTTCGTCTCTGGCTCGTATAGTCTTATATAACCTTGGATTTTTAAATATATTCCTATCGCATTTAAAGCATTAAATTTTCAGTTCTAAGAAACCCTTAGATCCTAGGCGTTTTAGATCTTTGTATACTCTTAAATTCTGTAACTTCGAATTAGTAGTAACTTTTAATTTTCATATTATGAAATTCTTGGTTTCTTCAATTATGTTTTTAGAATTTTTAACTCTTTAACTCTCTTGATCTTCTCTTGCACTTTCACGATCGAAGATGCTTGAATTCTAAGTTTTTGGGAATTTTATATTTTTGCACGGTACATATACATTGTATACGTACATACGTACATACATAAAATCTATTTATATCATATGCGATATATGTGTTTATACATACTGGTATATCACATTATATCGCAAATATCCGCTATATATATATTACTTATTAATCTCAAAATTTCTTTTTGTTCGTACTACTATCCTTCTTCATAAATAATTTGTTGCTTTTTTATCGCAACAGTGCTAACAAAATCCATTAATAGGATCGTAATCGTAAATCCAGATAGAGATCAACATATCACATATCACAGTTTCAGATTTACGTTAATTATGTCTTACAAGTGATGTAACACTGACAATATCTCCTCACCAATATCGCCTATAGATTATTATGCGTATAACAGCTGCTTTATTCTTATTTAAATAGCGGATATTGATTTATTATTAGTGCTAAATTGTAATGAAGATTGGAATGCAAAGTTCGCCGAAGAAGCGATTTATCATTAACGAATGATTACTGGCAGAGCTTCACTCATACGAGCGAAATGGCTTCCGTTTGTTGCGTTCCATTGTTCATAAATAAATCATACATATCCGCATTCCGCAGTTTTATAGCTAATGTCACAGGAAGTCTTAGGACGTGGAATTCATCACGGCTGTTCCTCATCTGGACTGATCGAGCAATAACGAAGCCGCCAGTTCTACGTCGTATTCAGTCTGCTTCAAAGCGCTTTCACACTGTTGTCGACTAGCCAAGCCCAGTCTGAAATAATAACAACATTGAAGTTTACATGATACAGATAGACACTCCACACTTGGCACAAGAGAGAAAACAAAAAAATTACAAAACATTCCGGAAAGTATAACTATAAGGAATAAATTTCACAAATTATTACATTAACAAAGTTCTAAAAAAAAATATAATATCTAGCTCTCTTTACAGAGAAGCACTGAAAGAGAAAATAAACCGTTATCATTTTTTGTCTGTTTTCCAACAAACGTGAGAATATATTATTTCGACACAGCGAGACAGTTATAATTATGAATATTGATAGACATCGCTGACACAGTTCGCAGTACCGCTACAGGCCACGAGTAATTTCGCAACGACGAATCGCTCTACGGGATCCGCAAGACATCTCACCTCACGAGACTCTCGACCTTCGCCTGTCTATCCCTCATAATCTGCTTGGCCGCTTGATTCGTGTCCCAGCCGGTCGCCTGTAATGCGGCTAGCACCTCTTGCTGCGAAGCATCCGCAGCTTCTCTCTGCACCCTCATGACTCTGCTCGCCCTAAATTCGTCGTTCAACGACATCACCAGTTGCTGCGAGGCTGCGGTGAGTGGCGGACTGGTGCCGACTGGGTGCTGCTGATGCTGATTGACCACCTGCAAGTTCACCTTGGCAGCATCGCTCGTCGTTATCGGTACAGACGTACTCCTCGTTAGCGTGTCGACTTGCAATAAATTGGGCTGCCCACTGATCAGGTTGCACTTTGCTGTAGGACAGTGATTCTGTATGTAACCATTCTGACCGGATTTGAGTGGACTCAACGTCAAACGAGGTGGAGGATTGTAAACTGGTGGCTGTTTCAGATAAGGACTGAAGTCACAAAAGTGTCCTTGAACAGATTGCTGACTCCTGCCGATAGTCTTCTGCTGTTGGCCGCTAGCCGTTTCTTGAGCGTGACTTTGGCTCTGGTCGTTACATAGATTATTGGAATAGTAGTTCCGGAGAATGTTCTGCTGCACAGTCTTGTTGTAGAGAGTATTGAATTCGTTTTGGGACAGTTGATCTAAATTAGGTACCTATGAAAAATATATCGAATGTCAATAGATTAGCTGGTTCTAAATTTCAGTCAAATAATTTTCAGTTTGATGAACTTTAATTTGAAGCTTTGAATCGTCTCATTTTTATTAATATATTTAACATTTAAATTATCAGTGAAAATATTGGACAATATTTTACATACGTTTTGCTTCAACTCGGCGTATACTTGTTCGTACAGGAGTCCAGTAGACTTTGCATGTTGTTGTTGCTGCAAATCGTTTTGTATATGGGTAATCCCATGAGTGTTGCTCACGTTAGACGACAATGATGCATTCTGAGGATAGTTTTGATGCGCAGTAAAGCCGCTACTCTGATTAACAGTCGTCGAAGCATTTGTCAAATAGTTGTGACTTAACGAAGAGCAAGCTTGCGCCTGGTTGGAAGAAGCTTTGGAAATATTGGAAGGTCCATATTGAGACTCGATCAATGTCGCGGCGGGAACTTGATTGGCGGTGGTTTGAAGCAGGTTAAAACTGCCGATGTTTGTCGATGGGTTATGAAGATAATTTTGGCTGGTCGACGAACAGACTTGTATAGGATTGAAGTTGGCTTTGGAAACATTGGCTGTATTGCCGTACTGAGATTCATTTGTACTGTTAGCAGAAATGTTACCGGTGACAATCTGCAACAGGTTGAAGTTATCTTGACCAGCGCTCGACGAACTTAAATTTGTAGAGAGGTAATTCGGAGTGCTCGACGAGCAAGCTTGCGCCTGATTGAACGTGGCCTTGGCAACATTGCAAGGACCATGTCGAATTTCATTGGCACTATTACTAGAAGGATCGCTGGCTTCTTGCAGCAGATTCATGCTCGCCTGAGCCGCAACGGGCGTCAACATTTGACGACCAGCACCTAAATCAGTTGGGCAAACATTCTGTTGAGACAAAATCTGCGTCTGTTGCCAGATTTGTCCTACTATCGCATCGGTGGTCGATTCTACGCGTTGATCACTTTGCTGGACGGGTGGTCGTTGGACGTTCGTGCTTTTCGGCTGCCGGGAATTCTGTACCTTGCTAGGTAAGGTCGACGTCGAGGAGGACGCTCCTCGATGATCCATCATCGCCACCGGCGACTTCGGTTTCGAAACTTGCGGCGGAGGCTTCAGCGCTGGTATCACCGACGAAGAAGACGACCTGGCGGTGTCCTCCGTCGTTGTTGGTGAAAGCTGAGCTGGTGATCCTTGCCGCAACTTGTCCAGTGACGAGTAGCGAAGATAATTCGCGCAGGATGCTTCTTCCTGGCTTTCTCCGCTAGCATTTGTGTTCTTGCTCGCCTCTTTCTCGCCCAGATGTTTCTCCAGCTCAGCCAAGAAGACCGGGTCCAGTTTCTTCGTGACGTTAATAGCACCAGACTTAGAGCTCAATGACAGTTCGTTCATATTCTGTGCGAGCTCGCAATTGGACTTCGGCTTCGGCGGACTGGCATTCGGACCGACGGAAGGAGGCGGAGGTGGAGTAGGAGCTGTGACGAGCGACGAAAGCGATGAAACCCCGCTGACAGAGACGTTGGCATACGTCTGTGCACTGGCGGAGTTCCGTAGGTCCTCCGGCCACGTAGACCAATTCGGACTGGCCTTGTCTATCTCACTATAGTGACTTGCGCCCTCATCATTCTCCACGTTCACATTCAAATTTACCGTGTCTTGCTGACTGTCTTTGTTCAAATTCATCGAGTACTGGCGGATCTCCTGAAACCGAGACAAATAAACGAGATTTCTTAAATCATAATTTGAATGCTACCGGCCATTATTTTAATCTCACCAAACTCATAAAAAACTGTAATACACGGCATATTCATTTCTTACGACATAATAGTAAAATCCAATTCGAATATAATTTTGAATAGCGAAGAGTCAATGGTTCCACGAATTTTCAAGGGATGCCAACATACCTCACTGCTAGAACTAGCGACGAAACAGTTTGCAGCGCCTTGACTGCCTGAAGCCTCTTGGCCGTCCACGTTGCTGTACGTCTGCCTCTGCAGATAACGATTAGTATCGGCGGGCACATGACTGTAGTAACGCGAGTGCGGAGGCTTCATGAACACCGCGGACGTGTCGAAGGGGTCGGAGTACGCGGAATCCACGTTGGGAAAATTGGCGTACGTCCTAGCGCCTTTTTCATTCTGCCAGGGGAATCTTTCGACGTCTATCGGCTCGTCCAGAATATTAATCACTCGTCTACACGCGACGTCCTGCTCGAGGGTGCTTGTATTCGCCAGCTCCTCGGCGGACAAATCAATCAAAGAGCCTTCTTGGCTGTTTGCCGAGGTGGATGCCGTCTGAGAAACCTTAATAGGGCTCGATCTAGCATCGTTGCGTAGTTTGGTGTAATTGAACTGCTTCCTAGCACGTTGCGTACCGTATGAGAACCGCTTCTTCAACTGGTTCTCCGCTGTTGAAGTTGCTACCAATATGTCTGGAGGATCCATAGGATTTCTCAGGTACACATCATCAATGAACGAAGGACTACCCCAGCTCTTGCCGAATGGCGCCCCATGGCCTGTGTGGATGAATGAATTCTCTAATGGTTTGCTGATGTCCTCCGGTTGTTTCCGGCGCATCGGATCCACCAGGCAGCGTGGGAAATGCGCCACTTGGAAAGTTCGCTGGTTTTGGCCTTTCCACCAATAGTTTTCCGAACGTCCATCGATGATGACGATCTGATCGCCCGACTCAATAGACATCTTGCCGGCTTCCTCGAAGGCATTAACGGCCTTCATCACGGCCGGCATCATGCCGGTCAACGATTCCTTCAATGATCCGAATGTCGGCCTCTCAGAAGGTTCTCTCGACCAGCAACGAAGCATCAACTCATACACAAATGGTGGCGTCGCTTCCGGCTCGTGAAGCCGCTCACCTTCCCGGTCGATCTTCCGCAATATTTCGGAACCGTTCAAACCTAACCAAGGTTCTTCCCCGAAGGTCAGCATTTCCCACAACGTTACACCAAACATCCACACGTCCGACGCATGGCTGAACTGCCGAGCTTTGAGAGATTCAGGCGCACACCAAGGGAAAGGCACCTGAACAGAGAAGTAAATTCATTAGTTGCACGTAATACTTTTAATAAATATATTAATAATAAATAATCAATTGCAAAGCAGACACACATGTTTATGAAGGATAACAAATTACCTTCTTATGTTCAGTCATGACGTAACAATCTTCTTGCTGAGGAAGCGCTCTCATCAACCCAAAATCTCCGATTTTGATTTTGTCGACTGTGCTCAACAGAACGTTTCTACACGCCAGGTCGCGATGTAGAAAACGTTTCGCTTCTAGGTATGCCATACCTGTGGCAACTTGTAACGCATAGTTACAGAGTGTGAGAACTGAAATTCTACTGCATTGTTGACGCAAATAATCGAGTAACGCACCCAGCGGTGCAAGTTCGGTCACCATCATCATTGGCTGCGACAATACCACACCGTATAATCTATCAATAAAGAGAAGTAAATTTAGTTTAATTGTAAACCTAGGGAAACAAGAAGTTTGTAAGATTTTATGGATTTTAACTTGAGTGGATGGATATACCGAATAAGGTTATGATGATCCAGAGTGTGCATCGCTTGTACCTCAGACACAAAGTCTTCTATAACATTTGGCTGTGTGAGAGCATCTGCTTTGAGGACTTTTACAGCGACAGGGAAAACCCGTCCGGAAGGAGAGGTCCATTCACCTCTTCTAACTACACCAAAGCTGCCATCACCTAATTTGATCGATAAAGTCACATCTTTCTCTTGTATCAGACACGTCAGCACTGAAGAAGTCTCAATGGGCTGTGAGGATCGCTTGTTGCTTTTAGTACTGCCACCAGGCCTGATCTTAGTGATCAGAGTTTTTTTCCATTGGGTGCTCCGTCTCTTTTTGACTACATCCAATAGACGCCTGATGCCAGGCTTGCCAAGGCCAATCTTTTCTAGATCCTCAGGCTGAACATAATCAAAGTGATGTAAGCGAGTGACCTGCAGATCATCCCGGATCCTCGTGAAAAACTGGGGAAGTTGAACATCGTGCAGCAACTCCTGAAGCCACTCAGTACCTTCGTCCTCTGCCATAATAGCTGTGATTGATTTGTTTGATGAAATATACAGTACTCTGAAAATAGATGATTATTTATTTGATAAGAACATGTATTTAAGATATATATTTATTGGATCCATTCAGTATTATTTTATCTGAAAAATAATAATGATATACTAAAGGATGATGATAAAATATATTGCCATAAGTAGAAAAATAATGTGTTTATATCTATATCTATATTTTAATACAACTGTATCTAAACACATACATGTATATATATTCAGTGACAAAAATAAGTTCGTACAAACATTTTATTCTTCTTACTCATTGTATAAGAAACAAAGAATGAATATTTTGCTTATATCAAATTGCTTTGATGCTTGTTACTAAATGAAGGACACTTAACAAGTCTGTCTTTTCACTTTCTATTATTGCCAATCAACAAGATCATACTGATTCTTAGTTTCTGCAATTGTTAGAAGAGAGAATCCAACAAATATATTTTTCGCATGATCCTTGATTTTCCCAATGTTGGGAAATATTTCTCAAATTTCTTATCTCACAATCAAACTGTATCTTATGCAAACAACAGGCGGACAACACGAACCTACAGGATCTATTCTCTTTTTTCTTTCGCTCTTCTTTGTTTAACTTCAAGAGCTCGTATATCGAAAATCGGTACCTAGGGAAAAGCCGTCGCCGTCGATACCTCTTGCGAATCTTATCACGGGACGTTTCCTGGAACGCCACTCACTTCATGGCGTTTGAGAGTAGTGGCGGCGCCGGCCTTCGCTTTGTCGGAATTCCCAACGGCGCGCACTTTCACCGGGCGATTTTCCAGAACGATGCATCCTCTAGCGGTCGTGTCCTAACCTAACAAATACCACCAGCTGCAACTAGATACCTGGTCAGCCTCGTAAGCGCAATTGCGTGATCGCTGATTACGTCGCGGTCGAATTCGCACAAAAGGAGATTGTATCCGCCAGGCTCCAAGACGATACCAGACAATACGCGCACGATACACGCGGCAACTTGGTGGGGGGAAACCGAACGAAAAGTGACCGAAATTAAATGAATTTCACCGCGGCACTCCGTGCGAAATGAGAGGAGTGCAAATCGCTCGTGTTATTCGCGGGAGGTGCATAGAGGGCATCTCGCCATCCAGCTCGGTCGATACACAATCGATGCAAATTCAAGTGCAGCCGGCAACGGATTGTATCCGCACAATTGTTAACACAAAGCAATGTTGGAGGGGCTCGTTGCAAGTACAACACGTTCAACCTATGATATAATATTTATATACAATTAACGCAATTATTAATTGTTATCTAATTAATAATATAATAATTCGAGCGTATAATCTCTGTTTACGAAAGTATCGTCTGACAACCCAAGCAGAACAGAAAATCATGATGACATCAAAACAACGTCAAAATGATGAGGAAAACTCATTCTTCCATCATGATTCGGTTATTTTTTTCATCATTTTGATGTCATCATGATTTTCTATTCTACCTGCAGGGAACTGTCAGGTACAGTCAAATTATCGAGTACGATTTGAGACGATGTCTTTCTTTGTCGAAAACGAAAATCATGAGATTTATTCACAAGGTATTTAGAACTTTGGTCGAAGTAAGAAAATGAAGACTGGACAATTTAGTTTTGTAAGTGAATTCCTGGACGAATTCTACGCCGAGTCTTTTTTTCCATTTCATCGTCAGACTTCCGCATTCCTAGGTTGGGAAAATTTTGCTCGTTTCGCAGCATCCTTGAGCACGATATCTTTAATCAACCCCAAAATAGCTTCGTGTTGTCGCCGCTACGCGTCGTATCTCGACCCACCACTGCTGCGCTGCATTGCAGCATCGACCGGTTCTTTTTTTCCCCGACCTCGCACCCCCACATCTTCTTCGCACCTTTGCACAGCGCACTGCTCCTATCCGCTCCTACACCCTCTCACGACCCCTTTCTCACCCCTCGTCGGAATCGCGCGCGCTGCTGCCGATGATGGTGGTGGTGGTGGTGGTGGTGGTGGTGGTGACTTCGATCGACATCCCCGACAGTTTTTCGCAGGACGCTTGTTGCTTCTACACTACGAGCGGATGTGAACTTGTCCTATCCGTGTTTGCTTCACGCGCACCTACGCCGCCAACGAAGGATTCAGTCGAGGATTCCCTCGAGAATCCCTCGCGTTTCAGCTACTCTTTCATGGATATTGTTTGTCTCTCCACTACGGTGAACAAAACACGGTCAACAGTGATATCGGTGTTACCCTCTCGATGAATGTTTCTCCGATTGTTAATTAATTAAGGTATATTGTATATAAAGGCTGTAATTAGCTATTCCTACATAAGAGAGCTCGGTCTTCTCTGACAATCATTGGCGAACATTGACGGATATACACCTGAAATTTATAGAAATTGGTTTGATACATTTGGTTTTTCTAATCTATGTTTACTCTGCCACTATGATTTTTATACACACTAATCTTGTCGATGTATATACTGTATTATTATGATATAATTATAACTGATAATCGGTGTGTAAAACATGTCAGAAGTCGCGGCACATTTAGAATTGCAGATCATAAATTCCACAACGACAGAGTATGCAAAATAAGAAATAATGGCGCATATTTTTACGTCGTGTGGCATAAATAATTTTTAAGTTATAAGTCGTAGAAAGTTGGAATTTATAGGCGTAAAATAATTCTCCTTGAGTGAAATTTCCATAGCATAAGTGAGTAATAAAATCTTTCCTGACTAATTTTCACTAACTACTGAATTCGTTTCAACAGACTTTTCTCATCTGTGACATAGTCACACCGAGCCTCTGAGTATCAAAAATTTTAAAGAGAAATAAAAAAAGAAGAGAAATTCTTGCGATATATCTCTCGCGTACAATATACCAATATATAAGCAGCTAAAACAAATTATTATTTTACACAAAAATTTATCACGCACAAAAGAATCCCGGCACGTAATTTCAAGGTTCCCGATGCTCGCTTGAAGAGGACCTTCGCTCATCCCCCGATGATGATCGACCGGCGTTCTTGCGGGCGCGCAAATATGCTGCGAAACTCGGCTCTCTCGAAGGATCGCGGCACGTCCGCGCCCGCGTCACCGTCGTAACCTGCGACTGACGATTATTCATGCCAAAAGGAACACCTGCGCGTGTGCACGAGTCCGGGGACACCTTCCCGCCTTCTCCGCTCCTCGCAGAAGCCCCACGAAGATTCGTCGCGCACTACGACCAACTGTCGCTTCTCTCGATGAGCGAGAGTTACCTGCTACCGTTGAGCAGGCGTCCTGCGGAGGATCAGGTCGACGAGGATGAAGTCAGAGAGGAACAATGGATACTTGCGGACCAGCGTCGTCGTCACCGAGCCATCGTCAGGCAACTTGTCAGAGCCGGGATCAGCTGGTCAAGACACTGTGCTCATCGCGAATCCTCTTCAGGTATGAACGTGCACATGCTTCCACGTCGGTTAAATTAATTTCAAGAGAAGAGAATCAGCATAAGCATTCTTTCTGTGATGCGAAGTTGTAAACAGTGATCTGTGTGACTTGTCAATTCTACATATCGTATACGTAGCTTCTCGTTGTTGCTAAATTTCGCTAAACTATATCTTTGCTATTTCATTGAGACGCTTTTCCTTCTTTCTCCGCTTCTCTTCTTCTTTCGATGAAGTCTGTATCTATACGCATGATCCATTCGCGTTGCTATGCCCTACGTTTATTACCGATTTAGGTAACTTACGGTCCGCGCGGAGGAACCACCACAACCGTTCTCCAACCGCCAACCAGGCCGCGAAGACCAGTCGGTGTGACACGCGCCACTTCGATTACACGAAGACAAAGAGGACCGGCGAGTAGACAGCGTCTGTTGGGCGTGTTGGCTATTGCTCTGTTGGCCACTTGTCTCTTCATACTTTTGCTATTGGTGTTGAACACCACTCGTGAATGCGTTCAAGAGCCCTGTGAGTTTTAGCTTTGCACCTGCATCACGGACTGACTATCCCATGTATTCTTGTGTCTTCCTTTTCTTTTTCTTCCTTCCTCTTTCTCTTCCTCTTCAATATAGGTTTCTCTTGTTAGAAAACAAATCCGAGGATTAAATGAAATATATGAACACGTAGGATTGAATAATCTAAAAAATTGAAGGATTTAAAAACATGAGGATGAAATTCAAACAGATACCTTTTTTATTTTCAGATCAAAACGTTTGCATGTCGGAAGAATGCGTAAGAACAGGTAATTTCTTTTATATTTTATGCACAAATATTATTTTATTTTTCAATTCATTCTGGTCGAAGTTAACTAAATCAAAACAATATATACTGCGTTAGAACTTTAAATTTTTCTCGATTCAGTTCTTGCAATTTATTATTGTTTTCAACTAATCGCGGAACATCAGTACATCATCTTTACCGCGAATAGATTGACAAATAGACGTAGTACATTAACATTACCAGAGAAGCTACTTGAAGTGAATAAAAAAGAGCTCATTGATGATGCACAGCGGCAAGTTTATTGACGGCGATGGATCGCACCGCATCACCTTGTGTCGATTTTTTCCAATACGCCTGTGGCACATGGAATCGATTGCACGTGATACCGGAGGACAGAAGCTCCATCAGCACCTTCGAGGTTCTAGCCGATCAATTGCAGGTGATCCTGAAGCGTATCCTCGAGGAACCGCCCAACGCGGGTGACAGTAATGCTACTCTCAAGGCGAAGATGTTCTACAAGTCGTGTATGGACATCCGTGGGTATAGACAATACGCAAAATGCCTTTCGATCGCGCTCTCTCTTAGGTTTTTTGGCGTTTGAATCCAGAATCTATTGTACTCCGACGATAGTCTGAAAGGATACCTAGGTCATGGAAAAATATCGGCGGTCAGAAATTATTTCCATCTTCCAACTTTTTACTTTAATGATTTAAATACATAATGAGATCTTTTCTCGTTCAATCAATTAATAGATTTCAATTCAGGTTAATAGACAATTATTGACGCTCATAATTTGACAAACGAAAAGTCAACTGAATAAAAATTCGTAGATTCTTCGATACATGTTAATGACGTTACAAGTTCAAAAGAATAATTGACACATCTTTTAATAGCATCTCTGTGATTTCGGAAATCGACTTTTGAAATTGTTCAACGTAAACACCCGCGTCATGTATAACTTAAACGAGTAATATTAACATAAACAGCTCGTATACGAGAAATCGGAGATATTCCTCTGAAGGAGATCTTGGAGTATCTTGGAGGATGGCCAGCAGTGGTGGGCGCATCCTGGAAGCCGCCGTCTTATTCTTTGGAGGTCCTTCTGGGTCGTCTACGCGGCGAGTACAACGAGGGTGTGCTGATAGAGCAATGGGTCGGCCCAGACGACAAGAACTCCTCGACCAACATCCTGCAGGTGCGCCGGCAAAGTAAGGCCCATTGGTCGACGGCTGTACAACTCGTCAACGTCGTAACGTTTTATCCTGCTGAGATTAGTGTCTAGTTCAATTCGCTTCTTAGATATTCACTTTGCAGCCTAAAACGTCAGTCAAAGTGAGAAACATAAGGAAAATAACGCTGAACTGCAGATGAAGCAAACGCGCAGGACTAAGCGTAACGATAAAGCTCTCGTTCATTTTACATGGATAATACGATTATTTGAACCGACAAGTTTTTTCTCTTTCGAGACATTGTTAAATTTTCCATGAACTAACTTAGTCTCACTACACAAATCTAATTCGCTGACTCGATCAGTTTGATATCGACCTGAGCTAAAAGCACTCTGTTGCTCAGCAGGATAACAACGGTTCCGCCGTTATAAAATTACTTAATGTGCTTATCTTAGAACTTTCTCTTATTACCATTACGTTCTTAATACATGTATAATAACGTTTCCATCCATCTACGCAGTTGGATCAGATGCAAATGGCATTACCTGGTAGGGATTACTACCTGAAGAAGAGCAGCGAGCCCGAGCTGAAGGCTTATCATAAATACATGACAAACGTTGCCGTGCTGATGGGAGCAGATCCCTTTTCGGCGACCGAAGAGTTCGACCGGGTGATCGTTTTAGAGAAGCAACTCGCTAATGTATGCTTTGTGTCCGCTGTGATTTCCTGTCTATTCGGTCTCTCACTACATTCGTTTTTCTTCATTCCAGATCTCGTTGCCGGAAGCGGACAGGCACGATACTTCGGCGATTTATCGAAAACTGACGTTGCGTGAACTGCAGCAGGAGGTTCCGCAGCTACAGTGGCTCGTTTACCTGCAAGAATTCATCAACGCGCCGATCAACGAGGAGGAGCCCGTTGTGGCATACGCGATGCCGTACTTCGTGCAGATGGGCCGTATAATCTCTAGGACAGATCGCAGGTGACGACATCTTGAGGAAATTTTCACAAAAGAAAATTGTACGAGACTAGACTCTATAGATCGTAGAATCTTTGATTACACGAATTTGATGTGTAATCAAGTATTCATGCTGTCTGAAGAAACTCGTAAAAGGAGAAATTCACTTCATTAATTCAGAAATAAGCATACCGGACAACATTGACACGATTATACGCTTCGCAGGACTCTACACAACTACATCTTGTGGCGACTCGTCATGTCGATTATGCCTCACATGATCGACGAATACCAGCAGAAACGAATCGAATTTCGCAAGATCCTGTTGGGGATTCTGAGCGAAAGGAACAGATGGTCGCAATGCGTTGAATGGACCAACAAGAAACTCGGAATGGCGGTCGGTGCCCTTTTTATACGCGACAATTTTAATCACGAGAGTAAGGTGAGAGTGCTCTTTTTGTTCCAGAGATATAGCTAGATTGAGTATTCATCGTTTTCCATTTTTTTTTACATACATTTTTTACAATTTTGCTCTCGGATATTTATTTCAGGAGACTGCTCTGGAGATGATACGGACGATTCGTGAAGCTTTTAACGAATTGTTGGCTGAAAATCATTGGATGGACGACGAGACTCGAACGGTGGCGAAAAAAAAGGCGGACTCGATGAACGAGCGAATCGGATATCCCGAGTTTCTCAAAGATCCACTCGAGCTCTCGATGGAATACGTGATGGTAATGACATACTTCAGAATATTAAAAATAAAAATAAAAGAAAATCGAAAAAATAATCGAAAACAGATTATAATTAATTGGATTCTGAATTCATTGATTTTGCTCGCTTCTTACTTTTCGTCTGTGCCACCTTCTTTAAATCGACGATGGTTGGGTTCTGCTTGTTGTTGTACATGAAGGATTGTTTCAGTTAAACATAACAGAAAATCACTTCTTGAAAAACATTCTTGCCGTGCTGAAGTATGACGCTTATCACAATTTGCAAAAGCTGCGAATGCCGGTTGACAAGAACAAGTGGTCGACCGAGCCGGCCGTGGTGAACGCTTTCTACAATCCCAACAAGAACGACATAGGTGAGAGTCATAAACAGCTAATTTTAGTTGCAACTTAAAGGTCCAATGATCTAAGAATTCAGCAATTTTAAGAAGTAGGAGTATCATAAGATGCTAAAAATTTAACGATCTCATGAGGACTCGAGAAAGGAAGAAGTCCTTGAGAATGTTGGATTTTAAGAGCATAAAATTTAAATGATCCAAGGATCTAAAGGATTTAACGATCGTGCGTATTATTTCCTTGACGATACTAACCGTGTTGATCTTTGTTATTATGCTGGCATTTCAGTATTCCCTGCGGGGATTCTACAGCCGCTTTTTTACTCCCAGCACTTTCCCAAGTCCTTGAATTACGGCGGTATCGGTGTAGTGATCGGTCACGAGATCACCCACGGTTTCGACGACAAGGGTCGTCAGTTCGATAAGGATGGCAACATGATGCAATGGTGGAATAACGCCACTATCAAGGCGTTTCGTAAGAGAGCGCAATGCATCGTGGACCAGTACTCCAAGTACAAGTTGCAGGAGGTAAATCTGTACATCAACGGGAGGATGACTCAAGGAGAAAATATCGCGGATAACGGTGGTCTCAAGCAGTCCTTCAGGGTAATGATATAGTCACGTTACCAGACGATATGTTCAACAATGATTCTCAATTTCAAGGATCCAGGAGTCTGCAAGTTCAAAACGAAAATTTTGTTAGAAGAAAATCGAGGTGCAGGTATATTAATCTAAAAAATAAGAATTAGAAAAGAAATTAAGATTTGCGACGTTTAAAATATCTTACGGTCACCATCACCTGTCGCCGTCTTTGAAAATAAGAGGACCAAGTTTCTTTTTCTTTCGATATAAAAGAAACGCGCTGGAATTTGACGACATAATTCTTTTCCGTCGAACAGGCTTACAAGAAGTGGGTTTCTATTCATGGTGAGGAACCTTTGCTCCCGGGGGTGAATCTCACGCACGATCAACTTTTCTTCCTCAACTACGCGCAGATCTGGTGCGGCTCCATGAGACCGGAGGATGCGTTGACGAAAATACGCAGCAGCGTGCATTCACCAGGGCCGGTGCGCGTGTTAGGCCCGCTGTCGAACAGCGAGGACTTCGCCAGGGCTTTCAATTGCCCGCCGGACTCCCCGATGAATCCCAAAAACAAGTGCAGCGTCTGGTAGCTCGTCTTCGGTGATATATGAGATATATCACGCCAATGTAATCAAAATTACACGAGGAGGAAAAAGAGAAAGCGGCGGCGTTGGTGGCAGAGGTACCTGGAAGCTTAAAGTTTCAGGACTTCGAGGAGTCGAGAGGACTCGCGTGCTCTAACATTGCACACATTCAACGCTAAATAAGACTATTCTTCAAGCATTGTCCTTCGATGGATCGGACAGCGTTCGTGTGTAAAAGTAACATGTTTTAAAAGTATGTTTTAAAGTATTGAAAGAGCAAATTTAATTTTTTGCGCCGAATGTACGATCGTGCGGGATGAGAATGCGCGGGTCGCAAGTTAAAAAGAGAAAATCAAAAGATTATAAATATATGAAATTTAAAGGTCCGAAGGATCCATGGATCCCTTATCATTCTTGCATATCACGATCCTGCTTGTTTTTATGTAATAAGCATTGAAATAAAAGTGATGTACAATTGACAGATTATTCTTATTCCTTTGGCTGTAATAGCAACGGGAAAGTGGGGTTACAACTTAAAGGAATTTATTATTTTGTAGAAAATTATTCATTGGAAATTTAAAAGTAATATGGAGACAATGGAAAGTGAAGCTAATGTCTATGGAAACGATAAGAAAGAATATTATTGATAAGAAAAGATATTAACATTTCGAAGATATCTTTATTTTTTGTTTTTCTCCTTTTTTTAATTTTTATATTTCATCATATCATTACTTATATTATTATAGCCAGCTATAGTTGCAAATTTACATCATTTAAGCTTCTGCGAATAACGACAAAACGAAGCGGATATATTCTGCCTAAAAAGATAAATTCTAATTTATCTAATTGAACAATTCTCTTAAACGCATACTTAAACGAAAAGAAATAACATCTGTAGTTTGCGCAACGCATATCATTCTTACAAAAATCCTGCAGCATTTTGCACAGAATTGCGAGTTCTTTGGATCCTTGAGTCTCTCATATGTGCTGTATTTCTCTCTTCTTTCAGAAAATATCTGAAAATTTTTCGAAAAGTCAAAGATGAATTATGAGCCATAGAATGAAGAAACGCATTTCTCCAAAGAAAAAAGATCAAGGATCCAAACAAGATAATTTCCAAAAGAGAAAAAATTTTAATTAATATAGTATATATAAAAATGATATATTTGGTTTCAAAATTCTGATATTAAGCTATCTATTTCCCTGTGTAATCCCTCTGATTCCACAATTTTTTCAGTACTTCAATCCAACCATTTTAATATTTCTATATAACCTAAAATGTAAAAATATATACATATACATTTATATATATTAAATAATAAATCTCGTTAAAAGAGAGAGAGAGAGAGAGAGAGAGAGAGAGAGAGAGAGAGAGAGAGAGAGAGAGAGAGAGAGAGAGAGAGAGCGAGAGAGAGAGAGAGAGAGAGAGAGAGAGAGAGAGCGAGAGAGAGAGAGAGAGAGAGAGAGAGAGAGAGAGAGAGAGAGAGAGAGAGAGAGAGAGAGAGAGAGAGAGAGAAGAATTCAAAGAATGGGAGATCTGCGTAGATAAGAATTTCGCTTTCGTGCATAAAGCAATTGTGCTTTCGGAATCTGAGGATTTTTGTGATATTTCTGGATCCTTCGATATTCGCTCTTCAATTCGCTCTTTGCACTTTCAATAACTTCGTTATGTCTTCAGATTTATTTTCCTAGAGCCCGCGAATCCTCCGATTCTCGAACCTTTACGTAACATTTGCGTAATTGCAATTATCCTGAAAATTTCAAATCGTTGCAAGCTTTTACAACAACCTAATTATACATATATTATTTATCGGTTTTAACATTGAGACACTTCGCAGTTACTCGTAGCGGAACTTCATAATTCGTTATGTCACTTCTTTGTACTCTGCACCATGTTACATCAGGATCACGGTCAGGATCATTCAGGATCGCCGATCTTCATTTATGTACATTCCTTTAACAACAATCACCATTCTCACAGCTTCGTTCGCACCTTAAATAAATTACCCGAAATAAATAATATCGTTGTGAGTACGTATCTTACAATGCGAAACAGAATTCATTTACAATATATACAATGAATGGAATATAATTTGTGTTTATAGATATTTCTACGCGCTCATTTGTACGAAGGGCACATAAGATAATAATAAATTAATCCTAACAATTATAATTAGCTCTAGAACGAATAATTACAACTCATTTTTTTCGCACTTAAGTACAGTAAGAATAATTCATTAACGATCTTCGATATCAATGTTACTAAATATCTGATTAATAACATCAGGTGTGATCAATTGATATTGTTCCTAAACCCTCATTGACATGCATTATATGAACCTATTTCATTTATATCTTTTTGTATCTCTTATCTAAAGTTTCTATTAAATTTGTTTACCCACACTGACACGAGGAGATATTGTTACAATAAATCGCATTGATAATTTTCACATCCATCTTTTTTTCGTAACATCTGTCTTCAATCTATCTCTCGAAACGTTATTATTAATTATACAAGATATCTTCAAAAGGTATATACAATAGATAGCAAGTGTTTTATTTTATGACTAATTTGCTGAGCAAAGGATTGGTCCATATTTAATCTATTTACTTAATTTGACGATTATGTAAATATGATTATGTAAATATGATTATGTAATTAGAGATTAACTCTCAATACATAATGCTACTAAGAGCTTTTACTTAAATTAAATTTCATCATATTGATACTTGAGCCTATTGGAAAAACTAAAGAATACCGAATTTTGAAAGTAGTAATAAATAAAAGTTTCATTTGCAATTTAAAAATTAAATTGTATTGCATATATTATAACATATGTCCAGCTGTATTATATATATCTTTTCGAAATATCTTGTATACTCTCTAGTGACGAATATAGTTTAATTTTTAAATACATTTTCTTAAATGCGTTATTATTTATGGAAGATCAACTGTAATATTTTACAATAAGAATGCATTCTACACAATTTACCATTTATCATCGATCACTATCTTTATAAGGCTCGTCCCCGGTTGGTTCTGCCTCTTTTTCTAAAATAGCTAACAATATCGCATACTTTAATTTTTGTGTTCACAATTTTGTGTATTTTATTAAAAGCTAAATTAACATTATAGTACCATTTGCTATAAACCTGTAATATTTGGTGCAAATAATGAAAAACGAAATCAGAGATTGCAAGAAATAGATCATGATTTTTTTCTAATAAATCTAAATATGTATAATCAGAACTCCATTTTTGAGGATAGAATATTACATCTTGTGAAACTATTGAGAAACAAGAGAGTCGATAGAAAGCAAGGATTTATGAATAAGCAGCCAAAGATTTTTTTCTTTCATGTATCTTTGCAATATTAAGGATTTTTTTTCTTTCATGTATCTTTGCAATATTAAGGATATATAATGTCAAAGACTTAACAAGTATTTGCACAATTTAAGCATCAGAGTCTAAGGATATGTAAAAGCTAAGAGAATATTTATTTGAGAATCCACGCCACGAAGTATCTATATAATCGATCATTTATGGTATGAAAGATTCAAATTTGTGCTAGCGACAATCTTGGAAATCAAAGACTTGCGGGATAAAAGAACACATTTTTTGTAAAAAGTCAGTTTTATGGAAACATTCTGGATTTTCATATCCTTGGTATTCCTAGTACATAAACACATAGTATTCCACATTGTTTAAATCATTTAAACACTGAATTTTTACATTTTCGGCTTTTAATTTTTCTTTGATTTCTTAGATTCTTAATCATTTATATGTCAAATCGTCTAACTCGCAAATCCTTGAATCCTTATATCTCGAGATTCTTACTTCAGGCTTACATTCTCAAAATGCTTAAGCTTTTAAATTCTCACATATCCTTAGATCTTTCGATATTTGAAGTCTTAGATGTGCATTATCTTATATTAAATAAATCTTTAAGTGTAGCTCTTAGGTCTTTAGCTGCTTGGATCCTAAATTCTTTGGTATTTTGATCATGACAAATTGTACATAACAAATAAATGTATAATAATAAATAAATAATAACAAGAGAAACGAGAGAAGTAATATAAATAAATTACACATAATTCAAAAAACTTTTGTCTATCCAAGATCAACGTTGTTTGAGACAAATAAAAATATTTTGAAAATTCTAATGCCAATAAATAACATATACTAAATCACAAAAGTTATTCAAATAAAATATGGACATGCAAGATACAGTACAATTTAATTGAAAAATTAATATCATATTTCGTGCTTTGGAATATTTGTCTATTAGAATGTAATGCAATACTCTTCCTGAAAAATGTTTTTAGCTGATGCACAAAGAAGTTGGTCATCTGAAATTTACAAATTCACAGATTCTTAAGTCTTTGGATTTGTTATTACTGGAGTTCTTTAATCTTATATTTCACATTCTATGACATAGAGAAGAGTTTACGATAAAAAGAAACTTTCCTGTGCAGAAGCCAAAAAGATTTCGAAGTAGAGTATTGAATGTCTTGCAAAAACATACAGTCTTTACGTGTTGAAACAGATTTGTGCAATATAAAGAAAATATAGAGAGAAAAACATTTGAGCTCAGAATAAGTATCTCAACGCGTAAAGCAAATCGCCTATAAATAATCCACTGTTTATTGAAATTGATATAATTTCACCAAACTTAAATTTGAATATCGGAAAACAAATAGGATCACTGATGATGCATATGTTTATTCGCAAGACTACTAAAATATACCTGTTGACACAATGCATTCCTGTTTGCTCATCTCTTCCGTTGAAAATTAAACTTAGCAAAATTATATCAATTTCAATCCTCGATTTGCGCGATGTACCGCATCTTAGACACATCCACTTTTCATATGAATATATTCTCACATCTCGCAATGAAAACAGACGCCTGTGTGTGCAACGCATTTCCTCCTTTCTTTCTTTAGAGTTGCAAAAATGACGGCAATTGTTCTCGTTGCCAATGCAGAATGCGTTCAGAACGAACATGAGCTGCACAAGGTAGAACGTGGAAACAATAGTGAAACGATGCACCGGAACTTCCTGACGGAAGTCTCACGAAGAGGCGACGAGATTAGACATACGCTGGGGAGAGGTTCAAAGTGAGGCGAGAGATGACATTGTTGCGTATCGTAGCGCGCGTCGTTCTCGAGCTCTTGATTATCTGAATGACCATGATACGACAGTCGTGACAGACGACGACGGCGACACCGCGCAGCCGTTCTGCTGCCATACGTTGCTCGGCGCTCGGTCCGCTAGACGTCGAAAACGTCTTCGTAGTCGACAGAGCAGCAGGGCTGCCACTGCCTTTGTAGCATCTACGTGGACCATCCGTTATAAGTAGAGAAAAGTGATATAAAACTTACGAATTTATCAATATCATCGATAACAAAGCGGATATAAGACGACGTCTCCTTCTCGCTTCTATTCTACCATTTTAAACGACAAACGAACTGAATCTCTTTTAAATCATTAGTCTCGCAAAATTAAGTCTGCAATTTCTTGACTCCAGTCGCCGCGTGTAAAATCGTGTGCTATAACGGTATTAGAAAAGAAATAATTCTATATCTGCGACTTTTTTCTTCATGTAAAATCATTATCCTGCTCGCGTCATTAATAACAAATTATTCTACATTAGTATGCAATATATCACAGCGATGCTCACTGACCTTTTATCTAGTCCTTGACCCTCTATTTCTCGACGCGCGTGACAAGGTGGTGTCGACGTTGGCGTCAACGCAGAGACAGGTGTCGTCGTTGGTGTTGAAGCAGGTGTGCCGCTGCGCAATGCGGAATCCTTTCGCCTAGACGCAGGAGACGCCGGTGCTGAGCCGACAGCACCTGTGTTTCTCAACCAGGGACTTTTGCTGCCGCTGCCGCCACCGCCGCCACCGCCACCGCCGCCACCGCCACTTTCCGCTTCCGTAGGTGAGAGTAGCAGCCCGGGGGAGAGTAACACGACTGGCACCCGGGCAAACTGCTCTGTCGGTATCCGCATCTGGAACAAACATAAAGTTAGTTCACCGTTACACATAGATTCAAACGTCGCAATCCAATTCATTGCTTCAAGATTTAGACTTGGCTTTTGTCCTTGATACCTCGAAAAAGGAGATACACTTTTCACATACAGACTTGAAACTTTCGCGCTAACATTACACATCTCTTTGCTAATTCTGAAATGTCTAATGCAATAATCGCAATCTTAAATATATGTCATTGATGTACATGAAAAATACTGACTTTCGAATAGCATTTTACGCAGACGGTCCTCTTGCACAAGCGACAGCGTTGACCCCAAGGACCCAACAGACCGAAACGCGTTTTCAAGCAGAGGAAGCAAACGCGTCGTTTCTCCACATCTTCTTTCACGCGCCCTTCCACGGGAAGAGACTCCAGTTCGGCTTTCGTGAGAACACTACGGATGTGAACGATCTCGTCCAACGTTAACGAGAGTCTTTCATCCAATAACATGTCCCCGAGCGTTGCTTTCTGTGAAATGTGATTAAGTGCATTGGAAATTTACCAAAGAATAAGCTTCCACTGCGTATGTTCGTTCATCTGAAACTTGTTTTCTTCTTGTTAACCATCTTCATCACGAAATTTTCATTAAGAATATTCGTTAAGAACACAAAATCAATGGATGAAAAACTTATTGTAGTTGTTAATGTTAATGAACAAGAGATATTGAGACAATTTAATTTTCAATGAAATTGCTTTCCATAAATAACGCAATAAAATAAAATGTTACTCCAAAGCTGAGCCAAATTTTTTGATCGAGCATATATCTCAAAAAGAAACTGTCGTTGAGATCAAAATTACGAATTACAGAGCGCTTTATATAGCTGTGGTAATCGCGTGTGCAAGATAATAAATGACAGAACGGCATTTCTCACCCGATCAGCATCATCTTCCCATTCTTCGCCAGGTACTTTCTCGTCCTTGCCTTCGGTGATTGTGTATGCCCGTCGCGGTTGCCTCGCTCGTGGCTGCGGACTTAGACTCGGGCTGGGATTTAGACTGATATTGGGACTTGGACCTTGGCTCAGCGATGAATCCGTGAGACCGGCATGCTGCCGACTCTGCGGTCGTGACTGCGGCAAAGACGTCGTCCCTGTGAGCGACATTAATGGTATAGCGCACTTCGCAGAATGCCTTTTTGCGGACGCTCTCCGGGAAGGACATTGCGTCGCTAAATCGTAAGCTGTAATTTGAATAAAAATTTGTCGTTATACAAGATATAGCGAATAAAGCCTGTAAAGGCTGTAAAGGCTGTATTGTATTCCAGTGCACAATATATTTCGCACATCATGTCTGCAGATAAGAAAAACGATAAGAGGAACAGTCTAGATATAATTCAGAATATTTACATTCTAATTGAGCATCGCAGAATCGATGATATTCATTCCTAGTCAAGCGAAGCCCACCAGTCTTCCGCCAAGGATTCGCTGATCCTGCTTCGTCGTCATCCCTCTGCTCGTGATCCTTGTGCCCGTTTCGCACACCCCGGCCACCGAAAGTGTAATCCTTTAGGTGCCAGTAATTAGAAGCTTCATCCTCCTCCTCAAACCTCGTCTCGGCGAAATCCTCATCGTTATAATATTCATCATCGTCGTCATCGTCATCTTCTGCGTCTAACTATTCGGAAAAATAGTACTCGTATTATCACGAAATTAAATACCAAACGTCAAGATAAAGAGCTGACACTTTAATTTTACGCCTTTTAGCTAAGAAAAATGAAAGTATACCTTCAGATCAAAATCCACGGGTATCACTTTCTTGGGTCGCCTGGCTGCGTTTGACACGTCCAGATTTCTTCCGGGTGGTTTTGGAGTCGCTGATGGTTCGTACTCCTTAATACCTTCTCCGTTGTGCGTTACATCTGAAAAATCGCGATTAATTCGTCAATACAATGTAGCAATAAGATTTTAAATCGACGTTGATGGCGACGAAATGTCTGAAATTGTATTAAAAATTATTACACATTGTATGTTCGTTGTGCGGTGAGACGACCAAGCATAATCAAAGGAAGAGTCAAAAGAACAAATTAGTTGGTAGACTAATGATACATAATGCAGAAGTATATACAATGCAGGTAGACATAATACATAATACCTCATTTTATATGTGTGTGTGTGTATATGAAAGAACTTTAATTAAAATATTAAACATCTCCCAATTTTTTAAATGCTAAATTTTGTTTCCAGCTTTAGGTTTCCATATATTTATATCTTTGTCTCTAATTTCTTTCTGTTCCCATTGCCACATGATTTTTTATTCCATTATTTTGTTCTTCGATTAAAAACTTCAATTTAGCTTCTTAAACATAGTTCTTGCCAATTTATCAATAATGTAATATCAGCTCGCTTCAACGACAAATGATTCCCTCAGCTGACGTGAAGAAATTTATTACGTGTACGAGGACATTTGTAGCGCATCACTCTGTGTTGCAAAACGTTTTGCTAGTCAAGCATTCTGCATAAATCATTTCGTTTAGTCATCCTTCAATATTGCTCTTCAATCGGAAAAACGCAAAGACGACGTGGACGTGCTTTACTTATGTCGATGACGATGATGAATGAGATGATTACCTGCGACCGTAATGCGCCTTCTACGCGACTTACGATTCCTAGCTGGCACGACCCTGACATCGGGTCGGTCCTTGGAGATCCTTTGTCGTGGTTGCGGCACCGGCGGAACGTCCTGTTTCCTGCGACTTGGTGCCGTCAAGACGCCGGCACCAGAACCCGGCGCCGCTGTCGCCTTCTGATCCTCCGACTGCAACCACTGAGCCGCAACATCCTGCGCGGACTCCTGCTCCTGCTCCGGCTGCGACGGCGGCACCTCCCCGAGGACTATCATGCGAGACACGCCGCCTGCGTCGCCTGGGAAAATTGAAGCCATGACTAGCGAGGGAGCACAAGTTCACTCAGCTTCAACTTTCTGTGAGATGACTAATCTTTCATTTTCTTTTCATAGATCCAACTTTGCCAACAGTGTTGTGTCGTTTTTTTTTACAAACAGGATGCTTCATCTTCATCAAATAAAGTTTTCGATGGGAGTTATTTATGCACTTAGAATTTGTAGTTCGAAATTTTCCTGGATAAAAACTATATGATTACTAGGAGGTATCTCGTTTTTCAAATAAATCTACATAAGTGCTTCTAGTAATGTGATGTTAGCATGATTGCAAGACATCAAGTCTAATAAGTTAGAGAGATCATAATATGCCAAAATTTCGTGGAAGAAAATTTGTTTCATCGGATAGCTTGCTGCTAAAATTCCGTCCGATAAAGACGAGTCATCCCGTACAATTGATACGTATTGGTCTTCATCAATGTTTGTTCTCTCCCGATTATCACAAGACGATTACATACGCGATAGATAATATAATATCGATAATGTCAAAAGGTGAACTTGTGCTATTAATTAATTCACGGCTTCAATTATATGTCGCGTCCTGCTTTCCCGTCTATTAGTTTATCTAATCCGTTCCGTCTTGTCCGATATCATTTAATCATCCTTCAATTTTGTTCGTAAGAGCATTATACTTGTAGTAAGGACGACGAAGGCAGCAGCGAATCCTGATCCTGACCACGGTGATGTTATAATAATCTTAAAGGATGCAGGCAGGATCTCGTGGCGTCTTTAGATTTGTCGAAGTAAAAGGAGACTGCGGGAGTATACATCGTCATTTTCGTCGCCTCGAAGGATGCGTCTGAGCGTCCTTAAAGATGAGAGGAGAGATTGGGGAAGAGAGATTTAGAAACACTCGCGTGGGTCCTTAAATCCACATGTCCTTACTTTTACGGAAGTTTGTTTTCAGAGATGTTCAGAGGAGTTTTCACGTCCGTGCGGTCTTCAAGAGGCCGAACTTTGATTCCATTAAGATTCTGAATATTTTGTAGATTCTTAGATCTAAATTTTTTCTGAATTTATCAAACGTAAATTCAAATCTGAATCTTTGACCGATAAATATATTTCAGAATTATAAGTGTATATCTAATTGAATTTTGAATTTTGATAGTGACAAATTATACTTATTTGAACTATTGAAAAAGATCTACCTGTGAAATTTTTAGATTTCTATATTCATATTAAGTGTCCCATATTTTTTGTAAGTATTATCATGTTTTAATGCTTTAATGTTTAAATCCATAGATTCTAAGATCACTTAGTTCATGAAATTTTAAATTTTGTAATTGATTTTTTCAGTCTTGAGGATTCTATATATATAAATATTAAAATATAAATTTTAAATTTTTATAAATCCTAAGTGTCATTTTGATGTGGTAATTTCTGGATTTATAAAAAGATTTGCACTTATCAAAAATTAATGGCTCAAGTTTAACTACACAAAATACATATATAGTACATAGAACATACTCATTAATATTTAAATTATTCAGTAGAGTCCTCTCTTATAAGATGATTTATTATTAAAAGTTCCATATTTCAAATATTATTTTCAAAATTATTTCTAATTCTCGATATATAAATGGGACCTTTTAATATAAATTCTCATAAGTAATATATTGAAGTAGGACACATACTTTTTCTTTACATGTAAAAAATTTCTATACACCTGGATTTTTGTTTTTAACTGTATAATCACTAAATATGTCTTTACAAAATAGATGAACGCAAATGAAAGCAAGTAGCTGTCCGCGCTTTACGTTTCTTAAATCACAGTAATTGTTCTGAACTTGAAAATTCCTCGCGAAATTATTCACGAAGAGATACGCGCAGCATCATTATAACACGAATACTTTGACACACTTCGGATGCAACGATCGGCGTGAATTTCACGGGGAAGACGCGCATCGGTGAGATAATCATTTAGGACGTCGGACAACGTCGTAGAACTCGCGAGGGAGGGTTGACATCCGACTGGACTGGCGTGCCGCGATGACGTTTCAGGCAACGTCAGCTCACCTTTGCACGCTTACAGTTATTGATCGTCTACATCGCGTCCGGGATCTCCCTCTCTCTTTCTTTTCTGCCTGCGCCTGTAGCGCCCCAAATTGTGATTCATCCTATCGTGGTGTAGGGCGCGATTCGATGCTAAGTTCTCTCCTCGCGCCCTTCATCATAACTTGAATTTATAAGCTGCTAAGATATTGAAATCAATATAAAAGTTTAAGTATCCGCAGGTGCAAAAAATGAGAAAACTTGAAGTTCTAAAAATCTGCAAGTTTAGCAACTTAAGAATTCAAGGATCGAAGAATACAAATGATTTAAGAAGTGAAAAATCTAAAAGTCCTTGAGGAGCCTCAACGAAAAAAATTGGTGAATTATCACGGACCTTTCGATAACGATAACGACAGAATGTCGACATATTAATTGTCGTTAAAGCGTAGCTGATAATTTACTGAAAATATGAAAATAAAATGAAACTAATTAAATGCTTCAAATCATGTGGAACAATTTGCATGAGTCATATGTAACATTATTTCTGTACACAAAACATATACACAAATGGATCGTATAATTATCCAATATTCAGAATATATGAAAAGAGAAGTTCTTTTTAACTATATTATATGATCATGTCTAGGGTTTACTCAAATAATTTGTAATATGAAATTCAAGCGGAACTTATTTGACAACTGCATTAAGAATACTATTATATAAAAAATCAATGAACATATTACAGCAAAACTACAAAAAGAAACACAAGCATGCAGATTTCTAACATAATTAAAGAAACGTGACAACGTTATTTTAAGGATAATGTAGCGCAAAGTAATTCGTCCTTCTATCTTTACGTTGGAAAATGACATTAATTCATCTGATTAACATTGTATCAATGTCAGTTAATAGACATAATATTTAAAAATTGTTATTCTCGAGTTTTTCCTCACTATTTCTACTTTTATAGAATTTCTATATTTTACAATAAAAAAATATAAAGGTTTAAAAAAAATTGGAAACATTATGCAGTTCTGGTAACGCTATCATCTACCATCGAATAAATATACAACATAGACTTACAAGGTGATATTTCTTCAACTTTTGCGGTGTTTTGTCTCGAGCAAGATGATCTCAAAGGCTTTGGAGGTTTCTTTATGCTCTCCATAAGTAATTCTCTCAAGGTGCATTCCTTCTGTAACGGTCGTAATCGTCTCTCTGAAGCCTACAAGTAAAATGAAGAATTACTAATTATATTACTAATAATTAGACAAAAATCCAATAGCAATTTGATAAATAATTCATTTTTTCTTGCCTTTTTAAGTGGTGGGCGACTACGAATAAACTCAAGAATAATGGCATGTGCATCTTTCCTTGAAGATGTGGGCGGTGTCTTTCTGAGATGATACCGTCTCTCCCTAATATCGTCCATCAAGATCTCGTAAGGAGTCAGCTTATAGTCCGGACATTTTCCTTGTCCGCGTGAGGAAGCACGCGAACCCAAATTAGCTTCTACCTTCTTCAATTTCACCCCTCGCCTCAATTCGCCGATAACTTGAACCCAAAACCTGGCCTGGCGATACATTTAGACGCTCCAGTATTACTGTCAATAAATCCTTATAACAAAATCTATAATGTGTTAATGAATAATGTTAATGGACTTATTAATTCATAAAACATTTTGGAATAATTATACATATCTAATATATAAAACTGTCTCACTACAATTCTCCTACAAAATCTTTCTGAAAATTTGGTATACTATTCATTAACACTGTACATATCAAATTTTGTAATAAGATAGAGATCTTTTAAGACTATATAATTTATATAAATCATTACAATAAATAAGGAAATAAAAAATAAACATATTATATACGTTGATATGAAATAAAACGCATAATAAACAATATTAATTTAGAAATATATAGCCACAATAAACAAAGTAACTATCTATATAATATACATTTGTATAATTCCTACTCATTGAATAATTACATATTTGCAAATAATAGCATCGTCCAATAATCCTTGTATAAAATTAAAATATTTGTTCACAAAAAAATATAAATTTTGTCAATATAAAATTTGATTTGTTTTACATAAAAGTATTAATAAACTTAATCATTGTGCTACATGCATTTATCATGCTTAATAAATGCTACATTAATTTCAGTAACTTCCGTACATTAATGCTATTAAAATTAAATAGAAAAATGTAACTGTAATGAAACAAACAATTGTAATACATTTAAAAGGGCAAACGTACTTGTATGGCCCTCCAAATTCTAACGTCCGTCTATAAGAGTAAGTGCAATTAGCAATCAATAAATGCAATCAATTAATATATATATATATATATATACACATACATATATTTATTTATATTTATATATGTGTATAATTATTATTATGCGTTATTTGTCAATTTCACTTTTATATCTTTTGCATATCTTTTTCTGGAAAAGATAGTAAATAAATGAAGTGTTTAACAAGGAAGATTTTCGAATTATTCTTGCTCTATCATATATATCTGATAATTTGTAATCCTATATTCTCTCAGTGAAAATGTGTATCTTTGTATTTCTATATATTTTAATTAAACTTACCCAATCATTGAAATCCAACGTATCAAGATTTTGTAGCGAAGTCGAACTATGATCAGTCCCATTCATATTAAACAAATCTTGTGATTGTTTATCAACAACCACTTTTTCGAGAAATTGAGAGAGAGATAAGGCCTCCTCCACAAACGTTTGTATCACATTCTGATAATAAGTATCGATATCTTCATGCAAATTTTGTATGTGTCGTGCGCATATCTGAAATGCATATGATACATCTTTAACATTTTCTGTATTTTTATTGCCTATTCAAAAATAATACAAGCAAAAGACGTTATATAATTTAATCGTGGGGGATTATATATATGTATACTTACTTGGAGGACAGTCTTCAGAGTACATACAGAACTACCTGTGTACGGCTCAGCCGTTTTCGACATCATATCGTCGTCCGCATCTGTATCACCCGAGTCCCGCTCAATGCCTTCATCATCAGTTTCTTGCAAGCGTCCCTCCACATCGCCTTCAGATGCTATTGATGCAAATTAAATTGATATTTTACTGGTGTTTTACTTAAAATATAAAATCTTAATTTACATAATTTAAAATTCTGCTTAAATGAGCAATTGTATATTGATTTACTTCGAGTACAATTTGTCATCAATGTAATAAGAGCTTCAAGGTCTGGTGACAAAGCTATTTCTTCTTCTGCATTAGAACCAAAATCCAAGGCCTTAAAGATCACCATACCCAATGAAAGAACTGCCTGTAAAAATAATAGTTTAAATTTAAGTTTAATAAATGTAATTATTGCATAGATAGACATAGAGGTAATTAAATACTTTATTAAGTTATATTACCTTCTCCTCAGAAACAAGAGGTTGCTTAGAGCCTGTAATATAAATCAGTTTGTTAATCATTCTTTATACTACAACTGAATTTTATGATTACACAATTATTCACTGAAATTCTAAGAAACAAATAGATTACCTGCTAAGCTATCAAGTTGTACATTTCCATCTTTATGAAGAACAATATGCGAATATTCTGATATCTCATAAAATTTATTTTGTGTTGAGTTTGAAAGACTCTTAGCTGTCTGATAGCACAATGCCCATGCTCGCTCTTGGCTCACAGGACTATCAAATATCAATAAAATATCTTGAAGATTTAAACAACCATGCAAATCCAGTTTACATCTGGGTTGTCCTGTGTCTCCTTTTTTCTTTACTGTTGCTTGCGGTTGCTCATCCAGCATTGTAGATTCCCGTTGAGTAGGGTCAGTACTTTTCTTAAGATTTGACATTATATATATTTACAAGTATTTAAGCCAATTTTATGAAGACAATGATAGTGATTTCGTTGTTTTCCCTTGACTGTGATCAGGATTTTCCTTAGAATTAGACATTACATATAAATTCCTTTTATGCCTGTTTTTTTCTTTTTTTATAAAGACAGTGAAGGAAATTTTCCTTTTAATATCATTATTTCATATATCTCTAATATCTTTTTATCGCCATTTTATATTGGTTAGGCATTGATTCATTATGAACACCTATATAACTGTTTATTTTGAACAAAGCATACAAGTTGAGAATTTCCGTAGCTTATAGTGGAAAATCCAGATTTTTTCACTCATAAAATATCAGTTCTAGTTATTTATAAAATATTGAAATTATTGCTCCAAATTTATAGAAAACTTCATGGCCTTCAATATGCAAATAATTGGATTATCTGAAACATATGATTACAGTATGTTTTTGTAAAAAGTTTACACTTTTGTGTTATTTAAATATTATTTACAATTATATATATTGTAACAGTTATAATAACAATAACCGATCAAATAAGCAGTTGTACTCACATTTAGATGATTGTGAAATAAATTTGTATAAATTTATATCTATAAGATACAGGACATCTATAAGATACATTATAAGAAACAGGATTTGTCGTTTATTTTTAAGTTGTTATTCTTATCCTGATTCGTTAATTGGCAACTGGTTGCAATTGCGAAATGAATGAATTATAACCATAAACGTTATACAATTGCACTTACGATGACAGCTCAATATTCGAGTCTTATTTTAGCAAAATTTCATCCTATACAATTCTACACTGTTATATTGCATTGCTAATCCTTAAATCGTCATTCCTGTCCTTACTTTTCACGCAAAAACGAGAAATACACGTCAAGGATACGCAAAGATTACGAGCAGGAATCGTGAGACCATACAAAAAGGCATCGACGTATCCTATCCTCTCGCATTCTCGACATCCTTCGATATCGATTCTTGCGATTTGTGATAACCGCTTTTCCCGCGAAAATTATGACGGACGAGTCGTTAAGTCGTTTAGTGTCAAAAACAATTCCTGGATTTATTGTTTTCGCATTTTAGGATCTTGAGTTGATCCAGAAAATTTATACATTCCACATAATAAACATTTCTTTTTCAAACAGATCTACATACGTGAGACTTGAAGTATCGAGATTCTTCAATGAAAATATTTTCACAATGTGTTTCTCGTGTATTATTGATACATTATGAAACGGAACTTCGATCAAATAACTGTAATTGTTAATACGTGGTAACAATGGACTTGTACGGAAAGGATAAGGGCAACGTCAGCTTGCCTCCACGTTTACAACCACCTGATTTCAATGAAGCTGCGCTCGAAGAGATCATTGTTAATACGCAAAAGGCTTTCTATAATTTAAAAATTGCAGAAACGAATAAGAAAATACAAAGGTATCTATTAAAAGAGCATTTTGGTTTTTTCCCAAGACCTTTGCATTAATTCCAAATATAATAAAGTATTTTATGGCAATATTTAATATATATATATTTCTATATTTAGATCATGTATATATACATCATTCAACATAATTAAAGAATTACTTCTTCAAACAGTTTTCACATTATTTAACAAATATCTAGTAGTTGATTCAAACTGTAGAAATTATTCAACAATAATTCTTTAATAAAAAAAATGTAACAATGGAATTTTTTTAAATAGGTTAGAAGAAAGGAATAAGGAATTGGAGGATTGTTTAAAAGATACGGATAATTCTATTAAAGTCTTCCAAGAGAAAAAATCTCAAGAGATATCTGGCTTAAAATTACAAGTAGCTGCTCAAGTAGCCAGAGTGGAAGAATATAAAAAGCAAGTGAATGCTTTGGAAAGCATGAGGATAGAACATAATCATGCTTTAAAATTGATAACCATTAATAAAAGATATGATAATACGCGACTCAAGCTTATTTCACAACTCAAACTCTTAAGTGAGTGTTTCTGAATTCTTCATATTTTTCTAGAAATTATAACATTATATTTATGTGTGCCATATGTACATACATATTTATATTCACAAAATATTTAAAATACTGAGATATATGTGGCTATAGTAATAAACTTTATAATTTTCTGTGACTTGAAGATGCTAAAACTAACGCTTTGGAAGATTATAAATCGGTACAAAAAACTCTGGAAGAGAAATTTAATACGCAAAATGAAGTCTTAATACATGAAAAGGAACATATGTCAGAAAAATTACGTCAGATTGAACGAAAATTCAAGACAGACAAGGAAAAGTAAAACGGCCTGTTTGACCCTATTTGCTTCTATTAAACCTTCCTTACTAAGAAATTAATATTATATTCCAATAATGCTCCAGACTCAGCGAAACATTATACAATCATCTCCTGGATTTGGCTGGTGTATTTCAACTTGAAGTAGCTCGACATATGCCATATTCCATGTCTAAATTGCTGTCAGAAAATATAGCTGTAAGCAATATGTTATCTGCAATGACAGAAAGTGCAGGCCTTAAAAAACAGAACTATATCGAACGCAAGTAAGTTCGTAAAATTATAAATATTTAAAATTGTGTTCAATTAGATTTGTACAAATTAAATATATCGTAACATTTGTTATTTCATTCAGGAATGCTGCAAAAAGATATATGAAAAAAAGCAATGACGTACATTTGAATACGAAACGATTGTTACTAGTTACAAAACTGGAAAAACTCATAAATCCAAAATTGTGTGAAATTCGCGATACAGCGAAAACTAATTTATCCAAGATAAGCAAATTTGATTATCTCAAAGAAGACCAATATGTAGTGAACATAGACAATGCGAGAAACAGAGCGCGACAATGCGAGACGCGCGTTAAACACTTAGAAATATTGCTGTATTGTGAGAAAGAGAAACTTACTATTGCTGAACACAAAAAACAACAATTAATTAAGCAATTACAAACACACACAGAGATGTTCCATGATGTTCAATATGCATTAAAGAATCTAAATTTGCAAAAAAAATATAAGTAATCAAAGCTAATTAAACACTGTAAAATAAGGCTGATGGCGATAGAATGTGTACAAAATATAATAAAATAAATCAAAATTTACAGACAAAGTATACAGATAAGCCTTAGTTTCTAAATTTAATATTCTGTTTGTACAAGTAAAATCCTATTGTTTCATGATAATTTTTTATTGGAAGTTTTATTAAATAATATGTTAGTGGGAAATTTTTGGTTTCTTATATATTTTAAAAAATTGTATAAGAAATTAATTTATATCAATAAATTTTTTCGATTAAAACGTAAAATACAGATATGTTAGACATTATATAAAGAAAATATAAAAATATTAATAATACCTTTATTATGACACTTCAATCAAATTTATCTTATGATCCGGTTTCATGAATCGCTTCACCTTTGCTTTATCTTTTGTCCTGTATCACAGAAAAAATTATTTAAAGAATATATTAAAGATATACACATATATATATATATATATAAACAGTTTATCAATTTATCAATTTTTAATCCTATTAATTAATCAATAATTTTCATTTAAAATTTACTTTGCTCAGTTTCTTATTTACTTCATATCTACTTTAGCTTCTTTTTCCCTAAACATTTGTCAAACTAAACTCTATTATCACAAATATATTTGAAACATTTCTTCTTTGTTACTTACAGTTTTATGACACTTGGTGCAATAATATTTCTTTGCTGAAGAGATTTAAATCGATCTTTCAGTAAGTTCTTACTGGGGTTACAATTCCTCAAATTTCCAGATAATTCCTCTGACAGCTGGAAAACAGGATCTAAGGGCTCAAATTTTGTCTTACTCAGAATCTTTGGCGTAGTAGATTCCCTTTCATGTTTCTTCATACGTTTTTGTCGCAAAAAGTCTTCCTTCTTTTCTTTGGATTCTATTTGTTTTTTTAACATTTTCAACTTATAAATATCAGAGACTTTTCTCTTTTCAATTTTGGCCAAAGTACGTTCATTAGCTGCTTGTTTTTGTTCTCGTTGCTTTCTTTTTTGTACAAGTGTTTTTTTAATGTTCTTGACAGGTTTACTGTTTGCTATTGCCACTGATGAGTCTTCCTCTTCAACATCTCCTTCCTTAGTAGGCTTTGAATTTTCTGTGGTTTGTTTTTTTATTGGCAAACCTTCTGACATTTCTTTCATCAAATTCTCGTCCCTTTTATTTAATGGAACCTGTATTAATGAGATAAATATCACATTTTGAAGAGCAAAATAATGATTTGAACAAATGTGCAAAATTGCTTAAAACATTTAAATAAACATGCAAAATATATTTACCTTTTTAAACATCTTAGTTGTTACCCTATCCAGATGTGCCTCTTCTTTCATAAGTTCCAATTCTTTCTGAGCAATATCATTCAGTAGTTTTTGGTGATCAGTATATGATGGATTATAAGATGTACCTGGATGCGGTGCTTCTACTGCTGGTAGAAGAGATGTTTTTTTATATAATGATGAAGGCAATTTTCTTTTCTGCACCCCTAAATGTTTAACTGTATGTCTGACACTGTCTGTAGACATCCATTCAGTAACTGTTTCTGGTAATACATTTTTTGTGACATCCCACAGATCAGTTTTGAATTCTCCCCTCTTAGGACGCTTCTTAAAAGCAGCTTTTGCAAGTGCCCTATTCTTTAATGCTTCTTTTTCTTTCAATTTAAGAATACCTTTTAATTTTCTTTCTGCTTCACGTTGTCGTAATATGGAATTCATACGTTCCTCTTTAGTCCTGACTCGGTTTCTCTTTGATATTGGATCAGGAACTTGTGTATGTGGTTTCAAAGAAGCAAAACATTTTGCTTCTTTTTCTTTCAAAGCTAATCTAGCTGCACGTTTGGAGGATACAACAGTTTTAGTTTTACCAGCAGTCCTGTCAATAGTGAATAACTCAGAATTTGCTTGCTTTGATAAAGGAGGTCCCATTCGTTCTTCTAATCTTATGTCTTCAAGAAATGCATCTACATCTTTAGTGTCAATGTGTTTCCTCCACGATTTCTTCGTCTTTTTCGAGACTTTACGTTTTTTAATTTTAGTATCCATCATCTGTAAGAAGAAATCTATTATTCACCCAGCCAAAACACACATATATATATATATAAACTTAGATGATAAATTCAAGAAATTCTTTTTTGTAATAGTTTATGTCTATTTTACTAACTAAAACTTACCGTGAACAACTGTCGTGATATCACGTGTATTGAAGAGGTTACCGCTTAACTATTCTCCCTTGTAAATAAATGGTAAGGATAATAATTTAAAAATAATAATTTAAAGAATAAATTGTATTTTCTTGCGATATAATATAATTACTTTATTATCATAAAATAATATGATAGAAAAATATAAGGTAACAGTTTACTTCTATCAAACAAATATTACGTTAATCTTTTCAACTGCACCACTAACAAGACACTAATAAAGGCCGTCTCATAGGATTTAGAGAAATTTCGCTAAACGCTAACGCCCTCTTAACAATATTATGGCTGAAATACAAAACCACTGACGGGTAATATAAAGACTGACAACCCCAGGTAAATTTCTGTATTGGCCCAGTACCAAGATTCTGTAACTCGTTATTGGAGTTAACGACACTTTCGTTATCGTTGCGCAGCTTTTGTATACCGTAGAAAAGCTGCGCAACGATAACGAAAGTGTCGTTAACTCCAATAACGAGTTACAGAATCGCACCACAGGAGGCCTAGAGGTAATTAAAGAGCGATGATAATATCAGAGAGGAAGCTGAGAGCGGCCAACACGGCGTTTTCGGTGACACCGATTTTTCACACTGGGAATGGGCGCTATCTGCATCCATTTTGAAAGGAGAACTACGATGCTACATCCACTTTCAGGTCCCGACGGTAAAACCTGCATCTGGTGACTGTCCGTGCTACATCCACTTTCAGGCGGTTTATGTCCGTGCTACAACCATAATAGCGTACTTGACAAGCACATTGTTATTGTCTCGCGCATTGTTATGCATTTGTAACATGAATTAACATGTTAACATGCACAAAAAAAATAAGAATTGAGATTGTATATGATTAATATCATGAAGATTATATACGATTTATCGTTTAATTTTATCGCATAAGATTATATACGATCGATATATAAATATATGATAATAAGATAATATTTTGTGTGTATCCAAAATTATTTTCCAAAATATTTCAGCGTTACGTTAGTATTTATTTATATTCCGGCAGGCGTTTTTTAGCGCAGTTGTGTCCGTGTGCATGTATTGCATTGAAAGTGTGTGTGACGTACGTGTGCATATACGCACTCACACACACACACACACACATGTGTCATACGCAACAGATAGAATCTCAGGGTATATGCTTAAACATTTTCAATTACCGTACGTTTCTATATAAGAATGTAGTCGGCACACACACAAAGAGAAACTGCTCCCGTCTATCCGTCTGAAGTCCCGCCCTCCGTTCGGCTTGTTTTGACGAGCCAAGCGAAAGAGAGAGAAAGAGGGAATGTGTTCTCTCCATCTCGCTCTGATTCGCAACGTTGCCGAGATTGTGCTTCCCGACACACGGCCGAGACTGACGTTTCACTCTCGGCGTGAATCCAACGAGATGATCAATAGCAATCGATTTCGACTAAACTCGTTGTGTCGATAGATTTGCATGACAAATTAACATTGCACTTAAAGGCGTAGCATTGAAGCGTTTGCAAGAAAGTCGCGATTGAAAATCGCGAGTGCTCCATAAACCAAATGAAGGAGCGAGATTCTCAAAGAGTGTGTGGCTTGGTGGAAGTACGCTGGACTCGCGGGGTTGAAGTCGGTGCTTCGCATCTCCTTGGCGTTCGGCGTTGTCCTTCTTCGCCAATCATTTTTTTTTTCGTTTTTTAGGAAAATGCACGTGTTGCATACAACATACGTGTATCACACTAAATTTTTTTTCATTTTTTAAGAAAATGCACGTATTGCATACAACACACGGGCATCGCAAGCATTGCACGTTTCGTCGATGACACTTCCTCTGAGACCCCAACCTCCGCTCGAATCGTTTCGACGAGCCAAGCAAAAGAGAGACAGAGAATGTGTTCGCTCCATCACCTCTGTGAAGATGGCCCTTCATTCTTCAAATTTGAAAAAAATTATTATAGCTCTGAATGCCCCTCGCAGAGTTCTAGAGTTCGCAATCCTTTATAGAAAGAGTTCCGTGTTCCAACCTTTCTCCGTCGATATCTCCGCTTCTACCGGGAGTAGACAGTCGCCATTTCCGGCAAAATGTAGGGTTTTGAGAGGACTTTAATTTGGTGCCAGAACCAGACGTTTATCTCTAACCGTTTAGGAGATATCGAAGGTTAAAGTTTTCCAGCCTTTCTCCATCGATATCCAGCCTTCATCCGCCGATATCTCCGCTTCTACTGGGAGTAGAGAGTCGTCCATGTAGTCCAAAATGTAGGGTTTTGAAAGGGCTTTAAATTGGTACCTGTCCGAAGCCTGTATCTCTAACCATTTAGGAGATATCGAAGGTTAAAGTTTTCCAGCCTTTCTCCATCGATATCCAGCCTTCATCCGTCAATATCTCCGCTTCTACTGGGAGTAGAGAGTCGTCCATGTAGTCCAAAATGTAGGGTTTTGAAAGGGCTTTAATTTGGCACCTGTCCGAAGCCTGTATCTCTAACCGTTTAGGAGATATCGAAGGTTAAAGTTTTCCAACCTTTCTCCGTCGATATCCAGTCTTCATCCGTCGATATCTCCGCTTCTACTGGGAGTAGAGAGTCGTCCATGTAGTCCAAAATGTAGGGTTTTGAAAGGGCTTTAATTTGGTACCTGTCCGAAGCCTGTATCTCTAACCGTTTAGGAGATATCGAAGGTTAAAGTTTTCTAACCTTTCTCCGTCGATATCCAGCCTTCATCCGTCGATATCTCCGCTTCTATTGGGAGTAGAGGGTCGTCATTGTAGTCCAAAATGTAGGGTTTTGAAAGGGCTTTAATTTGGTACCTGTCCGAAGCCTGTATCTCTAACCGTTTAGGAGATATCGAAGGTTAAAGTTTTCTAACCTTTCTCCGTCGATATCCAGCCTTCATCCGTCGATATCTCCGCTTCTATTGGGAGTAGAGGGTCGTCATTGTAGTCCAAAATGTAGGGTTTTGAAAGGGCTTTAATTTGGTACCTGTCCGAAGCCTGTATCTCTAACCGTTTAGGAGATATCGAAGGTTAAAGTTTTCGAACCTTTCTCCGTCGATATCCAGCCTTCATTCGTCGATATCTCCGCTTCTATTGGGAGTAGAGGGTCGTCCATGTAGTCCAAAATGTAGGGTTTTGAAAGGGCTTTAATTTGGTACCTGTCCGAAGCCTGTATCTCTAACCGTTTAGGAGATATCGAAGGTTAAAGTTTTCTAACCTTTCTCCGTCGATATCCAGCCTTCATCCGTCGATATCTCCGCTTCTATTGGGAGTAGAGGGTCGTCATTGTAGTCCAAAATGTAGGGTTTTGAAAGGGCTTTAATTTGGTACCTGTCCGAAGCCTGTATCTCTAACCGTTTAGGAGATATCGAAGGTTAAAGTTTTCTAACCTTTCTCCGTCGATATCCAGCCTTCATCCGTCGATATCTCCGCTTCTATTGGGAGTAGAGGGTCGTCATTGTAGTCCAAATGTAGGGTTTTGAAAGGGCTTTAATTTGGTACCTGTCCGAAGCCTGTATCTCTATCCGTTTAGGAGATATCGAAGGTTAAAGTTTTCTAACCTTTCTCCGTCGATATCCAGCCTTCATCCGTCGATATCTCCGCTTCTATTGGGAGTAGAGGGTCGTCATTGTAGTCCAAAATGTAGGGTTTTGAAAGGGCTTTAATTTGGTACCTGTCCGAAGCCTGTATCTCTAACCGTTTAGGAGATATCGAAGGTTAAAGTTTTCTAACCTTTCTCCGTCGATATCCAGCCTTCATTCGTCGATATCTCCGCTTCTATTGGGAGTAGAGGGTCGCCATTGTAGTCCAAAATGTAGGGTTTTGAAAGGGCTTTAATTTGGTACCTGTCCGAAGCCTGTATCTCTAACCGTTTAGGAGATATCGAAGGTTAAAGTTTTCTAACCTTTCTCCGTCGATATCCAGCCTTCATCCGTCGATATCTCCGCTTCTATTGGGAGTAGAGGGTCGTCATTGTAGTCCAAAATGTAGGGTTTTGAAAGGGCTTTAATTTGGTACCTGTCCGAAGCCTGTATCTCTAACCGTTTAGGAGATATCGAAGGTTAAAGTTTTCTAACCTTTCTCCGTCGATATCCAGCCTTCATCCGTCGATATCTCCGCTTCTATTGGGAGTAGAGGGTCGTCATTGTAGTCCAAAATGTAGGGTTTTGAAAGGGCTTTAATTTGGTACCTGTCCGAAGCCTGTATCTCTAACCGTTTAGGAGATATCGAAGGTTAAAGTTTCTAACCTTTCTCCGTCGATATCCAGCCTTCATTCGTCGATATCTCCGCTTCTATTGGGAGTAGAGGGTCGCCATTGTAGTCCAAAATGTAGGGTTTTGAAAGGGCTTTAATTTGGTACCTGTCCGAAGCCTGTATCTCTAACCGTTTAGGAGATATCGAAGGTTAAAGTTTTCTAACCTTTCTCCGTCGATATCCAGCCTTCATCCGTCGATATCTCCGCTTCTATTGGGAGTAGAGGGTCGTCATTGTAGTCCAAAATGTAGGGTTTTGAAAGGGCTTTAATTTGGTACCTGTCCGAAGCCTGTATCTCTAACCGTTTAGGAGATATCGAAGGTTAAAGTTTTCTAACCTTTCTCCGTCGATATCCAGCCTTCATCCGTCGATATCTCCGCTTCTATTGGGAGTAGAGGGTCGTCATTGTAGTCCAAAATGTAGGGTTTTGAAAGGGCTTTAATTTGGTACCTGTCCGAAGCCTGTATCTCTAACCGTTTAGGAGATATCGAAGGTTAAAGTTTTCTAACCTTTCTCCGTCGATATCCAGCCTTCATTCGTAGATATCTCCGCTTCTATTGGGAGTAGAGGGTCGCCATTGTAGTCCAAAATGTAGGGTTTTGAAAGGGCTTTAATTTGGTACCTGCCCGAAGCCTGTATCTCTAACCGTTTAGGAGATATCGAAGGTTAAAGTTTTCTAACCTTTCTCCGTCGATATCCAGCCTTCATCCGTCGATATCTCCGCTTCTATTGGGAGTAGAGGGTCGTCATTATAGTCCAAAATGTAGGGTTTTGAAAGGGCTTTAATTTGGTACCTGTCCGAAGCCTGTATCTCTAACCGTTTAGGAGATATCGAAGGTTAAAGTTTTCTAACCTTTCTCCGTCGATATCCAGCCTTCATTCGTCGATATCTCCGCTTCTATTGGGAGT